ACCGAGAAAAAGCTACACGGAGAAGAGCAGATGTAATCTACACGGGGAATCATAGTGGACGGAGGATGGACACAGCGGGTGAGGTGATAATACAGTTCAGTTCGTTTGCGTTTTCGGAGTGACAGGATTAGGCAGGCTGTAGGAGGGTGGGTGGAGGAGACCAGAGGGTATTGAGTGCTTGTTGTGTGCAGAGTTTTGTTGGGGGACCCGTGGCTGGCCTCGCGGGAGTGCGCAGGCGTAATATACCCTGCGTCACTCCGGTCTAGGGTAGTGGTGGTGGCGGTTGTAATGCGGCGTCGTCGTTTAGATTGGTAGGCAAGAAAATGGGGCGACTGGGCGCCAGCATCGTCCTGTGTTTCGAACGAGGACAGAGAAGAGCTCGGTGGTTGGATCGGCGACGTCGGCAGCTGCAGACGCAGGTGGTGTTCCTGCCGGGAGCGTCGGATAGGCTGCTCAACCGGACTAGGGCTGCCGAGCCGTTGATACGAGACGTTCGGGGCAGAATGCACCATCCCGTAGCCGGGTCGCGGACCAGCGGAGAGCGGCGGCGATACCGAGTACTGCGAGATGGGCTGCATGGGCTGCGGCGACATGAATGAAGGAATGTGGGGCTGCATGTGGGGCGCGTGAGTGACGAGGGACGTCGAAGTGGGCGGTAAACGAGAGGCAAGCGCGTCGGGGAACTGTTCAAAGAAAAGAGCGGCGACAAGCAACGCGCTCGAGTGTTCGGCGGGGATAATAATGACGCCTCCGCCTGGGAAAGTGCTGCTGCTGCCCCAGCCGGCGATGGCAACAATTTGGTTTTCAAAAAGAATGCGGGACAAAGAACGGAATGTGGTCTGGTTGACCACGTTGGCATCCGGGTCGGCGATCCGGTCGGGCATGAACGTCGCGATGGGCGGGGCGTGCTGGTGGATCCAGGCGCGCGCCTCACGAAGAATAGGCGATCCGTGCACGAGGTGCGCGAAGAACTGAGTCGGCCAGCCAGCGACTTGGCTGCGGGAGGGGAAATGAGCATGCGGCATGGATCGACGGTCAGGGACAGCACAAACCTATCTCCGTCAGTTTCTACTGCCGTGACGCGAATCTCCTGGTTGCCGCCAGGATCTGACGCCCTCATCCCCCGTACAGTGAGAATGCCGCGCCATGGCCGCCCGAGCTGGCTCTGCACTTGGGTTGACGGCGGGGGGATGAAGTTGTCGAGATGCGTGGAGTCGGAAAACCATAGGAGTGTGAAAGGGAGGGCAACGAAAGGGAAGGGAAAGGGAACGAATGAATGGAGGCAGTTTGGTGTCGCCCTGGAGACTTTAACCATCCGTACCCGTGTATCTACGACGGACAATTAAGGAACCGATAGCGCGTCGACGATCGGATGTCAGCCAACATCAACCGTCGTGGACATCGACGACGACGACATTCTCGAAAGAACAAACAAGCGAGCCTGGATACCTGGATGACGTGAATGATGTGAAAAACGTGAGCGGCCCGGGCGCTACCGGTCGGTCACAACACCGCCACCTCCCTTTGGCCACTCCATGCTTACATATATTTAGCACCGAAAATAGCGAGCGGATAGTTCCCTCCGGACTCAGGAGTCGAATGTGGCGGCGAGGCGTGTGTTCCCCCCACTTTTCCGGCAATTCTTTATTCCCCCGAACTCCTCCAGCTGAGTAACAGTCCAGCGCAACCACCACCCGATTTGCATCTGCCCACCTGTCGATCCTTTCCCGTCTTAGCTACACAGAACGAGTAAACTTCCTTCCATGGCGGGTACGTCGGGGACAAGATCCTCGTGGCACTCACGCGTGGCATACACGTTGTTACCGGGTCACGTGCATACCCGCTAATCCTGGAAGGTTCCTGATCGTTGCGATCTACTGAGGATTGATGCGAGATTGTAATGCGAGATCCTTGACGACCTCGATTAGCTTGGTGTTCTATGGGCTGACTTGGCTACGGGTACGAACAGAATGAAAACCTGGTTCTATTCGTTCCTTCGGGTGTCGACGGCCTACACGGAAACTACAATTACTTATGGCAGAAAATAGGCACATACAGACAAGTAAGTAAGCATCTGAAGATCCGGATAATAAGATAAGTCATGATTCGATCAAGATAGATCAACACTAGCGCAGATCAGCAGCAACCAAATCACAAGGTGCTGCTCGACGACGCGGGGGGCAGCACCGGCTGGCCACTCGGTCTCGCCAGCTCAAACTGGACCCACAACTCCATCTGGGCGTCCTTGAGCCGGGCGAACTTGTCCTGGAGCGCACCAATGGTCGCAACATCAGCCTCTCTCAGCTCTCGGACCTCGTTCAAGGACGTCTCGGCCTGCGCCCTCTTCGCGCGCTCGCTCTCCAGCTCCGCCGCGATATCACGTGTATTCGCCATCTCGGCTTGCAAATCCCCCTTTATCTGGGCGACATCAGCATGCAGCTGACCTCGGTCCCGATCTGCCTGCGCAAGCTTCTGGACCATGTCCTGGACATCTGCCCGAGCCGATACGAGCGTATCATTGAGCGTCGTCAGGATCACGTCCTTGTCAGCGATCTCTGACGTGTGCTTCCTCCCGGCGATATGCAAGCGCGTCTCCACCTCGCCTAGACGTTTGACAGCCTCCTCGAGCTTTGCGGACACATCGGCGGACTTGGCCGAAGCGGCCTCCAGCTCCGAGCGTGATTTCTCGTTCGTCACGGCCAGCGTGGATTCTAGGGCGGCGTGGCTGGCTTGCGTGTGCGCCAGCTGCCGAGTCAGAGCTGTCAGTGTCTCTTCTGCTTGGGCCGCTTGCACGCGCGTAGCTTCTTGTGCAGTCAAGAGCTCAGATTTGAGTGCAGCAACTGTTTCGTCTCGAATCCCAAGCTGCTTAACCGACTCGGCGGACAGCTGCTCGATGCTTGCCACCGCTCGGCCTTCAGCCAGACGCAACTCGTCAATGGTGGCCTGGAAGGACGAGTTGCGCAGCTCTGCTTCGGAAAATCGGTCAGCCAGACAGGATCTTGCGGCCTCGGCTTCGATCATCTTGCTGCGAGCCTCATTCAGGGAGGCTGCGAGCTCGGCGTTTCGACTCTCCAAAGCAGACATCGCTCCGGCCTTCGCAGTTAGCTCACCCCCGAGCTCAGCTTCTCGTTCGCTTAGTTGTGCTGCCTTCGACTCGATCTCCGTCCGGAGTTGACGAGTCGAAGTCTCGAATACACCGACTTTCAACCGCATATCCTCGGCTTCCTTCTTTGCTGCAGCCAATTGTTCTTCCAAGACCGTTTGGATGCTGATCCGTTCAGCCAAGGCACTATCGAGAGCATCCATTTGAGGCTTCAAAGCTTCGGCAGCGTCGCGTAAAACTGCGAGCTTCGCATTCAGCTCGACGGCATCCTGGGCAAGTGATTCGTTTCGTTCCTCCAAACGTGAAATATGGACATCTTTAGTCGCAATCGTTTCCTGAAGCTGACCTCTCTCGCCCTCAAGGTGGGCGATCTGGGCAAGGAGATCCGCGTCTTCGGTCCGAGGAACGTCAGCGGCCAGCTGCGCCTCCAGCATGGCTTTCTCAGCCGCATGGGCATCGGCCCGCCTTCTCGTCCTGGCCAGTTCAGAGTCTAGAGTCGTCCGTTGCTCGCGAAGGTCTCTCAGTTCACGACTAAGCGCCACGATGGCGCTTTCTGCCTGGGCAAGTTCCTCCTTCAAGCTCTCCACTGCGGTCGCGCTATAAACATCTGCAGGAGCTGGTCGTTCGATGTAGGCCGGTTCATCCATGATGTCATCGTGCAGGTCCATCTCTGTCGGTGCGGGTGTTGGTTGTTTGCTCAGCTGGTCGATGAAAGAACGAGATGGACGAAGGCGGGCGCTCGTGGTAGTCGACGGACTAAAAGATTGGAATTAGCATGCATGCAAAGTCCACCAGTTGTGTAGCAGACACGCACGGCACCAGCACATTCTCCATACTTTCCTCTAGCTCCGTCAAGGGCGAAGGCGGCTCACGCGTCGGCTCCCGCACCCTTGCAGCAGCCGATGACGTCCGCGCACGCTTACGACCCTTGATCGGCGATGACGGCAATTCCACGAGCTCGTCGTCCGAGTCATCCCCTGCGGGCACACGCGAGTTGCGCAGCCGCTTGCGCGTTGGTGTGGCAATCGGCGTGCGGAGCACCTGTTTCCATAGGTCGACCTCTTGCTCGATCGTCATGTCTTGGCTGTTGCTCGGGAGGTCCAGCGCGCGGCGGGCAGTAGCAATACTAGATATATGAGATTCGAGCATAGGCAATGTAATGAAACGCAGCGTACATCTTCTTGCCACTGAGCGACAACGCATAGGCCCCATGATCTTTCTCCAGGATGCCTTCTTCCGTCTGACAGTCCTCAGGCTCGATTAACATGACGGCCTGAAGAATGACGCACCAAGACGCCGATGGCCTTCGTGACGAACGTCTTCCAATGTGGGCCTAGCTTCTCCTTCCGCTCCTGTGCCATCTTCTGGACTACACGCGTCATGACGATCGTTAATTATCGGTACAAGAATAGGAGACGAGAGTGCGCACCGCGCGCGTGGATGCTCGCAGTGCGGATGGCATGTTTGTGCGTCTCACGCTGGATTTGGGACATCGCGCCCATGACACCTAGAATGAGCGAGCCAGTCAGCACCGCGCCCCACACTCACACGCTCCACAACGACGTACGTTCTGTATACCGCGGCGCGACCTTCGCGGCCTTGGGACTTTTTGAAGCCACCATGGTACTTGGCTTCCGTATTGACTATGAGAAATGGGAGAGGTGGTAGGTCAATGTGTGCGGTCGAATGTAAGGAAAGGAGACTTTGTGACATAACGCGGCTTTGGGTATGTGATGTCGTCACGTGACGGCGCCCCTCTGATGGCGCCAGCACGGCGCCGCCCTTTTGTTCAGTCATGGCGAGTCAGCTACGGAAGCGAAGATAGGATTGGCGATGACTGGCGACGACTCGTGTATTGTCTTCCTACTCGATCGAGTGCGACACATGGCGTCGTGTTCTTCAACGAGCAAACCCCCAGATCGTCGGCGAAAACTTCTCCTTATCAGACCCTAAGGGTAGCGAGCGGATGGTGATTCCCGTTGCACTGACGCCGCTCTGACACTCTCAGCCAGCTTCCTCAAACCCACCGGGAAACCCAATTTTGGGTCCCATCTGTCATCTTTCGTCGTTCTCCGCACGCTTCTTCCGCGCGTTCTCCATTCTTCGATATGGTTTGTGATGCAGACTGATCATGAGCGGTAGGACGCCGCAACACGCGCCGCGATGCAGTAATGTAGAATGACAACCGCTGCTGCGGTTTGTGCTGCGGTTTTTCCTTCTTGGGGGTGATGCTGCCCAGGGTCTGTCCGGTTCGCTCGGCACGATCTCTACGCCCGTTGTCCGTTTTTAGCATACGAAACTAACTACAGGCCCGTTGCGCAGGAAGCCTGCGGACACTTGCCTTCCAGAGATCCAACTCGCGCATCACTCGACCTGGAGCAAGCCAAGGTCCCCCGCCCACATACCCAGCCCACCGAAGTGCATTGTCCCGGTCTTCATCTAATGGACGATCCCACGCACTGTCCCGGCGTCTCTGCATCCGACATGCCGTCTCCTCGACATCGCCGCATAAGGAGCGCAATTCCCAAGGACGTTGGGCTGTGTTATAGAGTTACAGGGAACGGCGTGATGACACCACTCTAACCCGCCCACTCCCTCTACCTGCACCAACCATGGACGCAGTCAACGCGCACCGCGACAACGCCATCAGCAACCCCTTGTCTCCGCTGGAGGTTCTCGCGCGGACACACGCCATCCTGTGCACGGTGGGATTTCTCATCCTCCTGCCTCTCGGTGTCCTCCTTGCTCGATACGTCCGCACCTTCACCGGCCGGCGAGTGTATTCTGTTTGCTGCCAGCTGTTCCCGTCTGACAGATTGAGAAAAGCTGGTTCTGGGGCCACGCCATCCTGCAGCTCGTCATCTCGGGTCCCGTGATCTTCGCTGGTTGGGCGGAGGGGCACAAGCTGTCCAAGCAGCTCGGGTTCTTGACTGTGCACGACCCGCACCAGAAGATCGGTGTCGCTCTGCTTGCGCTCTATGTGTTCCAGCTGCTCGTGGGGATCGTCATCCACTTCTTCAAGTGCGCGGGTCTCTTCAGAGGCCACCGCCCGCCGCAGAACTACATCCACGTGCTGCTCGGCTTGACCATCCTGGCACTGGCCGCCTATCAAGTGAGCGAGAGCGTTTGCGGATACTTCCGAGGTGGACTAATCTGTTGCTAGGCGCACTACGGCCTGTACACCGAGTGGAACTACGCCATCGGGGAGAACCATGAAGTGCCCGACTCTGCCAAACATGCTTGGCTTGCTCTCGTCGTGGTTAGTGTCCGGTGTTTGCCCGATCTTCTGGGCTGATACGACCGCCGCGTAACAGGTCTTCTGGGTGCTCTATTTCCTGGGCATGGCGCTCTTCCCCCGTCAGCTCAAGCAGGAAGGCGAATTCAGAAGTAGAGCACGTGGGGATTTGAGAGGCAAGGTGCAGGATGAGGGCACGGCATCCGCTTGAAGAATGACGCCCAGCCCCTTCGTACAGTAGAGTCAAGAGTGAGCCGTCCAGCCAAGAACTGTTTAGGGACTTCTCTTAATTTTTTCTGTTCTGCTGGTACGCGCGTGACTTGTTGAAATTAACTTGGGAACTTCGAGTTCTCAACCTGAAGTCTTGAACGACGATACGGTCACGTGTGTACCCGACGTCAAGGGCTCGCGGCCCGAGTTGACATAAATCCCCTATCCGCGACAACCATGACCTCGTTTCCGCTCCACTCCACCATGCACCAGCCACATGTCTCTAGCCCTCTTGTGTCCTCTTCCTCCGAATCCGACAACAGCAGTGATTCCGAAGCCACGCTCGAAGACCTGGACTGGTCCCAGGAGAATGCGCTGCAGCGCTTGCCTGGCCCAGGCCCGACGCGCAGCCTGCACACTCAGGGGGTGTCGCATTCTCGGCCAGATTCCGCATGCAGCGATGTCTCGTGGCGTTCCTCCTCGTCCTCCGAGAACTCTTCGGTCGTGTATGACATGTGCGTGTGCTGTGCCTCTGAGCCAGGTGGCAGCTGGGCTCAACACGATGCACGACTAGCGATTTCGAGTCACTCATTGACGAACTGATGATGGAGGAGCCCTTCCCGTTGAGCGAGTCCCGGAACACGGTACGTACCCTGCCAATCCTCGAAATGTCCTAGCGCGAGAGAACTGATGCCGTCAGGTCGCCGTCGCCGCATCACACGACGCCGCTACGGACTCAATGCTCATCAAATATCTCCATGAGTCCTCGCCCGAGTTGCTGATCACACTCCGTCTCAACCATGACCAATACCGAGATGACCCATGGAACCCTATCCCCCACATCCTATGCGCGGTGCACCGAGACGATCACGTGTTCCTCTGCCTGCAACGCCTCGTGGAGTTCAACGAGCCTCCACTGAAGAATGTAGCCAATTGCGTAGATTTCTTCCGACAAGTGTTAGAGGTAAATGCGGTAGATGAAGGTGAAAACAAATGCTGAATACGCGCATACAGGGCTTGACGTTTCTCCACGAACATTCTATCGGCCAACTATCGTGTTTGGACATGTCGAATTACATGGTGGACCTTGGTCCGACGACGTTCTCTGCTACAGCAGCTGAATCTGTCCGGGCCTTCGACCGCACCCTCTATCCTGTGCGATACTACCTTACGAACCTGGCATCTGCATGCGAGTTGGACTCTCTGACGGACGAGGAAGCAGCAGAGATCATGCGCAGAGACGTCCGAGAGTGTGCAGAAATGATGGAGAATGTCGGCGAATCGGTGCGCTTGTTCTATCTTCCGTGGCAACTCGACAGAAGCGTTTATTCTATCCCGACAGATCCCGGTCATCTCCACCAAACTCGTCACACTGGTGACAGCCATGAAGACAGGGACCTTCGACGCAGACGCCTCCCGCAAGCTGTTCGAAGCGCTCTGCAAGTCTCTGCCGTCCGAGGTATTCGATCTGCCTGCCGAAATACATGTGAGCACGACACACGACCATACACCGGAAGCCCGAGTGCACGTTCCTGCGAAGCCTGAAATTCGCTCGTCGCCTTCTGCTCCTCTGCTCCACCATCGAACCGCCGGCCCGCTGCATACCATCAATCTGCTCAGGAAGCCTAAATCGAGTTCGATCACGCCACAGTCGCTCTGTTCTCCACCTCAGTCGAGATCTGTCCGGTGAGGTGAATACAATTTTCCCGGAGGGAGCGAATTAGCGTACCAGTACATTGAGGTCATTGTTACTGCTAGAGTTGCTGGTTCGTGGTAGGAAGGAGCGATCACGTGGGGAAGTGTTTGGTTCCAACTGCAACTTGTATATGTCATTAGCAGTCTAGACGCGTCGTCGAAATGTTTCACACGTACAGTTTAAAGTCGTAAGTATCCTTGGTATGAGTTGACAAGTGGGATTCTAATGGTGGTTTCTGGAATCAGATGAAGTTACATATGACTTTAGGCACGAACTGGTCTGTTTTTGTTCCATGGAGCCTGTGCAGCTGGATCAGATGCATGTGTGAACGCTGAAGGCTGAATTTTCTTTCGAGTTGCTTGCTAGAGGCTGGGAAGCAATTAATCGCAGGGGAATAGCATCGATGTCGTTCTAGATGATTATGCAAGACATGCCTTCATTTGCGGCGTACATACCAAGACCCGGGTGGGTCCAGTCAAGATCGAGCTAGTTTCGAGATGAATGCAGAGATAAATTCACTAGGGCCCCTGTATTTTCTGATTTTTTCTGTTCATTTTAGATCAGAAATGTTGAATGTACAACTAGGATCACTCAATTCTTGAAGGACTTGGTGTCGCCGAAGGAGTCTTCGGGACTATTTGAGCTTATTTAGTAATGATCTAGAAACTTTGGGATACAGGAGACCGCTACATTGCTCAAGCCAAAATTTGTTATTATCTCAAGTTCAAATACTTTTGAGTCGATCAGCTGAATCAAGCTAATCTAATCATCACGTCCCCTACGACATAGCCACATCCGGCCTCCCCTTGCTTCAATGGCCATCCGACCATCTATCAGTGCCGTCCTCATCGACATATCAGGCACACTTCACATTGGACCCAACCCAACTCCAGGTGCAGTAGATGCTTTTCGTCGCCTCCGCAAGTCAGGGATCCCTTTCCGGCTTTGCAGCAACACCAGCAAGGAGTCCACGGAGGACGTGACGACGCGTCTTGAGAAGCTCGGATTCGATGTGCGGCGGAGTGCAACGGGTTCCGTGGATCGAGAGGTCTGGACCAGTATCGGCGCCGTCAAGAGCACCATGCAGCGCCTGAACGTGGATAGGTCCGTCGACCCGCGCTCCTGACCTCACGATATCGTTTGACAGTGGATAGGCAGACCATTTATGATCCTCTCCGACTCCGCGCGGCGCGAGATAACAGCCGCAGGGAGTGACGATGACTCCGATGGGGCGGCTGTGCCGTACGACTCGGTCGTGATCGGACTCTGCCCCGCGCGGCTCGACTACGCGCACCTCAACACGGCCTTCCGCATCCTGGCGCGCGAGAATCCTGCGCTCTCGGCAAAGGCGCCGGTCCTCATCGCGGCGCACGCCGGGCGGTACCTCGAATCGCACGCGGGCGGCGGCGGTCTCACGCTGGGCCCTGGCCCGTTCGTCGCGGCCCTCGAGCATGCCGTGGGGCCTGGGACCAAAGCTACCATCGTGGGGAAGCCGTCTCGCGCGTTCTTTGAGACGGTGATCAGTGACATGTGTCTGGAGCCGGGTAGTGGGCGCATCGCCATTATCGGAGATGATGTCGAGGCTGATCTGGGTGCGGGGGCGATTGAGCTGGGGTTGTGGCGTGTGCTCGGTAAGCAGCCTGTTCTTTTGCTTCCGCTCTCCTCTCAAAGTTGTCGTAGTCAGGACAGGAAAGTACCGACCCGGGGATGAGGCTCGGACGATCAGCCCACCGGATGAAGTCGTCGACTCATTTGCCGACTTCATCGAAAGCATCTTACATCCTTCTTCGTAGGCCTTTGCAGCACGAACAGCTCTACCGCTCCTCAAATACTCCCGCCTTCGAAATGGGCGACTGATAGAATTAGATGGGCAATCGCGATCACGTGATGACATTAGACCGCAATTGATATCCGCAGGATCAATTGTGGGTTAACATAGAGGATTATTAGCGTCTTGATAAATCGATTATTGGATATCGGTCTTTGAGCTCAAGCAGAACATTAGAGTGTCTCCAGAATGGGTGAATGATTGTAGACTTGCTCCCTGCTCGGGCGCACCTCTTCGCCGCGATTGCAGAAAGATTAGATCGTAACTTATCTTAGGTTTAGATGGTGTCCCTCTTGCTGCCTGCAGAGAACGAGGGACAGCACGCGCTCCGTTTGTTGAGAATGCGTGGTGGACGCGCCCACCCGACATCCTCAGATCTGAATAGAGAATACCGGTGTTGTTTTCCCTCGTTTTTGCCAATCACCAGGCTAGGAGAATTGACGGAAACCCTGTTGACTTCCACCACAATGAAGGTACTCAACGATTATGATCAAACGGGCGTTTTTTCTTACCTCCTTCTATCTGGGTTACGACGAGACCGCCGCCGTGGAGGTTGAGGCTGTCTACGACTGGCAGTCTTTCTGGACATGAGAGACGCCAGACGATGTTCTGCACATACCTCGTAGCAAGACACGCACAATGGCCGCACGTGCCGTCCCCCTTGATCTCGCCGTCGTTCCAACGCATGTCTCTCTCGCCAACGAGCACAGGGATCTCATCCGGAGGCACATAGCCACCGAACTGCGGGGGACAGTGTTTCTATCTCCCGCCTATCACTTGCCTCAAAGGTGACCCTCGCGTTCTTGACTCCGATGAGTTGCCCCCCGATGATTTACTTGCCGTGGGTGACATATAGAAACTGCGGGAGCATCTCCAGTGCGCTCTCCGGACTTCCGTTAGCGGTTTGTCAAAAGTGCTGATATCAGCTCACGTCGCATCTGGTCACGTTCAGCTCGATGTCGGGGACAAGTTGGCCCTGTGCCAGATCTATCATCCTTCATGCGCGGGCTACATCACTAGAGCTTGGCCTCCTCGTCACTTGCAAGTTTTAGCGATTCGGCGTCATCGTTCTCTTCGGCACCACACCGAATAGCTGGAAATTTGGATTATACCGACTCGCGATAGGTGCAGTTTTCTCGGTGCAGCCTTCATTCTGAGATTTACGGCTGGGAAGATATACTATCAGTGAATGAAATCACACGCCGCTAGCCAACTGCCACAACGGCCTTGAAGACCGAACGAATGAACGCACAGAACGATCTTATCACTCACGATCCGCCATGCCCGAAACATCGACTTGCTCTTTGACGCTGTCCATTCCCTGTATCTTTGCTTGATTCATCCATTCCAAAAACTTCAAGTTTTCTACATATTTATTTATTTCTATTTAGTCACAAGCTCTCAGCATGGGATGTGCTTACCTAAATGTATCATCACTTCCATCTACGAGCATAACCCAGTCCTTGTCATACTCGCATCATAGCGCAAGATTGACGAACCGAGATGCTGGGACTTAGACCCCAGAGAGAGATGCCGATCCAAATACGATTGCATGTGCTATCAGCGAGCGTCATTAGTGCGATCAACCGAGGGCGCAATCGGAGGGCATCACGATGATCAAAACATCAATCGCAGTTTGTTATGTAAGCTTCTGCAGGCTAGCGTTTCCTTCTCGACGCGCTGCGGTGTCTTTGCTCGAGCTTTCCTAAACAGACGCGCAAAATCAGGGCATGGACAGTGTCCTGCGACTGCATTCTCTTCAGGTCCCTTCGATGCATCAGGTCCTCCAGGGCGTGGTCGCGTCTCATCATAACATGTACTCAGAAGAAGCAGATGCGGACCATATGGTAGATGGTGGCTGTAACCGTCTAGCTTCCATGGGCCGTTTCGCCAACGGGCGGATGGATGGCATGTTATAAAGCACCGGTATTGGGAATACCTGACCGACGACGCCCATCACCGGCATAGTTCCTGCACTTCGCTCCGCCAGCAACGGACACAAAGCATGTCCCTCTACTCCTCCTCCTCCTCGACCGGCGGCATCATCTACACCTCCCCCGCCCCGTCGGTCCCTGTCGTGAGCACCTCAGTGTTCACGCACATCCTCTCGCTGGACGCCAGGACCGGGGATGTCGGTGGATTCCCCGGCGCGAAGCCCGCGTTCATCGATGCGGACACCGGGACGACTGTCACGCGCGTGCAGCTGAGGCAGCTGGCGCTCGAGTTTGCCTTTGGGATGCGCACGAGGGCCGGAGCGCGACGCGACGACGTGGTGATGATATACAGCCCCAACGCGCTGGCCTGGCCAGTGGTGTTATTTGGATGTTAGTCACCTGCTATTTCGAGCCCTGATGGCCCTTGGGTGCTGAGCTGACCTGTGATCCAGCTGTCGCTGCGGGGCTGCGCTGTACGCTGGCTAACAGCGCGTATCTCCCGCGCGAGCTGGTGCACCAGTACACGGACAGCGGCGCGGGCCTGGTCGTGACGCACGAGGCGGGGCTGGCTGCTATTCGCGAGATGTTTGCGATGCTCGGTGTTTCCAAGGCAGAGGGCGACCGACGGACAATCTTGCTGACACGAGATCTGACGTGGGCAGGCGGACCCTCGGCATCTGTCTCTGAAGACGCCGCAGCGCTGGTGAAGATGGGTGATCTGTTAGGACTGGGATCTTTGATCGAGGAGGAGAAATTCGACGGGGAAAAGCTGGCCACAGAGACCGTATTTCTTTGTTATAGCTCTGGGACGACGGGAAAACCCAAAGGGGTGGAGGTGCGTTGATCGACATCAGAAACTTTTCCGAGCTGAATGGAGAACAGACTACGCACCAGAACGTTACAGTCTTCGCCGATCTCCTGAGAAGTCAGCTGCCACCACTCTCAGTGGGAAAGGAAGCTGTTTTGGGTATTCTTCCATTGTACCACATCTATGGTATGCCGCACCGCAAACATTCCCTCGATCAACCAATGAGATTTGTCGCAGGTCTCATGCAAATCCTGCACATACCTTTCACCTTGGGATGGACCACCATTCTGCAAGGGGCATTCGATCCAGTCAACTTTTGTCGGATCATACAACAATATGCCATCAGCTTCGCTTATGTTGTGCCACCGATGCTGGTCGTCCTGGCGCGCCACCCAGCCGTGGATAAGTTCGACCTTTCCAGTTTGGAGTACATGGTCTCGGCTGCGGCGCCGCTGGGTGCAGACCTCGTCAGGCTTGTCAAGCAGAGGCTACTGTCGAAGCGGGCAGCTGGTGGAACTCTTTGGATCAGCCAGGGTGGGCTCAGGCAATCTCTTCACGTAGATGGTTTGACTGAAGCATTACACAGGCTACGGTCTCACTGAAACGACAACGGCGACACATCTCGTTCCCTTTGACGCGCGGTCGGACGCAAAAGCCGGCAGCATTGGCCCTCTCCTGCCGAATCTGGAGGCCCGCATCATCTCGGAGAATGGCGGTGGCGATGCCCAACCTGGAGAGCGCGGCGAATTGTGGATCAGAGGCAAGACGATCATGAAGGGATACCTGAACAACGTCAAGGCTACGGCTGAGACGACGGCTCCGGACGACTGGTTCATGACGGGAGACATTGCCTACCGGGACGAAGACGGATTCTACTATATCGTTGACAGGAAGAAGGAGCTGATCAAGTACAAGGGCTTCCAAGGTCTGTGTCCGTCATGGGCTTTCGGTCTCGAAGCTTATCCGAAGTTGCGGCCAGTTCCTCCAGCAGAGCTCGAAAGCGTGCTTTTGACACATCCTGACATCGCAGACGTCGCTGTTATCGGTATCGAAGATTTGAAGGAGGCGACAGAGCTTCCTCGGTGTGTTGCCTCTCCCTTCCTTTCTCGACATCGTCAGTGCTCATCCGGGCATCCTAGGGCATATGTCGTTCACGCTAGTCCCGATTCTCTCCAATCAGATGCCGAGAAGGTAGAGTATGCTCAAAACATTGTCAAATGGATGCAGACCAAAGTCGCGAAACACAAGTTCCTGCGCGGAGGTCTGTGCCTGCTTGCGCCTTGCTCTTCTCAGCTCTGAATGCGGTTGTTCCACAGGGGTGCGAGTGATCGACATCATACCAAAGAGGTAAATGTTATGTGGTGTGCTTAATCAATTTCCCCTGACGTTCTGTTTTCAGTGCGGCCGGTAAGATCCTGCGAAGAGAGCTTAAAGACTTGGCCAACGCGGAGCACAACCAAGCGAAGCTGTAGCCTACGACTCGCTTTTGACATCATACTGTACTGGACTGGATCTGCGGCTTAATTTATATTCTTCGCCGACCTTGCATCTTCACCGGCACTGCCGAATGCGCCTCCCCGGCAAGACAAGTGATCACACGTCCGGTCCGGATCCCGCGGGATCAGGCAGATCAGCCGCTTGAGTGTACTGTGGGGCCCCGCTGCGGAGAATCTGGGGCGCATTTTGCCGGATCCTTGGTCATTGCTTGGCGCTGCGACAGAGAGAAAAGAAACGTTTGTCTCGGGATGAGCTTCATGAGGGAGGGCACCATCCATGATGTGGAGTCCGGATGCACCGCAACAAGACTCAGCCTGAGAAGATGTCCAAGAATCTCCACTGCCAACTTCTGTGCGATCGGGCTGTTCGGCCACCGCAAGGTCGTAAGCGCGCTTGTGCAAGGACTCGCTATTCATCGAGTCGGGCCATTTATGTGTATCCGGCACATCAGCCCCCGGAAAGCCGGATGTTTTCCGAGACATCACTCAGAAACCTCCTCCTTATAACGGCTGGGGGTCTCTCTGTCCTCGCTCCGGCATCCCCCCTCCACCACCTTCGGTCACTGCACGCTCACGAGTAGAATCCATGGCGCCGCCTCGCATCTATGAATCGGGCTACTCCCCCGTCCCCATCGTCAACACCTCGATCTACACGCACCTCCTGGGATCCCGCACGGCCTCAGGAGACGACGTCGGGGGTATCCGGGATCCTTCAAAGCCTTCATCGACGCCCCGACAGCAACCACGCTGACGCGAGGTGGTCTGAAGGATCTCACGCTACGGCTCGCGTACGGGCTCAAACATGTGTGCGGGGCGAAGAGGGGAGATACGCTGCTGATCTTTTCTCCGAACTCGTTGGCGTGGCCTGTCGTCCTATACGGAGGTGAGTTCGTGTATCCTGTCTTCATGCTTTCAACCGCTATGGCACGGCGTATCATATACAGTGTAAGGGGGGATCGTCACGAGCGGTGGTTCTTCGCCGCTTATCCCCTCGCCTCGTGTCCTTCCATTTTTCGCTTTCCGTTACTGCGCAGCCCCAGCGCTGAGTGTACGACGATGACTCATGCTCTGGACGTTTTTTTCTCTCCACAGGCGTCGCGGCCGGCCTACGATGCACGCTCGCGAATAGCGGGTACACGCACCACGAGCTCGAGCACCAGTACAAGGACAGCCGAGCGAAGATCGTCGTCTGCTCAGAGGAGACTGTGCCCGTCGCTCGAGAGATGTTCTCGCTGCTGGGGCTCTCCGAGGCGGAGGCGGACACGAGGATCGTGGTCATGCCGCAACAGGACCTTAGCTGGGCAGGGGGGCCACAGGCACCCAAGCCCGCGAACTTGAAGAACCTGGTCTGGATGCAGGATCTCTTGGCGAAGGGCAAGCTGGCAAAGGAGGAAAAGTTCGACGGGCTTGGGGACGAGACGGTGTATCTCTGCTATAGTTCAGGGACTACGGGGAAGCCCAAGGTGCGTCCGTTCATTGCCCTTTGCTTCACGTAGACTGAGCTCTCGTTTGCTACTAGGGTGTCGAGGTGGATTGCGTTTTTCTTTCTTTTTGAAGATCTGTGCTTACACGCAGACAGACCACGCACCAGAACATGACTTCCGTGGTCGACATGACCAAAGGGTTCTTCCCTCTCCCTCCAGACGGCCAGACGCCTATGATCGCGATCCTTCCGTTCTATCATATCTTCGGTCCGTCTGTGCTACGATCAGTCTCGAATACTCTGCTCATCCTCTGGAACTTGCAGGGGCGTCGAATATCCTGAACGGCTCGTTGTCCTGTGCAACTCCGGTCGTCGTGATGCAGCGCTTCGACCCGGAACTGTTCTGCGCCAACATTGAACGATACAGAGTCATGTACTCGTTCGTTGTGCCCCCTGTTCTAGTCACGCTCGTGAGACACGAAGGTCAGCTGGGCTCCGTTCTGAGATCTCGGAGGTCGGATCGCTGATGGACGCGTGCAGCTGTGGATAGGTACGATCTGAGTTCCTTGGAGTATATGCTGTCTGGTGCAGCTCCGCTCGGTGGCGAACTCGTTTCGATGGTGGGCTCGAAAAACTGCCCTGTGTGCATGATCACTGAAATCCGACAGGTCCGAAAGCGACTACTTGGGAAACGAAAGGCCGGATCGATATTATGGATTACTCAGGGTGCGTGTGTTCGTCTGGCTGGGTCGAGTTGCGGACGAACTCATCTCATCCAGGTTACGGTCTGACTGAGACGTCGCCCTCGACTCATACGCTGGAGTACCAAGACTCCCTGCGCAAGATCGGCAGCTGCGGCACTCTCCTCCCGAACTTGCAGGCTCGGCTGGTCGAAGATGAGGATGGATTGGTCGACGCTGAAGAAGGCCAGCCAGGCGAGCTGTGGCTGAGAGGGAAGACCATCATGAAAGGATACCTGAACAACGTGGCTTCGACTAAGCACTCCATCACCCCCGACAAATGGTTCAAGACCGGCGATGTCGCTGTCCGGGACAATGAGGGGTTCTTCTACATCGTCGATCGTAGAAAGGAGTTGATCAAGTATAAGGTACGTCTCTGTCTCTACTTCTTCTAGCCGTCGTTGATGAATCCGATTGCAGGGCTTCCAAGTCCCGCCCGCCGAGCTTGAAGCCATTCTGCTCTCGCACCCAGGTGTAGCCGATGCGGCTGTGATCGGCGTGGACGATCCTGTCGAGGCCACAGAGCTCCCGCGGGCTTACGTTGTCCCCGCCGACCCCGCCAAAGTTTCATCCAAGGCCGAGAAAGCTGCTTTCGAGGCAGCAGTAGCCCAATGGATCCAGACGAAAGTCGCGAAGCATAAGTATCTGAGAGGAGGGGTTGCTGTTATCGATCTCATCCCAAAGAGGTATGCGACTGCAACTACTGCTGGTCCATCTCTCTGATTATGGCTCAACAGTCCGGCTGGGAAGATCCTCCGCCGGCAGCTTCGCGAGCTGGCGAAAGAGGAAGTCAAACGCGGCGAGATCAAGTTCGCGACCAAGGCCAAGCTATAAGGCCTGGTATTGGGTGTTTATATCGTGCCCGGTGTAAATTATACTTGCCCTATCTTATCTACTCCCTGTAACTATGCTATCATCAACGTACAAAGCTCAACCTTGATCAATCAATCGAGCTGTGGCATTTGGGTCGCGAGCGAGCATGTGACCGCGTAGAAGAACATATCGCCACCACTTAGTCTGGGAACATAGTGGAGTCATGGAAGCATGGAAGCTCCATGGCAGTAGACATCGAAGGACTTCATCATGGGAAAGGTCACAAAGACGCACATGTAGCTTTCCAAGGTTCCGGAATATGCGACGACATCAAACAGGCTCGAGGATCAAGCAGTGCGTTTCAGTCCAGCGACTAGGCCGCACTGGACTCGTAGGCGAGGCGCGTCCGGCAGAAACTCATTGCTGCGCGAGAATGGATCGGTGGGGATGGGAACCAGCATTCGATCCGGCTAGTGCTTGGCGACACATGTAAATAAGCTGGATCGTGAAAACCAAGCGTGGCCGGGTGGAGCTGGTGCAACGATTCCCGACTTTGGCAACGGCGTTAACAAGATCCGTGAGCCGGGGTCCTTCTAATGAGGCCAATAAGAGTGTAATATACGTTCGAGAGAGCGTTTAAACCACGATGGGATGAGCGAAAGGTAGCAGCTGGCAGGGCAAGGCAGGAGAAGCTGAACTGGAGGGTCAACGTCGTTGTCTAATCACCGCGCTGAGTCAGAGTGCAGACGACAACAGGGAGACATCACATACATTACGTACACATATTACACTTCACCTGGCCCACTACAGCCCTCAGACTGCCTCCTGCTCCATCGGATGGCGGGCCTCCCCAACGAACACACGAATGGCGACGATGGGGTCAAGTTCAGTCCCAACGATCTCGGGATGTACACCATCGTCAGCAACATCGCCGAGGGAACGTTCGGACAGGTCAAAAGTGCGTGCTATTGTCGCTCGGTTGCGGTTCGCAGATTTGAGACTCCTCGCAGAGGCGATCCACAAGGTCACCGGCCACCGAGTTGCGATGAAGTTTCTCTCCCGAGCCGTGATAGCGACCGAGGGGAACAAGCTGCGCGTCCGCCGCGAATTCGAATACACACGCATGCTTAGACACCCGCATATCATCAAACTGTACCTTCCGCACTTGCTTCCCATCGCGGCTGTACTCACGCGCCTGTTCAAGCTACGAAGTCATCACTACCCCCGAGGACATCGTCTTTGTTCTCGAGTACGCCGAGGGCGAGTTGTTCGACTACATTGCGCGGCATGGGCGGCTCGAGGAGGACACAGCGCGCAGGTTCTTCCAGCAGATTATGGCCGGCGTCGAGTATGCACACCGGCAGAACATCGCGCACCGGGACCTCAAGCCGGAGAACATCCTCCTCGACGAGTACTTGAACGTCAAGATCGGGGACTTTGGGCTCTCGAGCGAGACGCGGGACGGCGAATTTTTGAAGACGAGCTGCGGCAGTCCTAACTACGCTGCGCCGGAAGTGATCAGAGGGGACCAGTACGCCGGCCCGGATGCGGATGTCTGGAGCTCGGGAATCATCCTGTACACCTTGCTATGTAACAAGCTGCCCTTCGAGGATGAAGACATGCCCACGTTGTTCGAGAAGATCAAAAGTGCGGTGATGTTTGGTTTCCTAGTCTGCAGCCTGCGCCCGTGCTGACCACCACCCCACCCGCAGGTGTCAAGTATCAAGTACCGAGGGACATCAGCCCGAATGCCCAGAATCTCATCAAGTCCATGCTCGTGCTGGATCCGTCCAAGCGAATAACCGTCGCCGAGATCATGAGGCATCCCTGGTTCACGGTCAAGCTCCCGAGGTATCTCACGCCGCTGCCGCCTATCCCGGGTGCGGTCGTCGGGACTCTGAGCTCCCTCGTCTCTGCGCCGGCTGTCCCGCTGGCACGGGACAACGAGTTCGTCGAGGGTCTGGGCCTGATCGACTTGGAAGTCGTCGACGAGCTAGCGCAGCTGCTGGATGGTGTCGACAGCGAGGAGGTGCTCCACAGTCTGCGGCGGAATGACGGCATCCGCGGGAATCAGGTCAAGGTTGCGTACATGTTGCTGCAGGACAAGAGGCGGGTTGGGAAAGATCGTGAGTCCCCCGCTGCATATTTGTGCTTTTTCTGTCTCATTCCCTCTGCCGTTGCCATCTCTGCCGAGCAGGAGCGAGACGACGAACTGGCGAGGTTGGATGTAAGACCCATTTGTGTCTGGCCTTGCCATTTCTCACACCAGTGTCAGCCTCGGAACGTCATCTCCCCCAACGCTGTCTCCCCGAACGGCGGTGATCTGGAGGATAATCCGTTCGAGGTCGAGTTCGAGGAAGACGTCAACGACGATGAGGACGACGACCCGCACCTGCCGTCGAATGTCTCTATCCTGGGAACCTCGCTACCTCCCCTGGACATGACGCCGACTGGCCGCGCGAATCGGCCACGCACCAAGAAGGGTGCCCGATGGCATATTGGGATCCGGAGCTCCAGCGAGCCGATGCGGGTTCTGAGCGAGATTTACGGGCTGTTGCGCGAGATGGGCATGGAATGGGCGGAACGGAAGGATCTGTCCAATATCTACTGCATCGAGGCGCGCGCCAGGGTCAAGGAAGTCGTGGTACGTGCCGCACTTTCCCGTACTCTCGTTTTCTCCAGCGGGCCGGCTGACTCACTCCCGCCCAGATCGTCATGACTATCAACATGTATCAGGCGCGGCTGAACACTGAATTCTACTGGATCGACTTTACGCGCAAGCAGTCGTATCTCGCTTCGACGGTCCCCGGTGCAGGCAAGTTCGATCGTGCACCCCGGGAGGGATCAGAGAACGAGTCTATATCTCCCGGGTCGTATGCCCGGTCGATGCTACCTGATGGGTCGCACGTCCATGATGCCGTAGCGTCCCCCTTTATGTTCTTCGACCTGGCTACCCAGCTCATCCTCCGTCTCGCTTTTGGCCATGCGATAGACTGAATGTATTGTATATGCTCTCCTACTACAGCCAATGTATCTTGAATCGATTAGACCAGCAGTGGCCTCGCATTGAACGTACTCTGCATGTGGACGGTTAAGATAGGCAGTCACAAGCAGAACTGGATCACCTACTCCGGGCTGATTCTCTGGATGTGCGGGCCGATGTATTAGACGTTGGATGGCAGCGCTAAGGGCGCGACGGCCAGCACGAACGGATGCTGAGAGATAGAACTTCGACATGCACAAATCGATCTCACTTCAGACCTCAGCCAAATGTCGGGTATCTGGCTCGCAGACGATAGCCAAAAAAGAAGCAAAGGGAGGCCATTGACGATTCCGAGAAAAAATGCGGCAGTGCTTGGACTGTATTGATCCTCCTCCCCGTCCTGAGGTCCAGCAACGAGTATTTGATACTGGGCCGCACTGGCACACGAACGCAATAACCCAGCGGCGGCTGTCAATGGTGCCGGTCGCACCACTTGCTCGAGCTCGGAACGGAGGATGATCGCCGCCAGCGCCCTCCGGATGGGCAGGTTCATTGTGCTGGTGTCCGATGTTCACCTGGGGGAGTACGTGCAGCGGCATTCATTCAGGGTGCGTAGAGGGAGCGCTCGGAAGGCGTAGGGGAGGTCTGTCTTGCGTCCGCCTAGATATTGCATACATTTGAATAGGATTTCCGGATTTTCTAGTTACCGGGTGCGATGCGACATGCGTGGCGAGGTCAAGTTCGTGAGCCGAAAGATCGATCTAATCTAAGCTCCCTCCCTTCGAGATTCAAGCTCAAAAGGCATGCATCGATGGCGGTCAAGATGGAGCACGCGCTCGGCACTGTGGTTGGGCGCCAGGCGCTAGAAGCGAAGGGTCTCCAAAAAAGCAGTGGGCTGACGCTACTGCATTCTGTGCTCGGCCTCATAGTGACCCAGCGGGTACAAAGTCCAGAGCAGCTAAGCGAGCATAGTAGAGGCGCTCGAACAACGAGTTTTGGCCCCGGGCCGCGATGATGTGCGAGTCCTCTCGCAGACTTCCGTCAAAGATCGAATGATGCCGTCAAATACTGTTTGCTCTTGATCTCTCTCAATACCATTCTCATTGACAGCTAGAATCCCTCTGTCCGAGCCGTCGTGAGTTCAGTGGTGGCCCTGGTGGGGATGTATACATATCTCCGTCAGCTTCGAATCCGCCAAGCAGCCGTCGTCACCTGATCAAACGCTGTGGAGTGGCCCCGCTCTCTGTCCATTCACTTTGGAGTTCAACTCGTCACCACGCGTCATGCTTGTGCGCAACGTCACCTGCTATCTACCCTTTATAAACTGTCGGAGTCTCTCCGCTGCTCACAACTAACGATCAACAACTAACTCACACGACCCAACGACTCTCATCATGCCTCTTTTCGGATCTTCGAACAACAACAACAACAACACTCACAACACTCTCGTGCGTAGTCTTCTACTTCTGGGGTCGTGACGTTCCTTACGGAGGGACCAGCACCGCAAAGGCAATATGGACGCGAGAGACGGGTACAACAACAGCACTGTGCCAGGCTCCGGCCCAGCTGGGACCGGCGAGTACTACGACGACGGGATGTCTGGCGGTACCGCGTACAACGACGGAAACGCTAGTGCACGGGTACGTTGGCTCTGCGCTTACCCTCGCATAGCGCTCAGTCAACATCTACAGGTCGGCGGCGGACGCCATCACCACCCGATGGACGCCGGCGCGCCTGGCGTGGGCGGCCTGCACAACGACCCGAACGCCCCTCCGACAGCGATGAACAACACCGCAGGCATGGGCACCACGGGCCGCCCCAGCAAGCACGGCGCGACGACCGGCAAGATCGAGAAGGCGCTCGGCTCGCTCGTCGGCAGCGAGTCGCTTAAGGCGAAGGGCCTTCAGAAAGAACAGTGTGTTTAGTTTTCTTGCGCGTTTATGTGTGTTGTGTGACGTGCGATTGCAGGGAAGCCCATGCGTACAAAGTTCAGAGCGCCGAGCTTTCTGAGGCCGAGCGGCTCGAGGCGGAGGCGCTGGCAAGGCGCGACCGCGCCGTTGCACTAGGCGCTCATCCTGATCACCGGCATCTGGGTGGTGTGGGCGGCACTGCCGCTGGTGGAGCAGGAGTTGGGAACGCTCCCGGCGGTGTTTCAGGCGGTCCCTACGTGTAGGGGGTGCGTGAAGTCTAATATCAATATCATCTGTATCACTTAGTATAACTGGGAATGTGTAAAATATGTAGCGGAGTGAAGAATGAGTAAAATAAGTTGTCACTGAGAATCTCTCTAACGAACTAAAACATGGGCTGTTAGCGCAGTTGGTAGCGCGTCCGCTTAGCATGACAGTGTTGCGGGAGGTCACCGGTTCGACTCCGGTATAGTCCATTTTTGTTTCCCGTTTCTGTAATTCTTGCCTGTTCAGTCTGGGGAGGCACCGATACGGGTTTGTTCTGCTCGTAATGGAGGATCTAATTAGAAAGAAGCGCTCTTTGCGCCCCTTTATCCATTAACCCTGACGACAACCCAAACCCAGGCAAGCTCACCGTCACCAAGCATCTCAGCTTTCGGGCACTCATACACCAGATTCAGACAAGTCTCTCGCAGACAACAGAGTCGGCAAATTACCGGGGCGGTTCTCTTCCCCTTCCATCGGCTCTGGGACCCATGGCGCGAACATCTCGCGTCCACACCCGCACAAACCTCTGTTGGCTATTTTGCTTGCTGCCACACCCTGTCCTCACTTTCTGTGTCGACGTTCTCGATCTACTCCGTTATCTAGAGCTCAATAGCTTGTGGGAACTTGACATGATGTATCGGTGTTGTAATCACACAAACGCTCATCTCCTGACTCTCTTCGCGTCCTGTCCTTCTAATGCAAGGGTTCCCAGAGGCATTCGGGTGCTACAAGGTCTGCTGTTCAGGCATGGATGACACGGTCGATGGACAGACAGAACTCACGCAAGAGCTTCCGGTCCGCGCTTGAGAGGATTCTGCACCGCTAGTCAGTGTTTTCTTTTGAGATAGTCAAGGACTGGAAGCCCACCTGCATGCCCGGCGGAAACGTAAACTGGCCACCCGAAGTCGGGCGTTTCACAGCTGGGGTGTTCCGCACAGTCGAAGTCGAATTGGAGGGGTCCCCCACCCGGGACGCCGAGGCCTGGTTCAGAGTGGCTATGGCTCGCTCCCGGTTGAACTTGGGCGGGGGCGCCACCGATCCCGTCCGACCCAAGCCCATCGGGCCGTGATGTGCTGGTTGTGGTTGTGGCAGGGGGGGCGGGGGCATCGCCACTTGCGGCGGGACTGGGGACGGTATCTCTTCTTTGGCACCACCACCGGCGCTCAGCACACTGTTGCCCTCGTCGTACTCAATCGGGCGGCCGAAGTCGGCGTCGCCGAGATCCACGCGGGAGAGAAACTCGTCGTCATCGTCGAACTCGAACCCTTCGTCGTAGGCCGTGTCTTCTGGTTTCACGTCTTGGGCGGCAACCATGGGATTGGCTGGGGCCCGGGCGGGTCCTTGTGCTTGCGCTTGGACTGGCGTATGTGCTTGCCCCTGGCCGTGCGCCGGTACATGCGCCTGTGGTCGTGCGTGTGCGTGTGCGTGTGCGGACGGCGGTGCTTGAGCCTGTGGAGGAACCGGGATCGGCCTTGCTGGGGTCGACGTCGCGTTCGGTTTAGCTGGTTGTGGCAGTGGTTCAGGCTTCACTCTGACTGGGGGCCGATAGAGATCATCTTGGTCAAACTTTACCTAATCCAGAATACATATGACGGTGCCATATGAATCTATGCGCGTACACGCACCGGGACGGGTTTGATCTTGTTCACTTCCGCCGTGTAATTCTTATCGTACAGGCAATTTCCCGTGAGATTCCCAAACGTCCGGAGCGTGCGTTTGAGTGCGTCCGTGACCGCCTCTTTCTTGCACTGCCAAGGTTGAGATGCAAAGCAAAGCGCCTAGACATTTCTTACCTTATCCAGCGCGACGCCTCTCCCCTTGGCATTGTCGATCAGGCCATACCCAACGTCCTCATGCCACACTCCTTCCCGCAGCGTCACCCGCATGACACATGTCACACCCGCGCTGCAGCGCCGCGTCTCCGCGTTCCAGTCCACGTAGTCAGTCTGGAGGCTGCGAATACTTGAGCTCCAGCCGGAGAAGCCAAACACCTCGTTGGCCACGTTGATGATCTTCCACCCCTCAGCGTACGTGAGCTTGGGGCCGCCGGACGGCCCGGGGCGCGTTGAGATGTATTCTGGGCCTAGTTTCTGGTTGAGCTTGGTTTGCAGGAGAGAGAGTCGATCATATGTCGAGGCGGAGAATGTGTGCGTGTTTGGGGGTGGGCCGCCCCCGCCGTATTCACCGCCGCCGAAACCTCCACCTGCGAACCCACCGTCGTCGGGCCCACCACCGAAGTCACTGGTAGAGAACCTCCCATGGCCATGCATATCGCTGTCAAATGACATTAGGCCGTCGCCCGCCATCGACGTAGACGCGGTCAAATCATGGTGCATGGTCATGTCGGCAGGGTGCGGGGACGTGGAGGCTGAAGCAACGTTATGTGTGGAGGAAGACGCGGACTGGGGCTGCTGGTGCGACGGGGCAGACGAGCGGGTCTTTGTGTTCATGCCCATCGTGACTATCGGAGACGACGCCGAACGGTTCATCCTGGAGCCTGAGGCTTCGTAGGCATTGACGAGGTGTCCACTGAGAAGACCGGCCATGGTGTTGACGGCCTAGTCTGCGTTTACGTCGCTTGCGGTCGTGTTGCGATTCTGAATATAGCGGTGTCGTGATTGGATTTGCAGTGACTGACCCAAAAGAAAACAAGAAACCAAGAAAGGGAAATGAAGAAAGGGTAGGACGAGGAGTTCGTGTGGAGAGATTACGTGGAATTCAGACGTCGGGGAACGGTTCGGACGATCAAAAGCGGACGAAATGAAGAAGGGCGGTGGCAGACGTGAAACCTCGACGACACGAAGGTGAGCGTGAGAAGAACAAACAGAAGCGTCATCATGTGATCGCGACTTGACGCCATCACAACTACGATCAATCGAGGCGTGCCCTGCACAGCCTCGCAAGGCTTACGATCTTCTCTGCACTCCTTGGGAACACTTCACTTCGGCAACGGCAAATTCCATGCAGAGGGGCGACTTTCCCCGCAGAAGGTAAAAGGTACCCCAAATCATAGGGCAACCTCCAAGGACTCGTCACCGCCCTTTCGATTCGCACGCATACATTTGCCCGCACTCCAAGCCCTCAGCGCCGTCTCGATCTTCATAGAACTAATAGACTTCGTCGTCAAGAAATTGAACCTACTCCCCGCTTGATTGTTAATCTCTCCTCCATTCTTATTACCAAGCATCAGTGCCCGACGTCGGATTCTTCGCAAGCCAACAAGTACACTAGTCTTTTGCGCATTCCCGCGCGACCCAATATCGGCTCTTCAGGGCCCTCATCATTACGTCCGGTCAAGCCCGGTCGCTCAGAAAAAACTGGATGCCCTTTGAATGCAAGCTGGTCCACTCGTCTGGGTTTGTGTCTGTTACCTCTCGAGTAGCACGATACATCGGACCATTCTACCTCAAGCTCCTCGTGTCTCTGCGGATGAATGGCTATCCTGGCTCTGCAGATGAATGGCCTCTGGTTTGGGCCCCAACAACTTCAAGGGCTGCGGGAAAGATGGTCCCCGCTGCCATCTCGTCACCAAGATGTCGCAGATCTGTCCCTCGTATCTGCTGTTCCCACAAGACCTCGAGTTGTGAGATCCTTTCGGCGACTCTGACTGTTATTTCTCCTTGACTAGATCCTACGATGTCTCAAGACACAACTCAGCAGGGTATTCGTTCTCGTCGCTTCGAGCCACGCCCTAGAGCAACCCACAGCTGCTTTGGACCAAGTCTCCCGCATTCATCTACAAACCAAATCTACCGGAGCAACTTCCGGCTGTCAATGCGAGTGCGAATTTTGCACGATCAGAGCAGGCGACCGCTGGACTGATCTATACACGGCATGTGGGGAACCACTGTCTGTTCCATCCGATCGCACTGTCGCTCCTTGTTGATGTGTAGTCTCAGTTACCGTACCCTCCCAAGATGCCGTACTCCATCGCCCCTGGGTCATACTCGCAACGACAATTTCTTCTATGGTCCGGGTCCCTCAGGTTTAGCTGCATGCTGGTCTAATAACAAAAAATCGTCAAACATGCTGCGCGATTATGTTGAGATTAAGTACACCATATAGCATACACTTGTCATACGGTCTAGAATCAGATCCCTTCGCTCGCGACGAAACAAGTACTTAGAAGCAAAGCGATAGAGTGTCACGCGATGAGATACCACGATCACGTCACTCTTCCGCGATCACTCTGCTTCCCTCCACATTCTCGCGATAATGGGTTCGCTGGCCACCGTGAATGAGCTCATCGCCGGCAGCGTGGGTGGCGCCGCGCAGGTGCTCGTCGGCCAGCCGCTCGACACCATCAAGACCCGCGCCCAGGTCGCGCCGAGTTGAGTCGCCTCCGGAATCGCATGGCGGCGGTGCTGACGCCGCCGGCTGGGTTACTAGAGGGCATGTTCGTGAGTGCGCTCGGATGGGTCTCGTCTCTATCCTATCCACCCAGTCTCATGCGGGCTAGAAAGGGCCCATGGACATTCTGGCGCAGACGGTCAGGAAGGAGGGCTTCCTCGCACTGTACAAGGGTGACGATCTCACGTGCGCTCAGTCCGCCGTGATTCTGACGGTGTGGGTATCCAGGGATGGCGAGCCCGCTTCTGGGTATCGCAGGGGTCAACTCCCTGCTATTCGCCTCGTACGGGATCTCGAAGCGCGTCGTGTCGCCCTTCGGTCAGCTCACACTCCCCGAGACCGCGCTCGCCGGCAGCATGGCGGGAGCCGCCAATGCCATCCTGGCAAGCCCAGGTACGCACGTCTTTCGTGTCTGAGCTCGTCGTTATGGGGGACTTACGTACGGTACGCAGTGGAGATGTTCAAAGTGCGGATGCAAGGCCAGTACGGCGACAAGTCCGATAAGCGGCTCCGGGTCATCGTGCGGGAGATGTGGTCCCAGTGGGGCTTCCGGAAAGGTGTGATGAGAGGATATTGGGTTACTATGTCTTCTTCCACTGCGGATGTGCATCTGACGTCCGCCCAGGTCACCGTCGCCCGAGAAATACCTGCCTACGCTGGGTGAGTGCTGGAGACTGTCAGATTTTTTGTGCATATGTGAATACATAATTTCCGTCTGTCAGGTTCTACACTGGTGATTTCGGGTTCTCTCACGTCGTCTTTGCTGCATTGAATTGGACTGGCTAGCATATGAGTTTTCCAAGAGGAAATTCGCGGCCAAGTACGGAGACAAAGTTCCCGTCTGGGCGCTCCTTGCTAGCGGCTCCACCGGTGGGGTCAGTCTGATCCATCTCCTATCCAGATATGCAAGGGCGTTCTTGACCTGTGAAACTTGCAGATCGCCTACTGGCTAGCGTGCTATCCCCTTGGTGAGTGCACAAGTTCCAATCCAGGGATTCTTGTGATATCTCAACCGCGATCAGATGTTATCAAGTCGCGCGTCCAGCTGCGTGACACACCGCCAACCGGCACGCCTGTGCAGTACATCGCACGTGAAGCAAAGACGATCGTCTTAGAATCCGGCGTGTGAGTAGCTATTTTTTTGTATGTTTGAGACGGTCCTCAGATCGATGGGCATCAGCTCCGGACTGTTCCGCGGACTAACTCCGTCTCGTGAGTGCCATTCCCACTCTATGCACATTATTTCCTGCTGAGCACGAGACGATCAGTACTGCGAAGGTAAATCCACAGCTTGTTCCGCCTTGTCCTTTCTGGCGGAAACCAACTAACCATTTTTTCTTCACAACAGTATCCCCGCCGCGGCGAGTACGTTCGCAGCCTTTGAATTGACGCGAGGTGGGTTTGCTAAATTTTGCGCGCCCGTGTGGGTCGGTGGCTGATCTCAGGGACACAGAATGGCTAGTGGGTGTAACTGGCGTCTAGGCGATTGGTGCTATGGTAGATATATACCGGATGTTTTCCTGTGCAGGTAGGCATGTACACACATTCAAGGAATGTTCTGCGTTGTTGAACTTTGTCATTTCTACGTAGTTTCTACCAGCTCTCCGAGAGTCATGCCAGTTTTTGAGGCCCCATTTTAATGCAACGTATGATCCTATGAGATTCAGGATCATCATGTGTTGTACATGTGAAGTGGGCAGTGGTCCTTTGAACAACTGTGGTCTCAGCTGAACTTTATCACCAAGTACCTTGACCATTCTGAACTCATGAAATGGATCAAGATCGTACTTCTTGGACAGGGAAATTGAAGATAAGATCACCTCCACAAGGCGCTAGAGAGAATCATGAAGAGCTGCCAGTGAGGATCCTTGTCCGCTAATGTCATAGGCATGATCTCGCAGCAGTTGTTTCTGTATCGTCACTTAACAGTGACATGCAAATGGGAGATACGGACTGAGACGTATGCTTGCTGCAGCCGGAATTGAAGAAAGAGGATCACAGCACGAGGCACAGCTAAGCAACGCATGTGGCTCGCAAACGCTAGACGTTTCGCAGCGACTGATGGGATGGGGGATACGTCTCGAATCCGGATAGACTCGATGCATGGGCATGGCGCAGGGGCTTTGTCGAGACCTAGTGGAGAGAGCGTTGTTATGAATATGAGCGGATTGGCAAGGAGCGGGAAATCGTGTTCAGCATGGTTCATTTCCCTGTGAGATCAGAATTGCCGAGCGAGGAAGACGGAAAGCAGCGTCAAGCAAGAGTCGCTGTGTGATGGACAATGCAGGGTCGCGCCTCGCGACGATGGACATTGAATGGAAGTCTCCGACCGCTCAATACACAAACCATGCAGCCATGAGCTGAGGAGCCACGGAGACTTTCCCATGAGGCATAGTACAGCGAGGTCTGCACTTCTGGATACAAAATACAATCTATTGGTTTTTGGATTTTTACGCGAGATATCTATGCCTTGGTCGCGTTGATGATGTCGACGAACTCGGGCTTGAGGGACGCGCCTCCCACGAGGAAGCCGTCCACATCCGGCTGGGCGCCTGAAGCCATGTGAGCAAGGGGCGCAGCAGCCCAACCCCCCTGAGCGCGAGGGAGGGGAAGGGGGACAGAGTAGACAAGCACTCACCGAGGTCCTTGCAGTTCCCCTTGTTGACGCTTCCGCCGTAGATGATGCGGATCGACCCGGCGACTGCGGGGGAGACGGCCTTGGCGAGGAAGGCACGGATCTCGCTGTGCGTCTCCTGCGCTTGGGCCGAGGTCGCGACCTTGCCGGTGCCGATCGCCCACACGGGCTCGTACGCGATCACGATCTTGCTGCAGATATTGAGCAGCTGGGCCCCGACGGGGCCGATTGGACGCACCTCCAGTCGGCCTCGGAGAGGGTGTCGATGACCGGCTTGAGCTGGGCGGCGCAGACCGCGGTGGTCTTGCCCGTCTCGCGCTCCTCGAGGGTCTCGCCGATGCAAAGGATGACAGAGAGGGAGGCAGCCAGGGCAGCCTTGGTTTTGTCCGCCACGATCTCTGAGGTCTCGCCGAAGAGCGTTCGGCGCTCAGAATGTCCTGTGGGAACGGACGATCAGCCCTGGATGAGCCTACGGGGAGAGACGGAGCTCACCCAGGATAACGTAGGGAATCCCTGCGTCCTTCAGCTGCAGCGGACTGGAATCGATGATTCAGAACAGCCGAACGCGATGAGCCCCAAGCAAGCTTGGCGAACCTGATTTCACCGGTGAACGCGCCGGACTCCTTGCAGTAGCAGTTCTGTGCAGCGACTTGGATTTCGGGGCGGAGGATCTCCTTGAGGGAGATCAAGTAGAGGAAGGGCGGGGCCACAACAACCTCTGGCTACCGTTCAAAACTGATGATGAATTGGAGCCCACAGGGACGACGCACCGACGGAGGCGTCGAGCTCAGCTTTGTTGAGCAGCTCCACAAGCGCCTTCTTCTCGGCAACCGAGTTCGGGTTCATCTTGAAGTTGCCGCCGACGAAGAATTTGCGAGCCATGGTGGTTGTAGGTGGGAAGGGGATATTGGGCGTTGCTTGTTATCGATTAAAAGGGATTTGCGATCCGCGATCGGCTTGATGTCGGCATTTCGTCGGGCTCACCCGAACCCGCCGCTCTTGGCCGCCGCACGGCTGTAGTGCGCGATGTGTCAATTGCAGGATGATTAAATAAGGTTACAACAGATAAGTACAAGCAATAAGGTAGTGATATGGCCTTAACGTTAGTTGAGATAAGTGGAAGGGAAGAAGCATCAAGCGTGCTCGTGCTTGGCCACCTGCTCTCTGTATCGATCTCTCCAGTCTCCCTCCTTCTTCATGGCCTTGTCCAGATAGCCGATATGCCGGGCGAAGCGCTCCATGTCTCGCCCGTTGTAGTAGTTGTGTCCGCCGCGCGGATGCAATGGAGGCTTGGCGGCGGCGTCTTCCGCCGGGTCGATGCGGAAGAGGGCATACTCGGACAGTGGCTCGGGGACGCAGTAGAGCCGCTCGTGCACAAAATAGTATGGGGTCTGGGCAAAATGCCGGTAGCCAAATGCCAGCGGCGGAAGGGAGGGGACTCCGTCATTGTACATCTTGACGGCATACTCGACGATAGAGTCTGGGCCGTGCTTCTTGCGGCGCTCGGAAACAAGCTCGACCCAGAACTTGACGAGGCTGCGCGTCCCTGACCGAGGGCCCCCGAAGACGACCACACGGATCGGGATGGAACCGATCGGGACAAGGCTCTCATCGCGAAGGAGATCGACTAGAAGAAGCTGGGAAACGGCAGCACCCATGCTGTGGCCGGTGACCACCACCTCCTCGACCTCATGCTGAGCCAGGCCCTTGCGTAGCGCTTCCAATGCAGGCTGTTTCGCACCCTTGTACAGCCTCCAGAACCCGGAATGCACCTTGCCGTGCCGTGAGGGGTGTCGATGCTTCAGTGCATGGATATCGTAAAGAGCTTGGTGGGCGCTGTTGGTGCCCTGGAATGCGAGGATTAGCTGCTTCGTTTCGGAGCGGTATGCTGCGTATCCTTGCAGATGCGCCGTCTGCCCGAAGAAAGACGCGACAAGTTGGGTCCCGCGGAGGGATGTGTAGTTCTCCAGCGGGAAGGCGGGTTGCATGAGGGCATCTAGATTACCAAAGATGAATTCGGGCGGAATGGCGCTGTAAGCCACCTCCGCGAATTGACCTCGAGAGACGAGTTGGAAAGGACTGAGAAACAGATGGACAGCACGACGCACCGATTTCCGAGCAATAATCCGACACCTCTATCGGCGCGACGTCTTTGAGAGACAAGTTGTCCGGAGCGTACGTCGCCAAGATTTTGGAAATCCATCGGAAGTTCATCAGCTTCTCCATCGCGTACATATGCGCCTGCTCCTCGGTGAGTATGTATTGCTTGCGCATGCTCTTGGGAAGGGTGATGACGGGGAGTTTGCCCATAGCGTTGATGGTGGTGGTTCGTCGTGTGCCGCAGTCTCGACGTCCGGCCCGAAACACTCAATCGAGCTGAGAAGGAGGTGATGTCATATCACGTGCGTGAATACAGCCCCTGTCCTGTCCCAAGCTTGGAATCTGGCACTGGCAAGCAATACTTGACTTGTGGGATCCACAAGTGCTGAAATCTGATGGCTTGGAGAGTAACACAAATCTCGCACTCCCTGGCAGATAACGTGAGACACCGTGCTGACAGGGTCTTATCATGCACTCGGAGAACCGCCCTCCGTGCACGAGTCAAATGGCACTTGTGTGACAATACTGTGTGTAAGCTAGTTGCGACTTTCCATTTCGAACTCGCTTCCGCGTATGGATGCTACAGAAATGGATGTATCCGAGCTGTGTTTCCAATGCCAATCAGGCTCGTCAGTGCGTGGAATGGAGGTGGGGGATAGAGCGTATCGGCATGCACATTCTTCGCGAGCGCTCCGTTTCTCAAGTGTCTTGACCCTGATGGAACTGTTTCGTCTTAATCTCGCTGACATAGCGGCAAGCTATCCTGCATGGACAAAGCATCTTCGCTGCAGCATCGTGGGAAAAAGGTTGCCGATGATGGTTGCAACTGCCGCACGTTTGTCCGCACTGCCTGATTGCAGACGCTTTGGCCTTGTAAAATCGACGCCTGACTCCAAGGTTTTACCCGGAACCGTAAAAAAAAATAGGCCGAAATTGGGAGGACATATGGTAGCACAGGCTGTCGCGGTGTACACAGGCCGTGTCGTTGACAGACGATTGCTGTGCGCGCCTATGGTGGGAGTGAGGGTCGGGAGGTCAATACTTCCGATTGTGGAAGAAGGCGGTGCATGACGCCCCTGATCAGTTGTTTGCCAGCGCGTCATCAGAACGAGGCGCCATATAAATCACGACACCATCGACGGCCTTTCCACTCTTCTACCCTCTTGCACGTTCCTCAATCGTTCTCTCGTCTTCTCTATCTCTCAGGTGTGTCCTTTGTGTGGGAGGTCTACGCGTCGATTCTGACGATGACCTCCGCTAGTTCACTACCTTTTACGCGATGTGTGGCATCTTTGGTTACTGCAGCTATTTGAAGGAGAAGGTCAGTCTCTGATTTCACCGATGCGCGTTCCTTTTTGCATGCATCGGGCTCCTTGTATGCTTCGGACGGACTTCTTACCTGCTGAGCGGGGTTTCGTCGATTGCCGATAGGCTTCAGGAGCAATCGACGTGTCCTGTAACCGTAGCATACGGTTCCTCGCTTTTAACGCGTCTTCCTTCCGATTGCCGCCCTCTTCGCGACCAACTTTGCTGACGTGTCTCTTCATCCAGAGTCGTGCGGACGTTATCGAAGTCCTGTGCGCTGGTTTGGCTCGCCAGGAGTATCGTGGATACGACTCTGCGGGCATCGGTATCGACGGTGACAAGCCGGGAGATGTCGTGTTCTTCAAAGAGGTTGGCAAGGTCGCCGGGCTGCGCAAGAAGATCGCCGCCAGCGATATCGACGTCACCAAATCCTTTGTTTCCCAAGTCTCGATCGCCCACACTCGCTGGGCCACCCACGGAGTCCCCTCGGAGCGCAACTGTCATCCCGTGCGCTCTGATGTCCACTCCGAATTCATCGTTGTCCACAACGGTATCGTGACCAACAATGCAGAGCTCCGCCAGGTTCTGCAGAAGCGAGGATACACGTTCGAGACCGACACCGACACTGAGGCCGTCGCCAAGCTCCTCAAGTACATTTACGATAACCAGCAAGAGAAACGCCTCTCATTCATGGAGCTTATCCGCACTGGCCTCAAGGAGCTTGAGGGGTCGTTCGCCTTCGTCTTCAAATCGTCTCACTACCCCAACGAGGTCGTCACCGCTCGTCGTGGCTCTCCCCTCCTGATTGGTGTCAAGACCGACAAGAAACTCAAGGTTGATTTCGTCGACGTCGAGTTTGCTGGTCAGGACAACGACACGCCCACAAACCTCGATGCCAGTGCGTGTCTTCTCACGGACTCTTTCTCTGTCTTCTGAACGGTCATATCAGTGCCCCAATCGCCGAACTCTCTGCTTGCTCCTCCTACTGCCAACCCCAAGGTCCTTCGCACGCAGTCCCGGGCATTTATGTCCGAGGATGGTCTTCCTCAGCCGATTGAATTCTATATCGCGTCTGACGCGGCAGCCATCGTCGAGCACACCAAGCGTGTTCTCTATCTGGAGGATGACGACATTGCGCACATTGCCGAGGGCGAACTCCACATCCACCGTCTGCGCCGGCAAAACGGCGACCAGACACCCGCCCAGGCTGCCACGACGCGCTCCATCGAAACACTCGAGATTGAGATCGCGGCGCTCATGAAGGGCAAGTTCGATACCTTCATGCAGAAGGAGATCTACGAGCAGCCTGAGTCGGTCGTGAACACCATGCGTGGGCGTGTCAACTTTGATGCCCACCAAATCACGCTTGGAGGACTGCGCGCGTACTTGTCTATCATGCGCCGTTGCCGCCGGATCGTGTTCATTGCGTGTGGCACCAGCTATCACTCGTGCCTCGCGACGCGTGCTATCTTTGAAGAGCTGACGGAGATTCCTGTCAGTGTGGAGCTTGCGAGCGACTTCTTGGATCGGAAGACACCCATTTTCCGTGATGACTCTTGCGTCTTCCTGAGCCAGAGTGGCGAGACGGCGGATACCATCTTGGCGCTGCGGTACTGCCTGGAGCGTGGTGCGCTCTGTGTTGGTGTTGTCAACACTGTGGGCTCTACCCTCTCTCGGGAGACCCATTGTGGTGTTCACATCAATGCCGGCCCTGAAGTCGGTGTCGCCTCGACCAAGGTCAGTCGCTTCTTTTGTCCCGTTAGTGCATTGATGAGACTAATTCGCCCTCCATTAGGCTTACACTTCTCAATACATCGCTCTGCTTCTGATTGCCCTGCAACTTTCTGAGGATCGCATCTCTTTCTCTCAACGTCGCCGGGAGATCATCGACGGGCTGCACTCCATGCCCGGTCTGATCAAGAAGGTGCTCGACCTGGACCCTTCGCTTGAGAAGCTCGCGGACACGATTACTAACAACAAGAGTCTTCTGCTCATGGGTCGTGGGTACCAACATGCCACCTGCCTGGAGGGTGCTCTCAAGATCAAGGAAATCAGCTACATGCACTCTGAGGGTTTGTCATCATCCCTTTGTGTTTCGCCGTCTCATCCCTCGCTAGGTATCCTTGCTGGCGAACTCAAGCACGGCCCGCTCGCGCTTGTTGACGAGAACATGCCCGTGATCATTATCATGACGCAAGACTCGCTGTATCCCAAAGTGCAGTCTGCCTTCGCGCAGATCACCGCTCGCAAAGCCCAGCCGATTATTCTGTGCAACGAGGGTGACGAGGGCATTTCGAAGGACGCCAAGACGATCCGCGTGCCCAAGACCATCGACTGTCTGCAGGGATTGCTCAACATCATCCCCCTCCAGCTCCTCAGTTACCACCTGGCTGTCAAGAACGGGTGTGATGTGGACTTCCCTCGTAACTTGTAGGTATTCCTGACCTTTCTCCCGATGTGATGCTTACTGGGTGCTTACAGGGCCAAGTCTGTGACTACCGAGTAAACGTTGTCGATGCCATAGTCGGCTCCCTCGTTTCCTTCCGTGTCTGTGTTTGCTTGCAATACTTGTCGTTCCCACTCTGGTGTTCGACATGGACGTTTTGAGACTATTAGTGTACCTGTAGTAGAAAATCGCGTGGACTCGTTTCGTAATCAATCGTTTGAGATATCCAGCAGAAGCGTGGCTTTTGTAGATTTGCAGTTTTTTCGATAGACCGACCCGATGAAAGCATCTGTCTGCCCAAGATACTACATGCAGCCTCTTCACCACATCTCTTCGCCCATCCTGACAAGTCTGACCTCTCCGTCGACGAATATCCGCGGATTCTGAATGACCCCGTTCCAAAACTCTCGTGCCTCCAACATGCTGCGTCGTTCCTTCTTCACTCGTGGGACAGCCAGCACCGTGCCCCTGGCACACCGGATGAACAGGCTTCTGGCCGGCTTGCAGTACACCAGGGCACCGGGGTTATCGGACAGTGTGAGTTCGGAAGAGAGTTGGGGGTGCAGGGAAGATAGTGCGGTGGGGTCGTGCAGCTGGAGCCGCGTGCCGAGGGGCAGCCAGGTGGTCAGCGCTCGCTGAAGGGAGTGTCAACATCACGGCAACTCAGGGCGAGAACAGGGGGAAGTTCGCAGCGTACCTGGTGTCCAATGGCACGGTGGAGGATGACGATATCGTCTGCAGTCATGGTTGAGAAGTCGAGTATCGAATCGGCGGTTGTGATGGCCCGCGCGTGCTGAGTTGGCGAGATGGGGGGCTGCGGCGTGGCTGCGGCCTGAAAGTTGCGCGTCGCGTCGCGTCAGTTGCGAGACGTATATATGCAGCGATATATGTACGCACCGTGCCGGCCAGCATGTTGCGGAGGACCTGAACGAGCAGCTTGCCCCCGTGGTCCGCAAGCTCGTCCCGCAAGCTCGTGAATGTCGCATCCTCGCGCACAGGCTAGAAAGTGGGGGGGGACTTAGATTAGGCCAAAAGTCAACTCGACGTGCAATACTTGACTAACCACTTGAGATGTAGCCCAAACCGGTCCCTTGTCGATGCCCTTCTTCAGCATCCGCGCGATGGACACGCCTGTCGTGGGTGCGCCGGACAATATCGCGTGCTGGATGGGCGCAGGACCGCGCAGCGAAGGCAGGACGGAGCCGTGGACGTTCAGCCGGTGATCAGGCGCGAAGCAGTCGAGCTGGGCGGCGGTGAGGATCCGCCCGAACGACGCGGTGATCAAGACGTGGTCCGCGGGTGGCGACGAGGAGGAAAGCGAGGGCTCCGCATGGAAGGGCGCGGGGAGCGTCCAGTGTCTGAACTCGGGTTTGCTTGGTGGGATGAAGTGCACGGGGATGGAGAAGGATTGGGCGACGGTACGGAGGGGGGCTGGGAGGGGCGTCAGGCGGTTTCGACGCGTCGCGCGAGGGGCTGACTCACATGGCCCGTGTTTTGTATCAGGATTCGTCCCCACGGAAATGCTTTCCCAGACGTCTAGAGCACAGTATGAATACACGCATCGCGAGCGGAGAAACTACCCCAACAGACCCTGCGCTGTGTGTAACGCTTTCAAAATTTCGCAGGAGAATTCATCCCGCCCTAGGAAGAGAATCCTGTATCTGCGGGCAGAGTCCAGAGAGGTGTGTAGACAGCGGTAGTGCCTATATGAGACAGCTATCCATGGCCAACGCGGAGGACTGCGATGACAGAATCGCGCTGAGAGCATAAAAAGATGGAAGATGCTGAGTCATCAGCATTATCCCAGTTGTGCACCGCGCCTCGCCATGAACTCCCTGCCCCAGGAGCTTATCGATGTTGTGTTGGATCTTCTCAAGTCAGATGGGCACAATCGCGCGCTCAAGGCATGCGCTCTGACTGCTCGTTTCCTCCGGCCAGGAGCTCAGGTCGCGCTCTTTCGATCACTGCGCGTCTATCCCAAGACTTCCTTCCGGGGAGGTTCCGCCGCGCAGGCCGTCTGCCTACTGAAAGGCTCACCGCATATAGCACCGCATGTCCGCCGGATCACCGTCAGGATGTCGAACGCAGACAGTGAGGATGTCGGCACACTGCTCAAGCTCACCGTCCACCTGGAGAGATTGGTCGTTTCTGGGCGCTCGATGGCGTGGTCCGAGCTGCACGAGAGCACGAAGGCTGCGCTCGTTGATTGTCTCGCGTATCCCTCCCTCACCCGGTTCCATCTGCTCAGCTTCCGGCGCGTGCCAGCGGCGTTCATTCTCAAGATGACTATGGTGCAAGCTATCTCGTTCTACCGAGTGATTGTCGACCCCGACTATATGGATCTGATTCCCAATGGATGTTTCGAGGGCGCCGTCTCGCACCTGATTATGTTCGACAGGGACCGCGGCTTGGCGCCGATCGTTGATCTTCTGCTGCAGCCCAAGGCGCTCCCAAGCCTCCGCGCGGTGGGACGCCTGGCATTGCGGATGGATCCGATGAATGCGGGGACGGACTCGCGGCTGTTGGCTGCATGCGCATCGACGTTGCGCGATCTCGTGCTAGATCCCGGAGGTGTGTGCGTCCATCGTACCTAGAAGATACACCGATGATATTTTATGCTTGCACAGCGCTTGTTAATCCGATGGGAGGAGTGCCCTGTTTCCCGTTGCTGCAGACCCTCGAGGTCAAGGTGTTTGTAAATCATTTCCGCCGGCTCCCGTCATCGCTGCCAGCGGCGCTCTCCAGCCTGACATCTTGCACGCCGGCCCTGAAGACGCTGAAGCTGGTGTTCGTTATCGAGCCGTTGTGGCCAGAAAAGGGGTGGCCAGAGACCCCCATCCTCGCGCCCTTCGACGAGTCGTTCGGCAAGCGCACGTGTCTCCTCGATCTGAGATGCGTGCACTGCAAGCTGGTGCAGCGGAATACGTTTGGACTCGGCAATGTGCGAGACCTGTTTGGATATCTGGAGCAGGCGATGCAGAGAGCGATGCCTGGACTGCAGGGCACGGGCATCCTCCTTTGTACCATCACCGGGCCCCCGTTATCGCACATGGAACGTCTCCCATGGCAATGTTGACCCATATCTGTGTATCCATATGTATCTATGTGCTTTCATTACAATCAGAACCTGCCAGTGGACTGTTTGACTAGCATCTAGCGGTCGTCTCTAGCTGTGCACGTGCCGACGGCGAGTACACGTGATCGCGATCTCTGGTGGCTGTACCCTATTTCACCCTTTCTTTCACTCCCTCTCTTTCAATCGCGATGGTCGAAGCCGCTCAACTCTCAGAAACCGAATATGCAAGGTATCGCAAAGAGCTGCTGATGCTTATGAGTCAGCTCCGGGCGGTCGGAGCTCAAGGGGAGCTTGACCTCCCACGGATAGTGGTAATTGGGAATCAAAGCGCGGGTATGCTTGAGCACTTGGTGCATCGTCCTCCCGTGTCGGAGTAAGCGAGCGCGGGAATAAAATAGAGAGAGAAGAGGTTTGCAATAGCAGTGAATGGAATTGCTTTAGGGCAAACCAATGCCCTTCTACATAATTACAGGTTGCTTATATACTGTATGTTAGGCTATCTAGAGTGTTCTGTAACTGTCCATGGGTTTCCAGTCTGTTAGTAATCAATATGTGAGTTGCCCGAAGGCCGAAGCTGCTCGATCTAATCTAATCTTCAACACTCCCCCTGCAGCGAGGGCTTCATAAAATTCCTAGATGTTCCATATGCGCGTGATTGTCCAATGCTTGGCAACGTCCAACGAGGTGCGTCCAAATTAGCTCTAGCTCCGTTCCGTCCTACTGCCGCGGCATCCTAAATCATTGCACTGATGCATGCTGCCCGATTCTTACATAACGCGTGATTGTTCAGTCGCTCAGAGCGCGTAGTCATTGTCGGAGTCATTTTCCTCCTCTTCGTACACACCGAACGCAGCATGTGCTTTGTCGGGTTCATTTACATCTTCGATCTCGGAAGATGGGCAGACACGAGCAATGTGTCCTTTGCCTCCACACCTGTGGCAAATGGCTCGTTTCCACGTTGATGATGACGTGGCGAAGTTTGATGCGGGCTGTCGTGATTGACGGGTGACAGATCGACGGTTGTGGGTCGCAGCCATGGCAATGGCAAGTTCCTCGGGGGTAAGTCCATCCTTCTCGTAGCGGCGGCGTTCCTCGGTCAAGATGTCGGCAATGACAGTTTTTGACTGCGGACTAATTGTTCCATGTAAATTGGCGCGAATGAACGAGTCCCATTCAGTCGGGAGCGAACTGAGAAGGGTGACTGCAAAGTCTGAGTCAGACACTTCTTGTCCAAGCGAGCGAAGCTCCCCCTGGAGTTGGCGCATCATTTTGATGTGTGGTTCAAGCGGCTGTTGGTCGAGTGCACGGGTAGAGTAAAATTTGTGGCGCGCAAGAATCAGGCCCATTTGGCCTTTGAGCTCAAATAATGCAGACAGCATCTGCCATGCACCGAGTGCGGTGGTCTCCCCCTGGATATGTTGGACAATATTAGGTGCGACACGAAGTCTGATCGATGACAGCGTGCGACGATCGGCTTTGTCCCATACGGCTTTCTTGGCGGTATCAGTGGGCGGGGTAACTTCGGGATTGATGTGATCATTCAAGTCCATCTCTGTGATGATGTCCCCCATTTGGACCTTCCAAGGACCATAATTTTCAGGGCCGGAAAGTGGAGTGATACGGAACGCGTTGTACGTGACAGTGTCCGCCATTTAATCGGGTGATCGGTGATATAACCGAGATTGGTTTGTGTCGGAGTAAGCGAGCGCGGGAATAAAATAGAGAGAGAAGAGGTTTGCAATAGCAGTGAATGGAATTGCTTTAGGGCAAACCAATGCCCTTCTACATAATTACAGGTTGCTTATATACTGTATGTTAGGCTATCTAGAGTGTTCTGTAACTGTCCATGGGTTTCCAGTCTGTTAGTAATCAATATGTGAGTTGCCCGAAGGCCGAAGCTGCTCGATCTAATCTAATCTTCAACATCCCGAAAGCCCATTTGCTCATTTAAGAATTTCTCAGGCAAGTCGTCTGTGGTAGAGGCCATCTCCGGGGTATGCACTACATTGTGTACGAGGCGAACTCTCCTGTCTTACCTTTGCATTTAGATCAAAGTCCCGCGGGACGCAGGGACATGCACGCGCTGTCCGATGGAATGCAGGCTGTCCTCTACAAGCGGGCCATGGTCGTGCCGCATCTCCATCCGGCTCGAGTTCAACGAGGACGGGTCCCAGCGTCCTGACGTGCAGGAGTATCCGGTGCGTGCGGAAATGCGAGTGGAACGCGCTTTGTCCTGATCATGATTGCTGGGGGCAATGCGCACAGTTCGGCGACCCCATCATCTCCAAGGACGAAGTCGAGATCGCCCTGCGCCGCGCCCAATTTGCCGTGCTGCATCCGTCTGTGACGTTCGCCGAGATCCTGGAGCTGGATGTTCAGGACCTGCGGGCCAAGGCCACCGAACTTGGATCGGGGCTGGAGTTCTCGCGGAACGTCGTCTGCGTCGACCTGGAAGGTCAGCTGTCGGACCTTCCAGTCGTGTACTCGGTCTGACGTCCCATCAGGCTCGGAGCTGACCGACCTCATGTTCCTCGATCTGCCAGGTATGTCGGTCAATGCAATATGACTTGATCGAGCTGAGTTCAGATGCTTTGCGCGTCAGGCATCATCCAGAACGCGGAGCCTGATACGGTTAAGCTTGTTGAAGACATGGTTGTCACGCATATCCAAGGCAACTGTCTCATCCTGGTCGCCCTCCCGATGACGGGAAAGTCGTCTCTCACGTCGCTCAGACTGATTCTCACGCATCGCTGTTTCAGACGACATCGAGAATCAGAAGGCACTCCGCTTGGCGCACCAGCAAGATCCCGAGGGACGTAGGACCATTGGTGAGACCACCGGTGGGACAATCCGAGCAAACTGTGTCTGATGAACGACACTGGCAGGTGTCCTGACGAAACCGGACATGCTCGTCTCCGCGTCTAAAGCACGTGATCTTTGGTTGGACGTAATCGAGGGACGGCGGCACCCATTGCTGCATGGGTACTACTGCACCAAGCAGCCCGACGACGACGAGCGCAGCAAGAACATGACTAATGCTCAAGCCCGGCGTGCGGAAAAGACCTTCTTCGCTGCTACCAAGCCGTGGAGTTCGTCGGGCGAGCAGAAGCGGTTTGGGACGGATAATCTGGTGGCGACGTTGAGCACGATGCTCGTGCAGATAATCAATGAGAGGTGTGTCCTGTTTGCTGGCCCATACCCAACTGCCTGGAGGGTGCTCACTGTGTTAGCCTTCCCCATATCCGCGAGGTAGCGCATGCGAGCATGGAAAACTGCCGCCGGGACCTCGCTCGGGTTCCGGAAAAAGTCGTCGGCGAGCCCGCAACCCACATGCTGAATCTCGTGACCGAGTTTTGCACCGAGGTCGGCAAATACGTCGAGGGTCAATCCGATACGAGCACTCTCATCCATGAGCGCAACGCGGCGTTCAAAGAGTTCAAGACGGCTATCCATGACACCCAGCCGAAATTCAAAGCGCAGCTTCTGACGGCTTCGACTGAGGGAGCTGCGAACCACCTGATCACTCGCCAGCTAGAGGTCAATCTCGCCGATGTGCGCAAACACATCGAAGAGTGCGTGAGATCTGTGTTTTGCCTTTTGAAATTTCAACGTATTCCGCAGATCCATTACGCGCGAATTGCCGGGGAATATCCCCTTTTCTGCCAAAAAGTCTCTGATCGTTGCGTTCCAGGATCCCTGGCTGGGAAAAACAGTCGAGTGTTTGAACAAAGTGAAGCATTCGATGCTAGCGCTACTTATACTGTCTGCCGAGCAACGCTTCGGACGTTACAACGCACTCCTGACTCGTCTCAAGTAAGCGCGGCTCGCCTTTGCTGCATTTGTGATCTGAGCCAGTGTTCACCAGAGCGTGCATCACTGGCATAGCGGACGATTACTACCGCACGTGCGGCGATTTTCTGATCGCGACGTTGGAGATGGAGCACATTCCGTACACGCAGAACGACCATTATCTGCAGTCGTCGACGGATAAATGGTACGGCCGGTACAAGGAGGAAAGAGCGCTCAACGGGAACGACAAACGCACCGCCGCGGGGGAGGACGTACCCGATTCTGCAGCGCACAAGAAGGCCAAGGGACCGGCAGCGCAGAGCAAGGATGGTGCAGGCCCCGCGCCCGATCCGTGTGTGTTTGTCTCTCTTTGATGTCGTGATCTTTAGCTGATGGTGTTCACTCACAAGTCAAATTCGCGTTCACGAAAACGCCTGCGACCCCGTTTGGTGTTAACGGGACAAGCCCGTTCGGCGCGCTTCCGTCGGTGTCTGCGCCGGCGGCGCCCACGCCCTCCGTGCCCGCCCCGCTGCCGTCGAGCAGCAGCACGCAGCATGAGGCACGGGGCTCGCTGGAGCTGCTGGCGATGCTCTCTGCGAGCGGATACCCGGGCCTGACGGAGGACGACCTGAGCAAACTCCTCCCGGCGGACGAGTACGAGACGGAGCTGAAGGTCATGGCGGAGGTCCGTGGCTATTTCCAGGTGCGTGATTAGCTTCTCTGTCGTGTGATGAGTCTCGCTCGCCGGGTTGACACTGGGTGTGTGGTGGGGCAGTGCGCGTACAAGGTCCGTGTTCTCCCCTTGCGACCTGTTCGCATTCTGCCATTCCCACTCAGGGACTCACACGCATTTTCGTTTCCAGCGAGTCGCCGACAACATCCCAAACATGATCGACCTCAAATTCCTGCGCGCGATCTCGAGCGGTCTGCAGCAGCGCCTGATCACCGAGTTCGAGCTCGGGAGCGAGAACGCCGCGGCGGTGTGCAAGGGCCTGTTGGCGGAGGACCCGCGCGTCGTCGCCCGCCGGGACGAACTGTCCGCGCGGCGCAATCGCCTAGAGCAGGTGCTCATCCAGCTGCACAACTTTGGGCGCAGTAGGGGATGAAGGATGACTAATACGCCTTCCTTTTTGGGATGGGTGGTTCAATATGGGATGTGGTCTTGTGGTCTTGTGGTTTGTGGCTAGATGCTTCAATGTTTGTTGCCTCGGGTGATAGTGATGGCTCCCCTTTCTGTTCATCCAAATACATGTATTTAATTGATCGAATTTGCGTTGCGTTTGAATCCGTCCCGACTCGTGCACGTGCCGAGTTGAACATGCCGTAAGCCCGACGACGCGTGCTCTCTCAGGGTCTCCGTGGTATTTCACGGCCCGACCGAGTTCATCTGTAAGCCTGGTCTCGTCTCCGCTATGATATTCTGGTGCATCTGTGGTTTTGCGTTGATATGATATCGCGGGTTTCGGTTGCTGAACTGGATGCGCCGCGTTGGGTGAGCTTCATAAGACTTAAGCTGCATAAGACCAGGTGTGTAAGACTTAAGACCCGTAAGACAAACCTGCCCTTTTGCTGATGTAGGATCCTTATCGAGATGAGGATGGGATCCGCATGGCTGATTCGAGCTGAGCCCTCAAGTGTCAAAGCAAGAGTGTTTCCCAGTGAGATGCTGTTTTTTTGTGATTCTGGGCTGCATGGCTGTGGGATAGATGACATCCGGCTCCTCGGGAAAGGAGCTATACGCGTGCAGAGGCTCCAAACGAGGGTGTTAAAATTGAGATCATCCCTATGCCCACGTTGAAGGAATTCCTGCCCTTGCTGATACAGGAGTCGCAGTTATTATTCAACATCGTCTAATTAATGATAGTCTCTCGCTGGATGTCGTTACTGAGATATTCCTCTGACTCAGTCGCGTTGGGACGCTCGCTGGAAATCACGCTACAGAAATCATGCTCGTAGCCACCGAGACCTTGGCCCTCCCGATCGACTGCCCAGTCGAGTTCTGTTCACCCTCTGCCTTGAACATGGTGCGAATGCCTGAGCGGCGCTGTTCTGTGCTTGGTTATTGGTATGGCCGGGGTGTTTCTGGAGGGTGGACTTCGCCAGTCGAGAACGAGCTGTATGTCGTACCGCTGCTATACCAGACTCTTGCCCAAGTCACCTCCGCCACTGCACGGCCTTCGCAGACGGAGTCGCGAACGTGTTCACAACGTAAAATACCGTAGACGATCCTGCCCCCAAACTTTGAGCGGAGCGGCGTGCTAACAAGCCAAGACGGTGGGGGAGGTGGTAGCCTTCTTGAAGGAAGGAAATCTGCCCCAGCCAAGGCCCGGTTGGTCGGGGAGCTGCACAATCTGGCGGCTTGAGCGGATTTTGTCGTTTTCAGTAGCGTAGGTGCCACATGTCCCTTTCTATACATTCGTGTTATCTTATCCTTGGCAGTTGCACGCAAGCACCCCAGATACACCGCTGATGTCACTGCCATCGCCGGGATCCGATGGGTCCGACGCCGAAACGCCGGTGGGCTTGACTAATTGGGCCACCGTGCGCACCTTTTAGCACGCACAGCTGTGCTTGGGGGGTGCCTTGGCATCTAGACTCGATCCACGAGTTTTCGCTGGGCTCCACCGGGCCCGCGCAACGAGGCATTCATCTCCGCTTCGAAAGGTCGGGAGCTTACCTAATGCGCAGGGCGGGAGGGGGGCCACCCAACGAGTAATCGTTCTGCCGGTTCCGCGACCACAGGGCCGTCTGTGTATAAATAAATCATTGCTGTGGAGTCGTGCGTGCTCACTTACTCACGCACCTCGCACGTTGAGATACTGTAATCTCTCTGCGACCATGTCCGACACACGCGCCTCCTCCAGCGCCTCCAGCGATCACGCGCCGGCCGTCGACGCCGACCGCACCGAGTCGATACTTACCACCACCGCCGCCGAAGGGCTGCCTCCTGCAGACGGAAAGCCGCCGGAGACGATCATCGAGCTGACGGACCAGACGAACCGGCTGCCGTTCAGGAAGCTGCTGCCCGTCTTCCTCGGGCTCGCGCTGTGCGTGGTCGTGTCGACGCTCGACTCGGTGATCGTCGCCACCGCGCTGCCGACGATATCCGCCGCCTTCGATGCGGGGTCCGTCGTCTCATGGGTGCGTCGTTGGGTTTTTGAGCTGGGCTGGGCTGGGCTAAACTGATGGGCTGACAGGTGCCGTCCGCGTATCTGCTCACGTCGACGTGTTTTCAGCCGCTGTACGGTCGGTTCTCGGATATCTTTGGGCGCAAGAGCGCGCTGTGCCTCGCCATGGCACTGTTCATGTTTGGCAACCTCCTCGCGGGCTTCTCCAAGACCATCGTGCAGCTGATCGTGTTTAGAGGGTGCGTCCGTGGGGCCTGGTCCCTGTTGCGTGCCAGAAGCATTGATTGCGTTTTGGAAATAGGTTTGCGGGAGCGGGGGGTGGAGGTCTTATCAGCATGATGCAGATCGTCGTCTCCGATCTCGTCAGTCTGCGCGAGAGGTGTGTTTGCAGATCTGTGACTCGTTTCTTGTCAGCTGCTCATTTGAACACAGAGGAAAATACCAGGGTATAATTGGAGCAGGTGCGGTTCATTGGAGTCGGTGGAGATGCTTCCTCTCTTGCTCACAGCGCGTGATCAGTTGTGGCGGTCGGATATGCGATTGGGCCTGTGGTTGGCGGTGCTCTTGCCCAGCATGTGGGTTGGCGGGTGAGTGCTGCTGTGTTGATATATCCGATGGCCGTCCAGACACTTGGCAGTGGTGCATGTGGATTACGATCCCCATCTCCTTCGTGGCGACGTGCGTCGTCGTCTTCGTGCTGCCGCTGAAAGCCGTCCGCGGCGACATCCGCCAGTGCGTGGCCGCGCTGCCAATACCTACCCCGCCGACTGACCCGGGCTGCTGAACCAGGAAACTGCTGGCGATAGACTACATCGGGACGATCCTGACCTTGGCGGGGTGCGCCCTGCTCATGCTGCCGCTAATCTGGGTGCGAATTCCGCGCCGTTCTTCGTGAGCTTCTGTATCGAACTCCCAGCCAACAGGGCGGCGTTATCTTCCCGTGGACGTCTTCCGTGGTGCTCGCGCCGCTCGTCTCCGGCTTCGTCGTCGTCGGACTGTTCTGCTTCTGGGAGTGGAAGGGCGCGCGGCTGCCCATCGTCCCCAGTGCGTCGTCCGGTTTGTGTAGCGGGGAGATAGTGACTCTGCTAGTGCATATATTCAAGCATTCTACGGTGACGGGGGTGCTGATCGCCATGTTTGTCAAGTGAGCGATGCGCAGCAGACCCTGGCGCTCTTTTGCAGGCCGATAATTAATCCGATTGCAGCGGTTTTGTGTTCTTCTCGTCGTTGTACTACCTTCCACAGTTCTTCCAAGCAGCTCTGGGCTTTAGTCCCCTAAAATCTGGTCCGTTATTTCCCCTCTGCGATTGTTCTGGTTTCTGAATTGTGCGTCGGCCATTGTGCAGGCATATTCCTCGTACCGATGCTGGTGACGCTGATTATGGGCAGCTGGGGAGCGGTTCGTTGCCGTTCTCTTACTTTCCTGTGAAAATTCCAGTTTATGGTCTTCTAGGGCGTCATTGTAAGCCGGACTGGCCGTTACAGAGTAAGTCGGCGCTCTGCAGCAACTTGAATTGAGCCGATCGCTTACATGACACAGGCTATCATCTACGCTGGCTTTTCGATCTGGTCCGTAGCGTGTGGTGTTCTATCGACCGTCAACGCCCGGACGTCCAAGGCGGAGCTGGTGGTCCTCATGATGCTGGCTGGTATCGGAGGCGGAGGTGTAAGTCCGGACACAGACTGACATCCGAGAACCCGGTGCTGACGTTACGTACCTGCAGACTATGCGTGAGCCGACGGGTATCTGGTCTGCAAGCATATTGCCGTGCTGATCTCGGGCTGTACAGAAACGACGACGGTGGCAGCTCAGGCCAGCGTGCCGAGACGGGACATGTCTGTCGTGACCGTGATGCGTAATGTGCGCACGCATGCTTCATTCGGTCCCACGATCTGCTTTTTTTTCTTGGTACTCACGCTCTGATGTCCAGTTCCTGCGGCTGCTGGGCGGTACTCTGTCGCTGGCAGTCGCCTCGACGATAGTGAACAATTCGCTGCAGACATCGATGAACTCGCTGCACATCGCGCCCGCAATCATGACCCAGATCATCGACAACCCCGCGCTGCTGCACTCGCCCGAGTCTATAAACCTGTCCGCGGATGCCGCCGCGGAGATCCTCGCGCACGGATACATCAAGGGCTTCAACTCGCTGTTCATCATGCACGTCGCGCTGACGGTGTCTGCGACATTCGTCAGCGTCGTGCTGATCAAGCACAAGGAGCTGACGCGCGGGGACGACGAGGCGCTCAAGCAGAAGGCGATCCAGGAGGAGCGCGTCAGGAAGCTCGCGAAGGCGACGCTGAGGGGCGTTGCCAGCGGCGCGGTGACTCCGCGCGATCTGGAGAGCGGGACGGTCACGCCGCACCACGGATTTGAGATGTCACGGATGCACTCGAAGGAGGTCTAAACGGCGGGCGGTGGATGCCTTGCCAATGTGTATTTCTTGTGTTCTGTCGTGCTATGTTGTATTTTTGTCAACCGTGGGAAGTCCTCGGATCATGTGCAGGGGCTGTGGAAAAATCTAGACCTACTGCACCGCCACCATCATGGAGTCGTGTGAGACTCGAGCCTTGGGAAGGCAAGATGACACTCGCTCGTAAGAAACTCATCTGCGCGTCGGACATATGTGAGTTAGCACATGAGGGTCGATCAAGGCCGCAGCTCCGTCGGCGAATGAGAAGCGCTCGCCCGAAATAGCCTGTTTGGCGGCCTCCCCCTTCAGACCGAGGAAGAGGGCATCCATCAGGTTCTCAGTGTGGCTCCGATCGGCTCCCAGACAGAGGGTTCTCCAGCTTCCTGATTCAACGGCAGACTTGACGACCGACTACAGCCGCTGTCTTCCATGTCTTGCAGCCCGTTCTGTAGCTTGCGTAGCGTAGCGGGGGATGTTGGAGCGGGCCCATTCGCGGCATGCGCGAGAGGGTCTTCTTGATGATTGGAGCTTCGCATACGACACACCCTGCGACTGAGTACAGCTAATGAATGCGTCGTGAGTGGACAGGGCTGGATCCTGTTCTTGAAGCTTCACGCGCCCTGCAATCGTCAAACGCAACAACAACACCATTCTCGCCTCGAATGCGCGGAAGCGCACAGTGCCCCGACATGGCCTGAGCCGCCATCCATCGCGTCTCTGCTCGATAAGAATGCGGTCGAGGCCCGAAGACGGGGACCCTGAAACGGAAGTCATCAACATCAAATCGTCCGCGTGTCCTCTGTCGGGACAAGTTGACACGGAGGATCTCTCGTCCCACTTGGGATGGAGCGGGGAGGCTGATCTGAACATCCCTCCCATCGACAGCGGGCAGCTGCAGTATTACATATATCCATACTCGATATCATGAGAATGACAGGAATCAGGCTCTCGTGTCACCTAATCTTGTCGGACTGGATGCAGCCTTGGAGTATATGACGGCCCGTGCTGATCTCCGACAACTGTGGAGGAGAAGTTGAACTCGGGGCTATTCCGCTTGAGCAGGCGTCTTCGTGTTCTGATCCCCCCGCGGCGAGTTATTCCTGTTTGTTTATTGGAGTGTGAGTGTGAGGGCCCAGCTGAGAAAGAAGAGTCTGAATCAGAACATCACCTCGCATAGATTCTCAAGCGACCAACAGGGAAGGGAAGGGATTCCCAACTATTCTGCAAATGGCGCATAGCAAGTGGCAATAACTGCTGGGAATCTAGACAGCCTTTTCCAGCGCCGCCGAGAATGTGGTTCTGATGCTTGACAGCTGACCAGTTCCCAGGAAGAACATGCCATCGAAGGGGCTTTCAAAAGCTCATTCGGTGCCTCGGTCATTCTGCGTCCCTCCTTTCTCTTCGCTCGCTCGCTCCTCGACGCCTCAACCCGCCCGCCGCTTCTCCCCTCCCCCTCCCGTCTTGAATCATGGTCGACTGGCACTCCGCCAATGAGCTCGCCAAGGATCTCTGTGCGTGTCCGCTGACCCCGTATCCCCACTTGGCCGCTCTGATGCGGTGTTCCGCGCTTAGTCGTCTTCAACAAATTCATGCATACCCTGCTTGGCCTTTACATGTACGCGTCTTCCATGTTCCGCATCTCGCCCCGAGCGCCCTATCGACGCCGATGTTCCGCTGCAGATGGGAATGGTTCACGTCTCTTCCCTTCGACTGGGAGTTCATCTCGGGCAAGAAACAGTTCCGCTGGCCGATGGTGCGTAGCTTCCCATCCGATCTACCCCCGCCCCTTACGCGAGGCCCAGATATTCTACTTTCTCAATCGCTACTGCTTGCTCTTCGCGTTGATTGGGATGTGAGTGGCGGCGCGCCGTGCTAGGCTCTGGGCGATTCTGAACGCGTCTTCCGCAGCGCCATCTCGCTCAATGTCACGACGGAGATCAACTGCCAAGGCCTGTACACGTTCAATCAGTGCTTTGGGAACGCTGCTATCGGTGAGCGTGTTTTCCTTCCGACGCGGAGCGTGTCTTCTCATCTTGTGTCCGCCAGGTTTGGCGAGCATCAACCTCTCCTTGAGAACGTAAGGCGACCCTAGCACCCCCGAAGACTATTTGCTCAACGCCTCTCTCCAGAATTGCTGTCTGGAACCAGCGATGGTACATCGTCGTTCCGCTCACTGCTATTATCCTCGGCCATTGGTCTCTTCTTCTCCACGGTACATTGCTACGCCTCCCTTCGCGCATCTGCCTGCGCCTATCTGACACGCATTCGACAGGAATCCTCCTGAAGGCGCAGTGGATTCCCGGCGTGGGCTGCTCGATTACGTCGACAAACAACCACCTGCTCGCGATCACCTTCATGTACTCGATGGTCTTTGACTTCACGGTGCTCTCCCTTACGGCGTGGAAGCTCGTGTTCCCCACGGGCGGCAAGTCGCGTCTCGTCACGCTCATCTTCAATGACGGCCTGATTTATTTCGTCATTGCGTAAGTGGCGGGCTCTGGCTCGATATTCTAGGCTCACCGGCCCGCAGGTTCATGTCCAACTTGCTCGCTACGGTGCGTCTGCGCTGACGGGCGGCTGGATTCTTTGAGGCTAACGAACGGCGCCTAGATCTTCATGCTTCTCAACCTGAACGCGGTGATGTCCATTATCGCGAATGTGCCTACTGCTATCGCGTCCACAGTGAGTGCTCTCGACCCTGGCTTGGAGCGACTTGTGGCTGAAGCATCTGCCATAGATTGTCGCCTGCCGTGCCGTGCGCCGGCTGACGAACTACGGATCTGCGACGAGTGGAGCCCAGATGTTCGGCGGAGGGGCTACGACAGCGAGTTCGACGCTCAACTTCCGCAATACGCTAAGCCAGGGCACCATGCATCGGCCGAAAGTGATTACCAACGCGAAACTGTCAGAGGGTGTTCATGTCCAGGTACGTGCCACCCCTCCTCTCTTTGTATGACGTGCTCTGACCTGGGAGGCCTGCCTTTACGCAGATGGAGACGTTCGAGAGCCCCATCTCTGAGCGTGGATTCCTCGAATACGACTCGAACGGGAAGATCACGCGCACTGAGGTGCTGGGCGATGCCGAGTCCCAGCAGCAGCAGATAGATGTCACGGAAGAGTTCAAGCATCCGCCATACTAGTTCCCCTGCCCGCCGTCATGGCGCCTGGTCAGCTCGCTGCCTGGACTTGCACAGGCATCCCTTCATTCAGACACCTTCTCTTCCCTCCCCCCTCTCCCCGGTTGTCACTGGCCCATCATCCATCAGATACAAGATACACATCGCGCGCGCGCTCGAAGACACCTTCCATCCAGCCGCTCTCTCCCTTGCATCCCTGAATATACATACGAAGCATCATCCATCATGTACTCACTTGACAGTTGAACTCGAAAAAAGTAAACGAGCGTTTGTAACTCCTACTGTACCTGTAATTCCCGATACCGTTGTAAATGAAATTGGCTGTTCATCTTGACTCCGACCGGATTCGTGCAATGTCGACGAACCGAAACGGCAGTGATTGGCGCGCTCGCGGCCTCGGGCAGGCGATCAATTTAATAACGATGACCGGGGCCGGCGTTGCTCGGGAGAAGCAGATGCTGATGTGATGCCACCTACCTTGTGGTGATGAATGCCCTGAGTCGGCTGCTCTGCTTCCGAACACTGCGCCTTCTGAGGTGTCGTTATGTTCTTTGCGTGCCACGCAGCCCTTGGTCGGAGATGATCGGAAGCTGGCCGGGGCGCAGAGAGGCGTGACGGTCAGTCAAGGCTTGTGTGCGAGAAGTGGTGATCTTCGTGGCAGGACTGTGGCATCGGGAGTTGGAGGATGCCAAGCGATGTTCAAGTCGAATGCGGTCGGCAGACGAAGTAGTGTTTCTCCCAAGATACTGGATTGTACGCAGTGCTCCTGCAACATGGGTGACTGGCGAAATGGCATCGCGTCTGACTACGAGTCGGGCTTGTTATCAGGAGATTGTAGGTTCGACCCCTACGTCGCTCATTTTGATCAGAGCTTAAAGTTTAATTGAAGGACCTTCTAATTTTCATGCGCAATCACTGTCGGGACCTTTTTTCATTCTTCGCACAAGTGTGATAAAAATACTACTCAAATGGGGTCGCAATCACACTGAGCTCTATTGCACAAGTTGTTTTTTCATCCGTGCCTAGTCCAATACTAAGTACATATTGTAACACCAACGAAAGAAAGTCTGCTAGATGGCGGCGCCCTTGCCTTCGAGCTCGTACTCCGTCTCACGGCCCATATCCTGGATATAATCCACATTGGGATTTTTGACATTGCCCTCCTCTGCTCTAGTGATGATCTCCATCTGCCTCGGGGATCGATCAAGACGCCGGACCCCTTTGTTGAATCACCCACCTGCACATGTACGCCGCCGATGCCGTTGTTCGTCGTTTTCCCACCTGCGGATGTGAGAGCACGTGCACCGCTGTGACTTCTGAAGTTCGACGACCCGGAAGGTTGGCTGTTAAAGAGACAGACAGGGTCAGAAAAAGAGACCACGAGCGCGAGTTTGTTTGAAGGGGAAGCAGGGATCGATCACTTACTACATCTCAGGTCCTTGGTTCGTAAAGTTGGTCAGTCTCCGCACAGCGCGGGTGGCGACGATCTGCGGGGAAAAAGGTCCAAGATTGTACACGGTCTGATCGATATGCATAAAATGCACGCACGGTCGAGGCGACGGCCGCGGGAACATTGAAGACGACACTCATGATGGAATTCAGGTTCAGAATCATGAAGACTGTCGCGACGAGATTCGCGAGGAAGCTGGAAGGGGGCGACAGGCGCCGCGGTGTCAGTTTGTGTTTTGCGGCGCACACGATGCGACAAACGCACGCGATGAAGAAGAAAATGAGCCCGTCCTTGAAGATCATCTTCGTGAGCCGGCTCGTCCCTTGGCGGCGGATGCCCAGCTTGTACGCGTTGAGCAGGAAGACGACGAGGTCGAACGCCATCGAGTAAGTGAATGTGGCAGCGAGGATGGTGCTGTTGGTCTTGGTGATCGCGCAGGTGTTGAGCGAGGGCACCCAGACTGCGTTGAGCAGGACACCTGGAATGAAACGCGACGGGTCACGGAGCCATCGAGACGTCATGTCACGCCACTTACCCTGCAGGATGAGACTCCAGTGTCCCAGGATAATGAGGACGAGGAGGATCATGATCCAGCGGTTCTGCGACCAGATTGCGAGCGTGCGCAGCGACAGATTGATGCTGGCCAATCCGACGGCTGCATCTCCCGCGACCTGGTTGAAGGTAAAGAGTGCTTGGCAGTTAATTTCTCTAGCGTCGATCGTTCTTCAGAGAACAGAACACCCCCGAATAGGCGAGACGCGACTGACTTTGTGGTGTCGAAGGCGATGATGCTAAGCGGAATGGGGGTATGTTGTCAGAATTCTGGTCGCATGAATAGAGCGGTGATGCAAGACGCACATGCCGATCAGGGCTGCAAGTAGCAGATATCGGTTGGCAAAGTAGAAGATCTAAAAAAAAGGTGTTCAGTCCGCGGTGCCCGGGATGGGGACTAGACGAGAGAGCGGGACGCACCAGCGGCCATCTGAACCGTTTCCGACCGGTGAGGACCTCCCAGTCGAACGGAAGCGAGGTGAACCACTCCCAGCTGCGTCGGTTGTCAGCTCCTGTCGAGCCAAGCAGTGGAGGCGGCACCGTACGTGTAGAGGCCGAGCAAGGTGTGCATCAGCTTTACGAATATAGTGGAGTCCAGAGCGATCTCAGCCGGCGAGTTCCAGTCGGGCATGATGACGAGGAGGAGGAGGAGGAGTGCAGGGAGCGAAGGAGATAGGGAATGAAAAAAGGGAGGAGTTGCTCGTCCGCTTCCCTGGCCTCATGTCCTTGTATTTTATTGTGACAGTGCAAACGGATTTGCCGTCTGCACGCAATTGGTCGTTCCACATGGGCTTAGCCACAAGACAAACATCGCTTGCAAGTACGTCCCGGATGAAGCATGGATACAGCTTGACGTGAGTGCGCTTAGAGACGACTTCTGTAGAGATTTGGAGAAGAAGGTAGGAGTGGAAGGCATCTCTCGGAATGTTCTGAAGCACACGGTTCGGCCCGCCCGTGAGCGACGAAAGGTTGCGTAAGTGTCAAGCGATGCATGGTACTTATCTCCTCCGTATAGAGCATGATGCATTACGGCTGGCTGTCAGTCGCATCGTCGTATAAAGATGTCTTACACCGTGCTAGGCAGTCCTGCGAACCAGGTATCGACTCAAAGTAATTGGGTACTTTAAGGTTTGCCATGACACTGATGGGTGGATTATCTCTCTCTGATGTGATCGTTACATAAGCTGATAATGTCGACCGTTGCCCCACGCAGAGTGTAACGTAAGTTATGGAGCTCGCAGACTGAGGCGGCCGGATTCAATAGAACCGGAGTCTGGCGCGTTGGAGTCTTGCTGTCCCGCTTGCACTTGTCGGAGTCGGAATTAGGGATTCCCACGGACAACGAACGTCGGCAAGGTCTTGCTCAGTTCCCAGAGGACCATCCGGGTAGCCCTCGCCGCCGCTGACGGCTGTCAAATGCTACGCATAGCACACCCGCCTGCTTGTGCCCTCGGTGTTGACCCCCCAACTCCGAAACACATTGGCCCCACGGCGGCCCTCTGTCCCGTGGCCTCGCACTTGATGCGTACTGGGTTTAGATCGCACACTCGAGTCCTTGGCAACTTGAAGCCTACTTGCTTCCTCGGGGGCCGGGCCAAAATTGCTGTCTCTCTCGCTCGACTAGCTCGTCCGTCCCCTCTCCCCGCGCCGCCTTCGGGTTGCCAGGCCGGGATGGATCAAAAACGAAGTGCGCGCAATCATCCGTCTGTCAATTACCCCCATAATTCTGTTCAGTGCCAATCCATACACTAATAACGTTCTTCGCTCGGATTATGCTTCCGGGCATATTCGACCTGCTTCGCTCTATATATTTCTCGCTGCTACACGGATCCCCCGCATTCCGGGTGCTATGAGTCCCCCCCTCCTCGTCCTCCTGGGCTGGTGCGCGCTATCGCTCGGTCTGTGTCTCACTCTGTTGCGCTGGGCGAGGGGGCGTCTGGGCGGGAAGTACGACGACGACGACGTGGACCGCGTGCCTGGGCCTGTGAGTCTCGCGATCCAGCCGTGTCCGTGCCCGCGAGCTTATGCGATCTTCGACGGAGTCCGCGAGCTTTGCCAGCTGGATTTGGGGGCACGAGCTTCTGGTGTTCGCACACTCGGCCGTCCAGATGTACGCGATCTGGGCGCGCGAGTTCGGAGGCCTGTACAAGATCCGGGCAGCCCTGTTCCATCGCGACATCGTGCGTCCCCCGCGAACCCACCTGGATTTTGTTCCGTTTATCGTTTTTTTTTTTTCAACAGCTCATTGTGACCGATCACGCAGCCGTGCAGCACATCTTCGCGCACAGCGCGCGGTACGTCAAGTCCCCGGCGTTCCGGCCTCCGATCAGGAATGTGATCGGTGAGGGCCTCGTCTGGGCGGAGGGAGACGACTGGCATCAGCAGCGTAGAGTTCTGGGCCCCGCGTTCTCGTAAGTACCCGTTGTGTAAGCTCGATTGTCTCTGAGAACCCCATCGTTTTCAGGGCAGACTCTGTGCGAGAGATGACCGCGGCCATCCACGGTTGCGCGGAACGACTCGAGAGTCGGCTGGTCAACCTGGTTCTGGGCGAGGCCTCGACGACGGTGAATATTCTGCACTATATCAGCGACTGCACGTAAGTTTCTTGGACCCACTTGGCGGTCGCTTCGACGCTGAACTCTAACCCTCGAACAGACTCGATATCATCGGCACAGTGGCCCTCTCTTACGCGTTCGACTCGCAGACGCTCGACGAGAGTGCCAGTGCTTCCTCCGACGCAGAGCAAATCCGATCGTCCTGGGTAAATCACGTCGACACGGGCATCACATTCCCGGCTTTCGTGGCGCAGACAGTGCTCAGAGCCTTGCCCGCCGTCACAAGTCTCCCGCTGCCGTTGATGCAGACTCAGGGCGTCATCAAGACGATCGTGCGGGAGATCGGCCAGCAGATTCTGGACCGGGAGTCGTCCGATTCCTTGGATGAAATGCCTAAAGAACGTCCGAAGGATATTTTGACTATCTTGCTTCGCGAACGCAAGAAGTTGGGGAACAGGCTGTCGGATGAGCAAATATTGGACAACGTACGGACGGGCTCCTCTGATTCCAGGTCTCGAACTCCCGCTGAATTATTGTCTTCCAGATCTCGACTTTCATGTGAGTCTAATTCGCGCGCTGATGCGCGTGGAACGTTCCCCGCTGATCAGCGGGTTTCTAGCATGGTCGGTCACGAGACCACGGCGGGAACGCTGTCCTTTATCCTACTGGAGTTAGCTCGGCAGCCCTTGGTCCAGGTGCGTCGGACTTGATATTTCTCTGTGTGAATTTTTCACAATTACATATCGCTGGCAGGAACGATTGCGGGCTGAGATAGCCAGCCACGAGCGAGATCTTCCGTACGAGGATATACAAAAATTGGAGTATCTTGACGCAGTTGTTAAAGAGGGGTGAGTGGCTAGTACCCAATACCGTCGCATTCCAAGCTGAAACCTCTTCCTCTGAAGCCTGCGCTTGCACCCGGCGTCTCCACAAACTGAACGTGTCGCACGTGACGATGATTTCATCCCCCTCTCCACGCCGCTGCCGCACATCGGCGCAGGTCTGCGCGTCAAAAAAGGCCAGATTCTGCGCATCCCGTTCCTCGCGATGCACACCAACCCGCGCATCTGGGGCCCGACTGCGGATCTATTCGATCCCTCCCGCTGGCTCGCGCCGCCGAGAGACCCGGCGTTCAACCGGCCGCATGGTTGGAATGGGCTGCTGTCGTTCTGCGATGGGCCGAGGAATTGTGTTGGGTGGCGATTGGGTGCGTTGCGGAGGTTCATGTTCGTCCGCCGACACAAAATTCACCGTCTTGGCAGCTGTATTGGAGCTGAAGATAATTCTCCTCACTCTCGTTCGATCTATCGTCTTCGTTGACACGGGGGTCCACGTGGACCGCAAGATCTCGCCGACTCTGCAGCCCGTGGTGAATGGCAAGGGCTCCGTATTGCCGCTCCATCTCAAGCTGGTTTGAAAATCCGAAAATAGCCGAGCGAAACCGTCGCTGTAAATTTATCGATATATTGCTATCTAATCCGCTTGTACTTCTTGCTTGTAATTAATCCATGTAAGCACTTCAGCAGCCCCACGGATCAGCTCCATTATTGATAATTGATAATCACCATCAACGGAGGAAATCTCGTCCCGACAGATTCTTGCAGCCCTTTCGCGCGAGATCCTTCCCTTCACACAGATAGAAGGAAGGACGAAAAGATCAATCCATTATGGCAGCGCGCAGGTCCAGATGCGGCAGGACCCTGTGCGCCGGGCTCGTGGCGCGTGCCTCGCCGCCACTTCTTCGACGCTTCCTCGGATCAGCTGCAAATTGGCGGCGTGGAGCGGTGACCCTGGAGACTCTCCGGTTCATCATCAAGCCGTGTGACTATCTCATGCATATGCCGAGTGGGACGTGGGTCACTCAGATGCGCAGAGGGATGCATCCGAGTCCAGAGATCTTGGTGTTAGGTTCGCCGGCGGCAGCTCCAGCTCGTCCCAGGCTCCCACGGCCTGACCGGGCCAGGTCACTGCTCGCCTCGAAGATCCTTGCTGCCGCGTAAATTCAACACTTGGGTTCTTCCGCCAGTCTGATGAATTTACCAAACAGTGCATGGCTTCGTGTGAAACACTTGCATTTATCACGTGCAACAGCCAGCATGATCGGCGACGCTTAATTGATCCATGTGTCCTTTTACCTGATCCGGCGACTTTTCGGAATCCGTGCGCTACGACACACCTGTTCCCGAATCCCCGACCCTGCATCGAGAGGACTATTCTGTTTCATTGTTTGCTATGGCGCTTCTCGTATTCAATTGTGCCTGGGAAATCTGCAATTGCTTATACGCCGCGGCGGCGCGCAGGCTTGGCCAACTGCGGCGGAGCTGTCGCGCAGCACCTGCGGGCAGCTGCGCTCGACAGTCCCGCCTCGTATAAAACTGAGCGCCCCTCCCGCTCTTCTCAAAACCAACACAAAGCCACACTTGAGCCACTCAGCCACTGTCTACCACCTACTGTGCCACTCGAGCTACCATGTCTTCCACCGTGACCAGCACAATCTCCTCGTCCTCATCCACCTCCCCCAAAAACTACGAGGCCGCATTCGCGGCGCTCCAGTCCTCGTTCGGCATCATCGGCCAGAGCGTCCCCCGCATCGATCCCAAGCCTATCAAGGGCGCGAAGAAGACCAAGGCTGCGCCGTCCACGCCCATGACGCGCTTCGAGCTGGCGCACGCTAACCTGATGGCCAAGTACGGCTGTGGAGGCGGCGCGTCTGTGCGGACTTCGCACGCTGCGTAGACCGAGCCGAGTGAGTCCTCTTGTCTTCGTTTTGTTCTCCGACTGTTTCTCATGGCGCTTCGTAGATAGGAGGATCTCGAATAGATTCTGTGCGGTGACATCAACTGCCTGTGCAAGCGCTACTCCGGAGCGGAAAAGGCATCCCATGCTACAGGACGTCTCCTATGGGATAATCGAACAAACCCTGGCCCAGGCAAGTCCCGCCGGCCAGGCCCACTACTTTCCGACACGGTCGCTGCATCACTTCCGTTCTGTATATAGTCATAGATCACCTGCATGTAACATGTGTCTTGATCTGAATAACGAATCGGCTGATTGCCACCATGGATTCGCTACTGTCCTGAACTATACAGCAGTGGCCACAACAGTCCCAATACATAATAACGATAGTATACCAAAGCACTCGATCTTCCATCTCATCCAGCCACGATAGTGAAATAGTCAGCTCTCACGACTGACCACGTCAAGTCAACAAAAGCCAGACCATAAACAAACGCCGCGACTCACTGCCCGTTGTCCCGTCGCGCTTCCGCGCCATCCACCACCTGCCTTCCCGGTCCAGGATCTCGAGCTCCTCTCCTTTGGTGAACGCGATCTCGTCGGCGTCATCCTGGTCGCCGTCCGCCCGCACGGGGAAGTCTGGGGCCGCGGGGGTAAGGTTAGCGAGCGGCCGCTGCAATATTCAACAGATTAGGCTGCTGCGCACGCACAATTGAACTGGGCACGAGCTCTGATGGCCGGATCTTTCCGCGTCTGTTCTGATTGCAAGGGGGGCAGGGGCTCGATGACGGATACGGGGCTGTCGACGCGAAGCGGGGGAGGTGGTGGTGGTGCTTCTTGTGCAGCAGCTGCTGCTGCGACCGCTGACTGGGCAACCGTTGGGGTGGCCACGGCCGTCCGTAGCACACCCTTGGATCTCCTGCTCGGAACTAGCCGATTGAAGCCTGTCTCGATATTGCTGCCTGTCAAGGTACTAAGCCTAATCGTCCAGAGATCGGGAGGGGCTGGCACGTACCGATACTAAGACTCGGGAAGCCCGTCAACGCAATCGGAAGGCTGGGCAGGCTCGAAAGACCGAAAGACGACCCGGCGCGCGATCGGTCGAGTGGGGCGACTGGGTTTGCGTGCTCGAATCGAAAGAAATCTGCCTCTTCCTCTTCCGGCGGAGGCGATTGGATGGGCAGATCGCCGGCGTCCTTCGTTGGAGCCTGTCGCGAGGGTTTCTTCGATCTCAGTGGCCGCAGCAGAGACTCAGTGTCAAGCACAGACGTGTACAGCCTGCTCGTCGTTGGCGGCCCAGCATCGGGAGGTGACATCGAATTCGATGGGTGTCCTGCCGCGCGGGTCTTGCTGGGCCGTCGTCGCGAAGGAGTCAGCGGTTTTTCAGACGTGATCACGTTGTGCGCGGCATCGGTCGGAAGGGGACGCGGGTTAAAGATGGAATCCTCGTCAGCGAAAGGCACCCCCTCTTCTGGCGCTTCCGGTGGTCGCACACGTTGCCACAGCAGGCGGAATGCAGCGAGTTCTGCGGTCGCGATTAGCAGAAATCATATGGCATCGTCGTTGACAGACGGACTAGTTCCACTGGCATATGCGGCCGCCCCGAGAACGCGCAACACGCGACTACGCACAACAGGATCCGTCTGCGGGGCAACCAGCAGGTCTTCTAGGCTGTCCAAGAACTTGTGGCTCGTACAGGCATATAGTAACGCGCCCGAGGCTGACTTGAGCAGCAGGGCCCATAGCTTGTGTGCATCGTTAGAGAGACGGTACAACCAGATCTGGAGATCCAGGACCCACCTGTGCCGCAACGAGCTGAGCAGAAGGTGCCCCGAATCGGAACTCGTAGCGCAACGCTCGCACTGCTTCACGTGCCGACTCGTCGGAGGACGATGCCAGCCCGCACACTTCCTGCATCGCAAGCCAGTCGTCAGAGCATGTGGCTGTCAGCCGTCCTGCACCAGACCGCTATCAATCTGGGTCCATGCACACCGATTTCATTTCGCGACGCACCAATCTTCCGCGTGAGCTCTGTGGCCGCTCTACTACTGCTGGCAGTGGAAGCCATGGAGGATGTCGAGGCGATGGATGCTTGCTTCGTGATCTGAATCGGCGTGGGTGGCACAACCGGAGACTTGGCGTCCTTCGCCTTTTCTTTGCCTGCAGTTTTCCTCCCCCGTTCTTGGAGCTGGCTCGTGATATAGCGCGCAGTGACGCGGACACGGTCTACCATCTCAGGGACTTTGCTCGGGAGAACAGCGGATGGGATGTCGGGTGACTGCCCTGGCAGTTGAGCTGGAACGGCAGTTGAGCCCGCAGACGACGAGGGGGGTTGGTCCAGCTGCAACGAAGACACCGATGACCAAGTCACGAAGTTCCGGACGGGTGCCGAGGCTCCAGGTGGGAGGTGGTCCTATTGGGAAGGGGGGAGTTTCAGACGACGGGATCGACTAGCAGGTCTTAGGATCAAACGGTAATAGCGCGACATATAGCCCACTCACTGATCCCACGCGCGCAACCTACCTTGATATCCTCCCGGTTCTCATCGCCGTCTCCCTCGCGCCCGCGTGCCTCCTTGACAGGGGATCCACGCAGATCAACAGTCACTTCCGAATCCAATTCTCTCAGCGAAGCGAACAGCATCTTGAGCCCCTCGTCGAGCGACGCATCGAGCCTGCACCGCACGGAAAACGCAGGTCAGTGGGGGCAGAGTGGATCCCGGGGACAGGTACGTGCGATAACACCCGCGCTGCCGCTAACGCCTGCAGCTCTCGATCCCCCTGCTGCCGTCCATGGCCTGGGTCCGAGTCGGCTCTCCGCGCAAGCTGCTGCAGACGGAGGTTGCGGAGGTACTTCGGGACGGCGATCTGCACGGTGGGGATCGTGTTGGTCAGTGACACTGGGCCGGGGAGGCAGCTCGCGCTGTGCTCCCCCACGTCGGTCTCGAGGTGGGTCATGATCATGCGAGATGTCGAGGCGTTCTGATTGATTATAAGCTGTACACCTGATGTGAGCGGTAGCATGGGAAAAGGACGGGGTACCGAGATCACACACAGGCCTGCACTTGCCGCAGAGATGTTTGAACCCAATGTAGATCGGATTCAAATCGTGTTCTGGGTCCTGGGCACTGTCCTCAACAGGCTCATATCGTGATTCTGTGATTCCGCGAATGAGGATGGCCAGACGAATATCGAAACGAGCATCAACCGGTCTGAGGGCTTTGCGTCCCGCGGAGGGCCCGGGGAACAAGCAATCGGATGTTTCACGGCTGGCGGGCCGGAGCAGAAGCGATTACTCACGCGAGAGACATGTGATTCTCACGTGACACACTCATTTTATCTAACAGTTACTCTGCTCAGTACACAAGGACGAGGCAATGGATTCTCATCACCTATGTATTGATTACAAGCACGCACTTGAATAAAGATAAATCCGACTACATTCGCTTCGCGCCAATCCGGGCCCAGTACATCTCTTCTCGCAGCCGCACCAGCTCCTTCCAGGTGCGTTCCTCCCAGGTGGCGTCGCCCACATACACTTCGTCATCCTCTTCGTCGTCCTCCTTCTCCTTTTCGGGGAGAGGTGACTCTGAGCGCGCCAGGTCCCCGTTCAACACGGGTTGGGATGCAGGGGGTTCTTCGGTTTTTGGCTTAGCTTCCACTGGTTCCGCGGCAACAATGTCAGACTGCACTTCCACTGCTGCTACCTTGGGTGGCGCATCAGCGGGCTCAGCTGGGGGCGCTGATTCTGTAGTCGGAGGGGCGGGAACGGGCCGTCTAGCGGCAGCTCTCCTCGGAAGTGGAGGGGGAGCAGCCGGCTGGGCAGCTGGCCCTGACGATTCAACGACAGCAGTCTCAGCTGCAGGGGTTTCGGCCATTGGAGTGGACGGTCTCGAATCAGGGAGGGCAATCTGATGTGCGGACATTCGCTTCAGCGAAGCCGCTGGCGCTGGTGGCTCTTCAGTCTGCTCTGCCGCCGCCGCTTCCGCCGCCGGTTCTGTGGCTGGAGGCACTGTTGGATCCGCCGGCTCCTCAGCAGCAGTCTGCTCCATCGGTGCTTGTTCAACCGGCGCCTGCTCAACTGAAACCTCCTCAACCGAAGCCTTCTCCACCGGTGCCTGCTCAACCGGCGCCTGCTCAGCCACTGTTTCCTCCACCACTTCCACTCGCTCGGCCGGTGGTTGCTCCACAACACGTCGAGCAGGAAGCGGTGGTGCAGAGCTCACCGGGAGAGACGACCGCCGGCGCTCCTCGTTCCGTTTCGGCAGAGGGGGAGCCGAGGTCGGGACTACCGCAGTCGGTGGAAGCGGCTTTTCCTCGACTTTCTTCTCGCCGCTCCAACTCCCCAGCTTCGTAGCCATGCCCCAAAGTCCTTTCCTGCGCGGGGGAATCGGTGGCGCCGCCGCTGCGTTGGGCTCGAGTGCAGTTTGCGGGATGTTCGGCACTTCCTCCTCCCAAACTCGTTCGACGATCCCCGTGCGTACAAAGGACCACAGAGTGCACGTGGTGCGCAAGCGTGCCAGGCACCAGCCGGACGTGCAGAGCGGGTATATAGTCGTCGACGGCGCCGCCGACTGCGTCAACGAGTTGAACGACAGATTGCTTAGGCTTGACGCGGCAACAGCAGCAGCAGCAGGTGGAGGTGTGGCACGCGACGATACGCTGGGCAAGAACGGTGACGGGCTGGCGGTGCGAGTCGGCGGGTTCATCGGTTGGGGCGGTGGAAGTGGTGTCGCGATCCGGAATATATAGATTTGCGGCGGGTAGGGTGCTCCGTGTTCGGAACTGGGTCGAGAGACAGTTGAGGTGCCGGTGTACGACAGCGTCTTCTTGATCACGGACGTAGACCATCCGCTGTTCCCGTGCAACGATGGATGCGTGGGTGGCTTTGCATAATGCGGGGGAAGCTCTGGATTGGAGAAAATGGGGGTTCCGCACAGCGCACAAGAGATGTTGTTGTTACTGCTGTTGACACCGGGGATGGTGGGTGCTCCAGCAGAGTTGGATTCAGCCAGCATTGCACCCGTGGCCATGGGTTCAATTGTAAGTTGCCCTGCATGGATCGCGGAAAGCACAGATCGCCGAGATAGCCAATTGAGAGACGGCGCCAAGTCGAGACGCATAGTTGGCTCACTGTAATACTTCGTTCACGTGCCATTGGAAGAAGAAAGGGAACACTCACGAGTCTTCATTTGAAAGGCGGGAAAGAAACGCCATCGGAAGTAGAGTTGTCATCGCCGGTGGGTTGGCCAACGACGAAGGATGAATGCTTCGCAGATGCGCGACAAACAAAAGGAATTCTTGATACGGCAGATGGGAGCTCATCAGCTTCACAGAGCTGGGGGGCCTGTCCTGAATCTCCCAGTTTCTTCGGGAGCCATGCTCGGCATTGTCTTTTTCATCCTGCAGCCTCTGCATCTGAATTTGCATCATGCCGACCATCTCCTCCGCGCCTTTCAGCGCTGTCTCCGAAGCTTCGACCCTCCGGTCTGCCAGCGCCTGAGCATACCGGGCTTCTGCGACCATGGTGTTTGCTTGCGCGAACAGCGTCGCACTCAAGTCGTCCAAGTCCTTCTCGATGTCCGCCTTGGCCGTCTCCGCACGCCCCCTCCGCACAGCCTCTTCCGTCGCCTTTTCCATCAGGCGAGTAAGCTCTGCCGTCACCTGGGCCTTCTCCACGAGGAGCCCGGTGTTAAGCGCGGACAGGTGCTGCGTGCGCTCGAGCTCGAGCTGCGCGATCTTGAGCGACGTCTGCCGCGCCTGGGACGCAGACATGTGCGCGTCGTCTTCGAGGTCGGAGACGCGGTCGTAGGATTTGACGAGCTTCCCATTCAGTTGCGTGACTTGGGAGAAGAGGTCTTGAATTTGGCCCCGGAGGGACGCGATCAGCATCTCCTGCGCATCCGAGTCCTGATGTTTATGGAAGATGCCATTAGACGAAGGAGATGACGCCGACTCGGGTTGGGGAGACTCGGTAGAGGCCATGACTTCGTTCTTTGTCTACACGATGAGCGATTGTGTGTAAACGAGAGCATGTGGCAGTACATACCTCTTTAGCGGAGTTGCTACAATTAGAAAAAAGGAAACGGAATAGAGTCTCGGTGCACTACTACACGCCAACGTGTCCAAGGACCTAAGCTTCGGACCGCTCCAAATGAAAGTGTCCTGTGATGCGGCTGGGTATACGGCGTTTACGGCGCGCCTTTGTTACAACGTGGTGCAACAGAGGGTTCACGTTTGGCTGTCCTAGTCTGGTTCTCCGATGTCGTCACAGACGGACTGTGAAGATGCTCGTCGCAATTTCAATTTGTCCGAGCGTGGTGTGATGGCCGGGTGGGGCGGATCATAACTGAGTGGCGCGTGCCTTGGCAGGCGGCCATTCCCTCTAACCAGGTTACTCACTCGCGGGAGGGCCGATCCGAGACACATGGTGCCTTGAACTAAGAAAGACAAGGTGCTCGCCGGCTTATAAATACGGATGTAGCATCGAAGGCTCACGGACACTGGCCAACCATTCCCAGCGCACACCTCCCATGCCTCTTTCATGTGCCGACAGCCGTAACCTGAGATTGCACAGAGGACCAGTGTGAAAAGGTACCGGACTAGGTGTAACAGCCGCTTGCCTCTTGAATCCCGACAGGGTTGGAACGACGCGACTCCAGGTGCGTAGCAGCGATTTGAGCGCCCGATGCTCATTCATCAAAGCGCAGACGATCCGTGCTCAGCGAAAGCGAAGCAGTTTCGCCCTGGTAGGATCCGACTGCTCTCTAACTGTCAGGCAGAAAGTCTCTTGTTTGCCCGCACCGTCTCCTCCTCCTCGGACTGACCGTCGGCAGAACTCACCATGGGAGTTTTTGACACTCTCCGCAACTCGAGAACTTCGCACCGCTACGTTCTTTGCTGCATGCCTTGTGAAACACTCCGGCGGCCGGCGGCGAATCGTGGGCCATCGACGATACGCAGCGTTTGGCTCCTTGCACGCCAAACTCAAGGCCACAACCAGTCAGTCGATCCACGCACCGCAATCGCTGTTGTGCCAGGTGTGCGCGGGTCCTATAACGTTTGCGACGTGGATCGAGCCGGGATGCCCATGCAGTCGTACCCGGCCTCGTGTAAAGCAAGGCATGACTGCGACACTCATCCTGCTCGACCCTGTGGATGCACGGGAGCGTGCCGCACATCGCGCGCAAGTGCCACCGGTTCTTTTGCCAGTGGAAGCGTAGTGCAGCGATCAGCAAGTGAGATCTCCTTCCCCGCAGTTTGTATATGCCGAGCAGTATCCAGGACGCCTGCAAATTCCGACATGCGTCTTCGAAGCAGGGAGAGACATGGAGCCGGGGTGTCCCCTGTGGAGCCGCGCGCGACACAGAACTTGTAGTTGTTGAAATCTGAGTGGATTCTCCCGGAAAGGGTCGGAACAGCCTCACCGTGAGAGTTACCCTCGCCTCGAGTCGCGTGAAACTGACCACTGCGATAAGATGCTGATTCTATGCCTGTTAGAACCGCACCACGCGCTACAGGCCTGGCGCGTTCAGTCCTGCCTATAAAGCCGCCAGGATATTCGCACCAAAACACCTCAAAGCTTTCCGTTCACTCGCGCCCTCGTACTCTGCCTTCTCAATGGTTGAAAAGACTGGATCCTTCGTGGAAAAGTCTGCATTTGCGGTCTCCGAGAAGGAGGCATACTGGTACCAACGCCGAGTCTTTCTGCAAAAGGCGGGCTATCGTCTGCGCCCGAAATTCCATCCCGATTTCGTGGGTCCAATCGGTGATCAGATTGCGCAGCACCCCGTGAGTCTCTCGCGCTTCTTTTGCTTGCTCGAACGGCCGTTGACCTAGTCTTCAGAAAAAGCATATCATGGATGCGGACCGGATATATGACGGTCAGCAAGTCATGCTCAAATGCATTTCGAAGCGGAAGTTCCCGCACGAGGTCGAGATCGGCCAGCTTTTCTCGACAGATGCGATGGCCAAGAACCCCCGGAACCGCTGTATCCCGATCCTAGATACACTCGACGATCCATATGATGGGGACAAGCAGATCATCGTTATGCCGCGACTCATACGATTCGATGAGCCTTTGTTCGATACCGTCGGGGAGGTCGTAGACTGCTTTCGGCAGTTGGCTGAGGTGTGTGTCAATGTCTATCTTGCTGGACCCCAATTTGACACTCAGCAGGGACTCCAGTTCATGCACGACAACTTTGTCGCACACCGGTACGTCGCTGGACTCCAGTCGTATGAGCAAACCTGACTTAACGAAAACGCAGTGATCTGAGCCTGCTCAACATCATGCAAGACCCTTCGCGTCTCTTCCCACGCGGCTTTCACCCGGTCAACTACTGTCTGAATCCAACCAACGACGGGCTTGCATATTGCATCACCCGCACCGAATGCTGGCCTCAGTACCACATCATAGATTTCGGTCTTTCTAGACGATACGATCCAGCTCACGGACCTCCGCACGAAACAGTCGTGCCCGGTGCCAGTGAAGTCACGCCCCCCGAGTATGCCAGCGGCCAGTGCAACCCGTTCCCGGCTGACATCTACTGCCTCGGAGATCTCTTCAAGCGGCATTTTAGGGTGCGTTCCACAGAGGTGCACATGTTTCCCCACTCCTCGCCTTCGGTTGACAAAGCTCACGCCGGTCGTCTACAGGCTGGTGGACACGTTCCTCTGGCGTTTTTGGCGCCGATTGTGGACGCGATGACGCAGAAGGACCCCGCCATGCGGCCTACCATTGGCGAAGTCATCGCCCGCTTCAACGATGTCTGCTGCCGACTGGGCTCGTGGGACCTGCGCAAGCCGGGCCAGATGCTCGACTGGCCCGCGTGGATAGACCAGCGGCTGCGACAGCTGAAGAACATCTTCAAAGGCAGACGCCCGCTGTCGTCACAGTGTCTCTTGTCGCTGTCGAGCCCCAAACGGACTAGTAGTAGTAGTAGCACCGCTTTGAATTCGCGTATGAGGACTTTCTACACCCGGACTCCCAAATCTGCAGGAAAGCCACGGTCGCTTGCGAAGCTCCGTTGACTCTCCTGCAGGCCCAGTGATCTGTTACTTATCCAGCTATGCTCCACGTATTTATGACTCATGTTGTAACTTATGTATGTACCATGCATAACATATTCACGAACGATCTACTTTCACTGGGCATGATGGTAGAAAGACGGGAGTTGTTCCCGATCCACAGCAGAGCCAGCATCAGCCACAAATGTCGACCCCAGCAGCTCCTTCCTCGACCCTCCGCTCGCTCCCGAGAAAGTCGAAGCGCTGTCAGCACGTGTCGGCAAGGGCGGAGCCTCCGGATCGACACCTCCCCTCCATCTTCGCGCAGGAGAAAGAGCCTGCGACTTGCGTCGGGATAGGCTGACTGCCCGCGAGAGTCCACCCGCCATGGCCTTGTAGTCTTGCAACACTTGGCTCCCCGTCCCAAAGAAGAGAAAGAATATGACACTGCTGAGCGGGACAGCCCACCAGAGGATGTAGGTGAACGCGACATCCGACGGGCTTAGATCCGAGTTTTTGAATTGGCCGATGAATTCGAAGCCGGCGTGGACAAAGGGCCAGCTGACGTACGGCTGAAGCCCGCCGATATATGCGCTGACCGCGCTGACGGCGACCAGAATGGTGTTCCACAGCCCAAGGAGCAGTGTCAGCCCCATCAGACGCATGTAGCGGGACGGCGTGAGCGACGACTCGGTCGTTTCCAGGAAGACACGGAAGGATTGTCGTCTCTGGTACAACTTGGGTATTGCCATGCCACAGCATAGGAGTGCACCAGCAGCAGGCAAAAATGCGGGTAGATCAAGGATGAGGATGGACGGCCAGGAGATGTAAACTGCAGGGAGGCATCCGATATTCTCGATGATATCGAAACGGTGGCCTTGAACGACGAGATCTGCTCAACTTGTTCATGCAATTAGTGGTCCAATTTGAGGCGGGACGCACGGAGAGCCATTATCAGAACAGGAATCCCCCAGCAGAGCAGGATATCTGGCATCAGATACCTCCACCCCGGCGGCGACATTTCTTTTCCTTTCGCTATCCGCAGCAAACGGCGTGCCAAGCACAAGCAGCATCCAGGGAGCGCAACGTCCGCGCCAATTTTCAGTTTCGTAGCTATAATCCCTCCAGAATCTAGCTGAAATGAGACAGGAAACAAAGCTCACCAAGATCGCACCAAGTTGCCGCCTGGATGTCGTCATTGCCATTCCAGATGACAGCGTTGACGCCGTACATCATGTTGTACACGAAAAGCCAGGCGATGATCGAGAGCGTCGCTATGTTTCCCACCCGCCAGTGGTGAGGAAGAGTGGCAATCACGAGGGAGCCCGCGAGGAAGGGCGCGATTTCGAGTGCCCAGTTCGTCATGCAGTCTAAGAAGTGGTAATGCGAGTCGGGAAAATGTGAATGGAAAAGACAAGCAAGAACAACAGAAAAGGGGGGTATGAACAAGAAGGAGAAGAAGAGAAAAACCAAGAGCGTGAAGCCAGAAAGTGAAAGGGAAAGCGGCAACACGCTCAGGTGCGCGGTGACACACATCCGAGGTCGGCGGGCGACGGGCCCATCACTGGTTCCCATCAATATGTTGCAGATGAAAGTGACATACATAGCGTGATCTGAACGGAGACTGAGACGTGTGTAGGCAGCGGCACATCATAGCGCATTTCCGAGTCGGGCAATGAGGGACGGAAGCTGAGAAGGCAATGATGCAAGTCGGTGCCGCGAGTGATCATCTCGGGTGGCTATGGAATGCGTGTTCTAGCTTGAGCGGGCATGCCAGCATTTCAGATGCTTGGTTTATTGCGGGATTGGCAGCCCGGGCCAGCAAAGAGGAAGAGGAGAAGGGTGCGCAGCTCGAGCCCGCCATCGGAGAATTCCGAGGATCTCATCCCACGTGACCCATATTCTGCTGGTGCAAACTTCTGTCTGCTTCCGATTGAGATCTGAGAACAGCCGCTATAGCATTCTCACATCTTTCTCTGAGAAGTTTCTACGCAAATCCTGTCCATTGTTTGCCGATTTCTGTCGACCGAGGACATTACTAACTTACTATCCTGAAAAGATTGGTTGAAGTTTTGAGATGACTTGAAAATGTCGGGAAGAAGAGTGGAAACTTGCACGATATACCTGTACTCAACTTGACTGCGACAAAGTAGTCCCGCTAAGTTGAATTGGTCAACGGTCAACGGGGGTCGCTGCCTTCCTTTTGCTCGAGTCTGATCTCATTTGAAGACTAGAACATGGTCTGGTTTTGAATGAAGCGTCTGGTTTCAAGTGCCCATTTCCTAATAGTTTTACAGTAGTATACTTACTCGGAACAAAACATGCTAAATGATCCTTCACTAAGAAAGGCAACGACCTTTCCTTTTCGGGCCCCAACGCGTCAGATCACGCCATGTGACATCGCGCGATGCAGTGTCACTCTTGCTCGCAACCATGCGCGAAGCTGCTCCGACCTCGCTCCCGCAAGTCAACCTTGAGACGATCGGCGTGGCAAAATGCAAGCAGTGCGGCCGCGACTCTTCCTTCGGATACAAGCGCTGCGCGGAGTGCCGCGCCAAGCGGGCGGCGACGGCTCGACGGGCTGCTGAGCGCAAAAAACGCGCCTTGCTGGAGCAGACCTCGGCCCTGAAAGACGCGACTCCGCGCGAAAGCGCCACTTCGGCACTGCCACTCGTGCTGCCCCCGTTTGATGGTGGGCGGAAGCAGAAACTGGAGCCGATGGCACAGGCCCCGGCTCTGAAAGACGCAACTCCGCGTGCGAACGGCGCTTCGGCATCGCTCCCTATCCTGCCCTTGTTCGGCGGTGGGCGGAAGCGGAAACTTGAGCTAATGACAGAGACCGAGGACGCGATAGAGCGAATAAAGAAACGGTTCAAGGGAGATGACCCATTTTTCAAGGCAAAGGCACGTCTTCTTCCAAAGCTGCGCCATCTATTGACTCACACGATCACATTTTCCTAGTCATACATACCGGTCGAGGTGAGAAATTGATTCGAGCAGTTGGACCTCCAGGCATTGATCATGCGGCGCGCAGAAGAAGATAGACTCGTTCGAAAAGTTCGCCGGTTCCTCTGATGTACACAAATTCATCAAGCTCCGCTATCCGGCTACTGGAACCGGTGTCTCCCTTCGATGCACTTACGCTCTCGTTGCCGATCCGGCTGTAGACCACAAAGCCCGCGCGGGCTTAGTTGCTCAAGAGTTGAGGCAGAAAACGTCGTTGTCATTCGGGTACAATCTAGTCGCTGTTCTTTCTCCTGTGGCGTCTCTGACCACGTCCCTCAGCACCCTAGTCCATCATAAATATCGCACATCAACCTCGTATACTCTCGTTATGACGTGCACTTGCTCTCCCCCGGGAGAAATCAAGCGCGCCAGCAGTGACATTTTCCTCCACTTTGCGGCTTTGTCAAACAAGATGCATTCTTCAGTCAAGGCAGGCTCATCCATAAACGAATGCTCCGGTCGAGTGAAGATCCGCGTCGAGGAAGACAAATCCCATCCTCGCTGGATCGGCCAGCGGGTCAAAATCTTCATCGATCATCCGCGCCGACTGAACGACATCTGAACGTCGCATACGAATCCCATACATATCCTACATTCCCCAATACTCCCTTGCCACTGACCTGTACCGTACCGCCTGCCCATTAGTTGCTATGCTTTTGCACGAATTGCACTATTTCCTCGACCACCCGCTCGCCCTGTTCCTGTTGCACCCAGTGCCCCGCCCCCTCGACGAGAACGAGCGCGTCGAAGTGGGCGCACGCGGACTCGCACATCGCTTCAACACCGCCGGGACGCTGGTACGTCCCCCAATCTTCTTTGCCCGCGAGGAACATGGCGGGAACGACGATCTGCATCCCCGCAAACAGCTCGAGATCCGCCTGCCAGTTGCGGCTGGTCATGACTCGGTAGGAGTTGAGACCGCCCTGGAATCCTGTGCGCGAGAACTCTTGCACGTAGAAGTCGAGGTCGTCTTCCGGGAACCACGAGAGATCGTCCTCCGATGGCTGGTACGGGCGCACCGCCTCGGGCATGGACGCGTGGAGAGGCATCACGTAGTAGTCTGGCAGCGACGCGAGTGCAGGAACCAGTGGACCCGACAGCGATTTCGGGGCGTTTTCTGTCCAATCAGCGCTCTTGACGAAGAAGTAGTTTCGCAGGAAGGAGCGCAACCCTTCCGGGGGATAGATCAGATCTTTATTGGCATGGTCGGTGCTGAAGTACAGCATGTAGTGCTTCCGAGGAGGATTGAGTTCAGCCAACGGACCGGCGAGGGCGGGAAAGTCGCTCGATGCGGGCGAAGGGGAGAGTGCTGGAGGGCCTGCGAACGGAGCACTCATGAGCACGACTGATTGGAAGACATCGGGGCGGATGAGAGCGCAGTAGGCTGCAACGGGCGAGCCAAAGTCGTGCCCCACGACGGCGGCGGCAGACCGGTACCCGAGAGCGAACACAAGCCCGAGAACATCTTTGACCAGATTCGTAACCTGGAACGGAGAGAGATCGTCCCCGTAGTCGATCCTCCGCGCAGGCGAGTCGCGGGAAACGGTGCGCCCGTAGCCCCGCTGGTCCGGCGCCACGACATGGTATCCCGCGTCCGCCAAAGGCCCGATCACTTTGCGCCAGGAGCTGAAACACCGGCATGTGAGTCAAGACGCGGCGAACAAGAGCAGGCTGGGATTACTAGGCCAGTTCGGGGAAGCCGTGCAGGAGAACGAGCAGAGGAGCGTGCTCCACTCCTTCTGGGAACGCTTCCAGAATATGCATGTCGAGGTCTCCGACGGTAATAGACCGAGACTGGATGTCTTTCGCAGTGATCATGCTGGTAGATGGCAAGACAGCTTCTTCCAACACTCGAACGGAATGATCCATCTGTCATCCCAGGCGGAACCGGATGATATACTTGGCTGAACATTCACACACATGCATAAGCAGAACAAAAAGGCAAATGATTCCGCGACTCCTCGGCACTACGATTCGCGGGACCTCATCGAGAAAATCTTGTTTCAAAATTCAGAATCTTATCCAAGAGCGGTTGGCAGTCTTTTCGGCTAGGATTGAGTCCTTGGACGATTTGACAGGCTGGACTTCGAATACACGCCAATCTCAGATTGATGCGTTGAGATGCTCCAGTGATGCAAACACGGCTTCGAGATTTTAGTGAGCGAAGGGACTGGGAATGATAATATGGTGGCAAATAGCTGGGACTTGAAGGTGGTTGAATGTTACTGGCAAAAAGGAGTGAGTGGCAGTGCTGCTCGGATCACAGACATTAGTCATTGGTACGTGGCCACTACGAGTCTCTGGACACCTCTCACCCTTTATGTCGCAGCTGCGAGCAGATCTCCCTTCGGAATTGTGGCTCTATATCCAGAGGCTCGCCACCGCCTATTATTCGCCTCTGAATATCGCGTATGACAGTGACTTTGTGTATCGATATGATCGTGCTGTGAATCCATTTGATCTCATACGTCCTTTCCATAAGGTCTGTGCATGCATAGAAATCAAATTCAAGCTGACTCATGTGCACTTACAGGATGCGAGATCATTCTCCCTCGTCTCCAGCTCTTGGAATCTGCTGGCCGCTGAGCTACTTTACGAAAGCATCTGTGTCAATCGCTCCACTCAGTCCAGCCTCTTCGCAGCCCTCCGCAGAGCAGGTGTATCGAACCTTGTGCGCGCCGTGAGTATCTCCGAACCAGCAGACCTGGATTTTTATTGTGCCCTTTTCACGCTCTGTCCGCGCCTCGAGGTGCTCGTCCTCCAGCATTCCAATGATCACAGCACGACTTTGGATATAGATCTGATGACCATGACTCTGGGCCGAAGCTTCATTCTCCCCCAATTGCGTTTCGTTTTCTGGAATCGCTTCGTCGCACCAGATGGGCTTCTGGATCTGGTGCTGCAAGTCTCCCCGAATGTCCAGTCTTTTTTCTCCGACGGCAGTCGGGAAAATACAAACGGGCTGATGTTCAACACGTCACGGGGCCATGCACCCGGTCCGCTTTCTCTATCTTCCCTTCGAAGACTTGAAATTCGCAGCTCTCGAGACGACGTGACCCTTCCGCTCTTGCTTTCTCTCGGATGCGAGCATACACTCACCCGATTGGGCATCCCCGTTCAACTGCTGAGGGAAGCCAACTTCCCGATCCTCCCACGCACAACAGTTCTCGAGCTCTTCGGGTCCCGCACGGCCATGGACTATCCGCGCGTCTCGCGCCTGTTCCCCAATCTCCAAGAGCTGTGCTTCGATCTATGGAACGCTTTCGAGGGTCCTATGGCGCTGCCGCACGTCGCCGTGATCAGACTCCATTCTGTCGTGGCAATCGTGTGGGATTGGACCGCCGTCGAACGCACATTCGCGCTCTTCTGCGATACGGGGGAACTTCCGTGTATGCGGAGGATCGTACTGTACAATATGTGGCATCGCATCGTCGGGAGTTCACAGCTCGCCCCGCTGCTACAGGCTCTCCGCAAGAGAGGGTGCGATGTCGAGTTCCCTCAGTATTGCATCTGCAACTGAGGTTTGGTGCTGCGTGCTGCTGCGAAATCGAAGCATGGTGATGGGATTATTCGCATGCTACACGGAACATCCATCGACCACTGGGAGAGTCAGCCTCGTATCAATAGATGATCTCGCTTTGAATTTAACTTTCCCGAATCGAACCAGCGGGACTGAAAACATGCGAGGACTGTATGCTTGGTCCGAATCCTGATTATTGCTCGGAGTGACATTATCGGCATTGCTCCGGTCACCATGCAAGAGAGCAATCACTTTCTTCGACGTAGAAGGGAGATCCCCCAAGTACCGGTGCTGGATAGTATGCCGCTTAATAGAAACGGTCGGACCAATAAGCACCCAATTATTCAGACCATTATAAACGTAATCGATGCACTATCTACAGAGGACGGGGGACACAGCTTCATCGCTGTGTGGACCGGATCACAACTCGTAGACCGACAACATCCTCGAAGGTCGTGTTCGACAATTCCATGGAAGACATCGTCCATTATAAGATGCTGTTCCCGCTCAGGAGCAGTGCTTTCCCGAGCAGTTAATGCCCGGCGCACGGTATCGATCTGAGATTCTCCTATCTGAGAAATGCCATAAGAAAAAGTGGGAGAACAAAACGGACACGAGGAAACCCACACGTCTCTTTCTATGCAATGTGCGGTTTCCGCACAGACGCCCCACCTGCATAGCCGTACTTGGCCATCAGGTCGGCGTGCGCCAGTTCGAGGCGCGTCATCGACGTGGACGGCGACACCGTCTCGCCGGCCTTGATCTTCTTGGTACCTTTGACAAGCTTGGGCTGGACGCACGGAACGCTCTGGCCGGAGATGCCGAACGACGACTGGAGTGCCGCAAGCGCAGCCTCGTAGTTTTTAGGGGAGGTGGGCAAAGTCGAGGATGTCGAGCTGGTCGCGGTGGAAGACATAATAGTTGGGATACCAGATGGGGCAGCTGAAGTCGAGTGACTCGAGTGGTGCGACTTTGTGTGGGTTGTGAGAAGAGCGGGAGGGGGTGAAGTTATATACGCGTCGGGATCGCGAAGCGCAGTTGCCTGCAGGTGCTGCGCGACAGATCCGCCGCAGTTGGCTAGGTCTGCACTCGGCCGCGGCGTACAAGCTGTTGTATGTTTTCCAGGCACAATCGCATACGAGAAAAGCCATAGCAGAAACACCAGCCAGTCCTGGCGAGTGCCGATAGGCTGACTGCGAGCTTGACGTCATATGCGCGTTTGATTAACACCCACCCAGAGCAGTGCACATCATTCATATGTGTTAAATCCCCATGACCTGGCGAATTCTTTGCGACCGAGTCCGACAGATGAAAAGTAGATAATGCAGGAAAGATCATTCACACACACACACACATGCATGGGCAGAACGAAGCCAAATAGCTCCCCGACTCCTGGATAAAATCATTCACAGGGCAGCATCGGAAGAACTGGTCTCAAAATGCAGAATCCTAGGGAGGAGTGGTTGCCAATTCATGGAAGATTGACAGGCCCATATACGGATACGCACCATTCTCAGATGGATGCGGCAGTATGCTTGCGATGATGCAAATGAGGATTCGAGATTTCGATGGAAGAAGGGACTAGAAATGGACAACATGGTGGCGAATAACTTGAACTGGAAGGTGGTTGAAATAGTGGTTTGAGTTCAACTCACCATACTTTGCAGATCACATTCATCAGATATGCCACTGACACGTGCCAGTGGCCGTTACCTCTCGCCGTTTATGTCGCAGCTGCGAGTGGATCTTCCTCCGGAATTGTGGCTCTATATCCAAAGGCTAGCCACCGCCTATCATTCGCCTCTGAATATCGCGTATGAAAGCGACCTCGTGTATCGATATGACCGTGCTCTGAACCCATTCGCTCTCATACGCCATTTCCACGAGGTTTGTGCATGCTTGCCTTTCGAGGGCATTCTGGCTGACAAACATGAACAGGATGCGATATCCTTTTCTCTGGTATCCAGGTCTTGGAATCTCCTGGCTACTGAGCTATTGTACGAGAGCATCTGTGTCAGTCGCTTCACTCAGCCCAGCCTCTTCGCTGCCCTCCACCGAGCAGGTGTCTCAGATCTTGTGCGCGCCGTGGTTATCTCAGGACCAGCTGAAATTCATTTTTACCGTGCCCTGCTCACACTCTGTCCGCGCCTCGAGGTGCTCGTCCTCCAGCATTCCAATGATCACATTATGGCTTGGGATATAGATCCGATGATCATGGCTCTGGGACACAGCCTTATTCTCCCCCAATTGCGCTTCATTTATTGGAATCGATTCGTCGCACCCGATGGACTACTGGATCTGGTGCTGCAAGTCTCTCCGAATGTACAGTCTCTCTATGACGGTATTCGGGGATATACCAGCGGGCTGATCCTCAAGGAGTCAAGGCCCTATGCACCCGGTCCGATTTCTCCATCTTCCTTGCGAAGACTTGAAATTCGCAGTATTCGAAACGACCTGACCCTCCCGCTCTTGCTTTCTCTCGGATGCGAGCATACACTCACCCGACTGAGCCTCCCGGTGGATCTGCTGAGGGAAGTCGACTTCCCAGTCCTCCCACGTACAACAGTTCTCGAGATCTTTGGGTCCCGCAGGACCATCAACTGTCCGGCCATCTCGCGCCTCTTCCCCAGTCTCCAAGAGCTATGCTTTGATGTGTGGAACGCTTTCGAGGGTCCTATGACGCTGCCGCACGTCGCCGTGATCAGGCTGCATTCTGTCGTGGTAGACGTTTTGGGGGATTGGCACACCATCCAAAGAGCATTCACGCTGTGTCTCGACAGGGGAAATCTCCCGCGTCTGCGGAGGATCGTGCTGTACAACATGTGGGATCGCACCGTCGAGAGTTCAAAGCTCGCTCCGCTGCTCCTGGCTATCCGACAGCGGGGGTGCGATGTCGAGTTTCCTGAGCATTGCGTCCGCAACTGAGGTGCAGCGGTGCGTAATGGGGCTGGATTGAAGCATAGCCATGAGATGATCCACATCGATGGCGCAGTCTCCAACGCTGGAAACGCGAGCTCGCATCCGTGGCTGATCTCGCTCTGCACCCAGAGCTTGTCCGAGATCCAGTCTACAGGACTACACTAGTCGTAACCTGAGTTCTGTATGCTTGGTCGAAATCTCCAGTGACGCTCGCAGTGGCATGACGGACATTGCTCTAATCCGTCACGCAAGAAAACAATTCTTCGACGAGGACAGAGATTCTACAAGGACCAATGTTGGATGGGATGCCACTTATTAGAAGCGGTCAGACTGACGAGCAACCGATTATTCAAATCAATGTACAGGCAATCAAGCAACTATGTACAGAGGACATGGGACACCGCGATAACGCCGCTGTGTAGACCGGGTCGGAGCCCATGCACCGACAACATCCTCGGAGGCCTTGTTTGACAGACCCATGAGAGACATCGTCCGTTACAAGATGCTGTTTCCGCTCAGGAGTAGCGCTTTCACGAGCAATTGATACCCGATGCGCAGAAAGAATCTGAGATACCCCTGTCCACGGAAAATGCCATGAGAAACAGTCGGAGAGCAAAACGAGGACGAGAAGACTCACGCGGCTCGTTCTATGCAGCGTGCGGCGTCCGCACAGACGCCCCGCCTCCACAGCCGTACTTGGCCATCAGGTCGGCGTGCGCCAGCTCGAAGCGCGTCATCGGCGTGGACGGCGTCGCGGTCTTGCCAGTCTTGGTCTTCTTCGCACCCTTGATAGGCTTGGGATCGACGCGCGGGACGCTCTGGCCGACGATGCCGAACGAGGACTGAAGCGCAGCAAATGCGGCCTCGTAGTTTTTGGGGGAGGTGGATGAGCACGAGGTGGTGCTGGTCACGGTGGAGGACATGGTAGCTGGGTGGTAGATGGTAGACAGAGAAGCTGAGGCTGAGTGGCCCGAGTGTGGTTTTGCAGCGGTTGTGAGAAGAGCGGGAGGGGCGCCCACTTTTATACGAGGCGGGACCGTCGAGCGCAGTTGGCCGCAGGTGCTGCGCGACAGCTCCGCCGCAGCTGGCCAAGCCTTCGCCTGGCCGCGGCTTACAAGCTGTTGTATGTTTTCCAGGCACAATTGGATACGAGAAAAGCCATAGCAGAAATACCGGCCAGTCCTCGCGATAGCAGTGGTCGGGAAGCGAGTGCTGATGGGGCTATACTTCGAACTTGACGTACATACTATGGGCAACCGGAACTTGCCGACCTACACGTCTCAGCAAGTGCAAATCATTTACTCCCCATGGCCGAGCGAATTCATTGCAACGGAATGCGCACAGATGATATTTAATGCAGGGAAGCACTTCGAGGATGAGGCCAAGTACATGCTGAATCGTCTCTCTCTCATCATTTCATGTGTTACACCAGTACAGCAGCTTGGTAGATCATTACGTCTTACTCAAACACGGCCACATGACATACTACGCGGCCGCTTAACCCTTCCAGAAGTTATCATACGACGCGCTCATGTTGACGCCCTACACATGGAGCGTGAGTACCCCGTCCGAGAATCAGAAGAAACGTCACTGACCATGGTGATGTAAGCCACCAGACCCTGCGAAACGACACCGCCGAGGAAATGTGTCTTGAAGACAGGGTTGTAGCCGTTCTTGTGCGAGTCGTCGAAGATGTTCAGCGAGTCGCGCCAGTTCCGCGTGCGGCCACGGGTGTGGCGGATGGGGTTCTCGGAGTAGGGATGCATCTGAAGCCCGGATGTCAGGCAAGAAGAACCAGGCGGCGAGCCAAGATAACACACACCTTATCAACGACCATGTTGACGTCATCCTCGAAAAAGAACTGTCCGACATGCGCCAGGCGACCCGATGCGAACGTGTTGTTCTCAGGGATCACTTCCCACTCCGGGAACACCTTCGTGTGGATGTGGGTGGCGCGGCCGGTGTAGTAGCCGGGGTAGATCGCTGCAGGCTAATCAATATCGCGTCTGGCGAGCGAAGCAGGATGGCCCACATGTGAATTGGGCAACGCCGTTACGGTCCGTGGCCCACGCCCCGCGAAGCCAGGTTTCCTTCGGCTGGGTCCGTGGGAACGCACTGAGCAGACCACTGCGGCTTCCGCCGATCTGAGGCTGCTCGTCGACGAGATGGGGTGCAGGATCGGGGTGCCCTGCGTAGTGGCCGGTGGCATTAGCCAGCCAGATGTCGACCAGAACGTTCGGGACAGGCTTGCACGTCTCGACGTCGATCACACCGATATCGAGTAACTAAGGTGAACGTGAGCGGCAGAATCCCGATGAGGGAGCGGATGGACGCACGAGCAGGAGCCCATCCTGGTTCTCAGCAATATTCTGGCGGATGGGATGGCCCTGGGTGTGGTAGTATGGTCCCTCAGTAACTTCCGGAGCTTGGAGAGTATTGGTTTTCGAAATTCGGGATGAGAACGAGAGAGCGCACCGAGAACGCAGGTGTTGTTCTCAATATGTGTGTCCTGCACTGTCTGACAGCTCAGGAACTCCTTGTCTGGCCCACCGATCTGTAGCGTCTCCTGCGCGAACAACTCGTCGTAATCTGCTAGGCTCGGCTGCCCGGCGGAGCCCAGAGCCTTTTGCGCGAAGGCACGCTTGCGGGCGGCAGTGAAGTCGCCAACAGCGGGTGCGCACTGCGTCCGAGGAGTGAGCCCAGGACACTGTGCAAGATCCGGGGACTCACGAGGTACGCTGCATCCCGGAGCGCCTTTTCCACCGCCTTCTCTTCCGTGGTTGTGGCCTCCTTGTGGGCCAGGACCGCAGCAATCAGAGGAAGGATAGTCAACACACGCATTATGAAAAGTGTGGAGAATGTGGGGGTGTGCGGAGGAGGATACTCCTTTCCAGAGGGCGGGTGGCGCTCTAAATACTGGGGCGGAATCCGACCCCTTCGGTCAAGCTTCGATCTCTCACGCTTTTGATTGATCGCGGCAATGCTTGCCGAGGACTTGGCATTGGGCAGGAAAAACCTTTCGCACACTTATGGTAGGCCTGGCCCGGCCTGGCACTTCTCTCTCTCCTGCCTGCGATGATCACAACGAAGCCAGCAGCCATCTTCGTATCTTCCAATGGTATTTTCGTACATGCAACAACATATTCGCCGCCCTTGAGTGCATACCACCATGAGTAGAAGTGGTATGAAGTGGTAGAGAAGGAAAAACCTGATGTCGTCGCAAGGCGACGAGACATAGAGAACACGTGTTTTACATCATATTCTCCTCAATTCCGTGCTCTTAGACTCTCACCCTCTGCTTCACGCTCGTCCAAGACTCCTGCGCAAATTCTGTCGTTCATCATGCAATCCCTGGTGGCTTTGCTTTCCCTCGTTTCCCTCGCCGCTCTTGCAAACGCGCAGGCGACATGGTGCGCAGAGCGTCCGGTTATGTTGCTGTGCGCTGGTTGACCCGCTCGCCGACAGCAACGTCACGACGAAGTGTCCCGACTTCGCTCCCTGCTGTAGTGAATTTGGATTCTGTGGCTCCACCGAAGCGGTCTGTCGGGAGCGGTTGTGACTAGTGGATCCCGCTGATGCTGTCGCAGTTCTGCCTCGGAGGCTGTAATCCGCTCGACTCGACCTCGCTGGACTCGTGTAAACCGAATCCGGTCTGTTCGAGCGCTGTTGTATGTTCTCCGACCTTTGTTCCTGGATCTCGCATGTGACAGGATCCACAGCACACCTTCGTCGACAACTCGCGCGTGCTTAGCAACTCCACATTCTACGACGGCAATGCAAGCTCCTACGGTGCGTCTCATCCGTTTGGGCTCCATCGGGGCGCTGAACTTCCGTCAAGACTGGGTCGTCGAGAGCGGCAACATCATGAACACCAACACGTCTGGAGGCGAGCTCGTCCTGATCCTCACAGAGACCAACGGCGGCACGCGCATATCGAGCACCCGATACTTTCACTACGGTCAAGTCTCCGCTCGGCGTGCGTGTCCACCTGCTCTGTCTGTCGCGCGGTCTGATAGTGCCCATAGTGAAGACCGGGCGATGGGGCGGAACTGTGACCGCTTTCATTACCATGAGCGACGTGAAGGACGAGATCGTGAGTGTGCTTAACGCGGCCTGAGCTCTCGCCTGAGCGCTCTGGTAGGACTGGGAGTTCCCGGGCAACGCCACGACCGCAGCGCAATCGAACTACTTTTGGCAAGGACTGGTCACGAATCCCAATCACGGCAACATCTCCAATGGCCTGTCGGACACGTTTTCCAACTACCATGATTACAGCGTGCGTTTTCTCGTCAAACACTTTGTGAAACAGCGAACTTACGGATCCGCAGATCAACTGGCAACCGGATACGTTGACCTGGTCGATCGATGGCAAAGTCGTGCGAACTCTTAACAAAGCGGACACACTCGTCAATGGCGTATACCAGTACCCGACGACACCAGCCCGGGTGCAACTCAGTCTGTGGCCTGCAGGGACCTCGACCACCTCGGCTGGGACCGTTGAATGTGAGTGTGCTTGTTGTGCAGCCGTCAATCATCCGCGGTTCCTCATCGGCGCACCAAAGGGTCCGGAGGACTGATCAACTGGAACGACCCTGACTACGTTGCTGCCGGCCACTTCTACGCTCTTGTGTCGTCCGTCAATATCACGTGCAATGATCCGACCCCGCCAGCTGCGGGTGTGACTGGATACACCTATGCTGTGAACAGCTCGACCAACACCCCCGGTGTCTTGTTCACCAACACGTCGACCAACATCAACACTGCTCCCCGGCTGCGGGACATGGCGGCTACTGGGCTGCGCTCGGTTCTTGGCGGTGCGGTTTTGGTCGGGGCTCTCAGTCTGCTCGTATAGATGGACTGTCTGTTGTATATATCAACGATCTAATCTCTCGTGGAATTATACCCTGCATATGAGCTCGCCTTGCCAAGCGACTTGGGACCAGTCAGAGCACTCTCCACTTCACTCCCATAGCCTGTCGCGCCCGGATCTCGGAACGAACCAACTCGAAACGGCGGCGATGCGACAGTGCCCTTCCCAATGCATGCATCAGTGCATATGCATATACATAGATTGCGATGGAAAGCACATTGCTTGATGGTCTTCTCCCCGCGATTGCTGAGCCCTCGCACGGTCTAGATCCTTCGATGAGCCCCTCGAAAAGATGACAGTGATCGCAAAAGAAGTGCTGCAGGAAGGGCGTTTTTCCACCCTGCGAGTCAAGTACAATTCCAGTGGTCCTCTCTGCTGGTAGGCACTTCGATAGTGCTGATAATTGGAAAGGGATTATGGTCGATCACATGACCGATATGACAGTAGTGGTAGTGAGTGATTGAACATTGAAACGACAATAAGTACATGTAACATAACGAGCGATTTACAGAGGCAGTATGCGATGCGGCGGGCGAGAGAGAAAGCCTGACAGAGATAACAACAGTAGCTCGCAGATAACAAAACATTATTATTACATAGATCCGTAGCTCCCTGAGAAAGATCAGCCGTCGTCGTTCAAGACCACAAAAGCACAGCTCACATATACGAGCCATATTATCTCCACTTCCGGTAGCAAGAAGATTCCCCGTCGGGTTAAGGTCGATGGAGATGACTGTGAATAATGAACACAGGCAGTTTTGAGGGGACAGCGAGACGGACCGGAATTTTTGTGGCCTTGCAGGAAAGCGTGCGCTATTCCAGCTGCCGGAAATGTAAGAGCAGAGCTCTGAGAGCGAAGAAATACGCACATCGGTCCCAGAATTGAACCCCGCGATCTTTAGATCCTGATACAATCCATTTTCCGTCATGCGAAACAGCCACTGAGAGCACGTAGTCCTGTGCACACAGCGATCAGAGCAAGACATGCCGTGTGCCTGCAACGAAACGAACCTTGTGACCCAAAAAGTTCATGGTGCATTTATCCATCCCGTCCTTGTCCTTCCTTCCAATGTCCCAGCACTTGAGCGTCTTGTCCAAACTTCCGCTGATAACCCCCCGGCCATCCGGTGTGAAGACGACCGAGTACACGCTGTCTCTGTGGCCACGCAACCGGTCGACCAGGGCCCCGGTGTTTGCGTCCCAGATGCGGACGACATTGTCGAGTGAACCAGCAACGACATATCGACCGTCAGGCGAGATTGCCACGCTAGTGACGCCGGCATCACCCTCTCGCTCCCCATCAACATTCAATGTGATGGACTTGGAGCTTTCCATGTCCCAGATACGGGCTGTGCGATCCCCGGAGCCGGAAACAATTCTCCGCCCGTCGCGCGAGAAATCCAGCGCGTAGATCTCTTGCATGTGCCCGCTGAACACTTTGATGATCTGGCGCTGTTGGATATCCCAGATCTGTACGGTGGTCAATGGATCAGAACGAGAATCGAAGGTGATAACGCACCCTGATCTTGCGGTCCTCTGCTCCGGTAGCCAGTAGTCGCCCATCCGGGCTGAAGCGGACACTGCGAATATATAAATCCCCGGCGGATGCCCCCACCCCATTTGATTCATCGACAAGCGAGCAAGTTTTGACCCCGGTCTGCACATCGAAGATCTGCGCGCTTCTGTTGCAGCCCGTGGCGAGGTATCGGCCGTCCGCGGAGAACTGCACGCAGCACACCACGGTCGAATGGACGAACGTGTGAACCAATCCCACATCGGTCAACATTCGGGGTCGCACACGGGGGTTCCAGACCACGGACCACTCCCCACCCACGCCGCTGCCCTCTTTCTTATATTCGGCGGGCACCGATGCAGGGTCATCCAACCAGGCAAGGAACTCGTCATCGTAAGGTGACGGTCCTGGGACTGTCGGGGGCGGCGAACGCGTTGACATGGATCGGGACGGCGCTGTGGGAAGAGGCGGCAGAGGCAAATGGCCCAGTCCAGCTGGGTTGGGAGGCCGAGGGCTGCCGATGGAAGCCAATGAAGGAAGCGTCCCGTTCGGGAGGTTATTTGGCAAGGATGATGGTGGACCAGCCTGGACCGGCGGAAGCAATGGACTGAACTGGTCCCCGGCCTTCAACTTCAGCCTTTTGGGATCCCGGTCTCCGCCTCGCTCTCGGAGGTCCCGCTCGCGTTGCCGTTCGCGTTCGCGTTCTCTCTCCCTATCCCGCTCCCGTTCACGCATCTCGGCACTCCTGTCTGCTGGTGGTCCGATACCGGGTCCTGGCAGCTGCCGCATGGAATGTACCTCCGCCCGTAGGTGAGAAATCTCATCCTCGTACCGCTGTCGAACCTTAGAGTGTTGTGCCTCTAACTCGTATAGCGCTTGTCGAATGATATTGAGCTCGTTGATTTGTGAGGTCACTGGAGCAGGGCAATCGCCGTCGAATCAGCGGAAGATGGTGCGTGCGTGCGATGATGACCAGGCACACGGGGTAGGACCGTGATTCCGAACGCCGTGGAACACGCAAACGTTAGATGACAGCCGCAAGTCGCCGGAATTACGAGAAGATCCCGGAAAACGCGGAACCCAATAAGCGCGTGAGGGCCGTTGGGGGATGATGACAAGGAGCAGTGCACACGGGCAAAAGCGCAGCGACGACACCGTGGGAAACGCACACGCATGAGGCGATGGAGGGGGGATGAGCAGAGGAGAGGGGGATGGGCAGGAGCAAGCAGCATGCAGATGAGCAAAATGAAGAGCGCAGAGAACGGCCAACGATACGCGCCTTTAGCCTCATATTCATCACGAACGATGCGCGCTTGATTGAGTTCTGTCGCAACATGGTCGTATTCCTGTTTCACCACTTCGAGAGCCTCCACCAGACGTGACGGGCCATGAGACTGTGCTGCTGGCTGTAAAGACCGATGCTGCGAGGAAGAAAAAACGTCAATGGAGCTCTCGCTTGGCAAAATGGAACCCCAAGCGACAGGGCAGACTCACATTGTAAATGGGGGTTCCAGACATGAGGTGGAGAAAAGAAGAAATGGCAAGAAATTGGGAGTTGAGCAAGGAACAAGAGCGTGGGATACATCAGGTATTAGTACGTAACAGAAAAGCCGGCGTCCCTCAGTCTTGTTCTTTCTGCACCACTATCAACTCCTTTCTTGATTATCAAAACCATGTCCCATCTGCCGTCGCTTTCGGGACCTATATTCAGGTTCAGCCGTGAGACCAACGCCGTCCGCGTTGAGCACATCCCCCTCAACAGTGAGTCCCCTTCTGTCGTTTACAAATGCTAGCCTTGCTCAAGGTATTGGGCGCTAGCCAATCGTTTTGAGATATTATCGCTGTTCAAGACGCTTGTGGGCGAGATTCGTACCTCTCGGGATCTCGAAGAGGGGATCGAAATCACGTTCTACACGGCGGATGCGGCGCGGTGAGAATTTAGAACCTCGAGCTTCGAAACAGGCTAACCGCTTCTCTAGCAAAGCACTGTGCATGTCTGGGTACAGTGTAGCCGGATTCCCAATGTGAGGCCTTTTTCGTCTTCTCAGTAGCACATCGACAGGATATTCATATATTTTCAGCCAAGTGACCTCTGTCGTGCGCTCCGCGTCTCCGCTTACAAATGACGGTCATTATGGACGTCGCAACGACCAGCGTCGCAATCTCTATGTCTTGGGAATCCCTTTCGGCATGACGAAGTGCGTGGTCGCGCATACATCGATGTTTTCCCGATCTGAAAACATCTTGACAGCCAGTCACTCGCCTCGCTGTTCTCGGCGTATGGCACTGTAGCGCACTGTGTCATCCTTGCAACGCTCGATGGAGCTTCACGTCGACGCGGATTTGTTGTGATGTCTACCCACGAAGAAGCTAAACAGGTCATGGCTGCTCTAGGTCGTTCTAGCAGAAACGGTATCAGTGGGATGGACATATCTTGGGCTGTCGTGCAGCGCTCCAAAGGTATGTTATCGTCCGCAATGATCCACTCATCTAATTATCTCTCTAGGCTTCCTAGATGGTGGTGATCGTGCAGGAGTCATATCGTCCTCTTCGCTGGCTTCCTCTCCTGTTGTTGAATCTTCCTCTATCTTGCGCCCTTTCGAAAGTGAAGGCCTACCCAGTCCAAGTCCTGTCCCGACCACTTCGCTTCTCATATTCAATCTACCCTCTCTATTGTTTGGATCCAAGGAAGACTTGCGTGGACTCGTCTGCCCTTTTGGTTCTATCAATGACCTTCGCCTCATCACGTTAGGACCATCAATGCACAATGATGCCCAGTCGACTGCTGCTGTCGTACGGTACTGTAACATCTCAGCTGCTCAGGAATCTGTTCGTGCTCTGGATGGGGAGTCATATGCCGGTTGCACTATCCGTGCGATCTATCTTGTCGACAGTCAAGCTGAGCCGCCGTCGCTTCCCTCTTCTCCTCTCATCGAGACACCGACACTGCCTGATATCTCAAGTTTCGGTTACGACGTTCCCCATTGTAGTCAAGGCGGCCCTCCTTCAATCAAATCCACATTCAGTGGGCGCAATGTCCTGAATCGGTACAACGCTAGCACCGATTACAACCCTCTATGTGCCAGCTCTTTTGATGTTCCGACGAGCCAGTTCCCTGCTTATGGGCTAGATGGACTTTCCATGGGGTGCGCGTTCTATCTGTCTCTGTCGCTTTCTCGCTTATTCTGTTTCAGAAGCGTCCCGTACCTGTTCTCGCAGGGTATCGTGCATCATCACTACGACTAGTCTGCTTGCCTTGCTTTCTATCATCAACCTGCTTGCATTTCTGCTCTTGGATGGCTCCACCTGATTCTGCTCTCAATGGAACCCGAAGCGACAAATTCTGCTTATCTTCGGAATGAGAGAGATCGGCAAAAACTCCCACATCGCTATCATGGAATACGAACACTCAAACAATTGTCCTGCTGCTTTGCCCTCTGTCGCGCTTGCGAAACCTTGTCAATTCAACTCTGCGATGTCTGTGCTACAAGTCGTTTTGTCTCCCGTACGTACCTCTCAATTCTCTGCTGCGCGTTCCAATGCAACGAAGGTCCGCTCTAGTCTCCGTGCGCTACTCTCATTAACACACACATATTCGTATCGTACCGTCTCAGTCTCGGGTGCGATCACGTCACTTTCTCCTCTCGGTAAACAGTGATACAATCGCCCAGTCAGTGGAAGAGGGTTACGAGATAGATATTGCAATACCTTTATATTCATCTCGTGGTCGATTCAGTTATTGTGCGCTTGTCCTGAACTCCCAAACTGTACTGCACGCAGCTGTTCGAGGACGAGCGATGAAAACACACGTGACGCGGACACGTGCCAATCCTCCGCCCTGTTTCCATGTACTGAATCTTATCTCGCACCACGATTACAGACTTTATATTGCACACATTCACAATTACCAAATTGAACTCCGGAAGGCTACTCCACCACCCAGCGAACCTCCGTCTCGAAGCTAGCTGACAGTGAGCGGCAGGGCAGGACAAGAGGACCTGGAGGACTCACTACTTGCTTGATTTGGTTATGTACAACGGAAAGGTCTGGAGCAACAGATGAGTCAGAGGCCCGCTGTTCCGTCTCGAGCGACATACAATCGGAATAAGCCATCGCCCCGGTGTTTTGGTCTTCCACCAGCATGTCGCTGAACTCGATCTCGGCTGCGTCTAGGTTCTGCCGCGCGATGGAGAACTTGGGGAGTCTGCCGCCCCGCTGGTGGCGTCGATGGTCAATGATGTTGTTTACTTGCATCGAGAGTCTGGTATCGAGTCTCGGAAGGGATATCTGTCGGATGATTGGCAATCACTGCGAAAGAGAACGGGACTACGGACCATTTGGGAATCCAAGAGCATCAGATCGTCGACCCCGAACATATCTAGCAGCAGCTGTGGCGACACACTTCCACCAATCCATACGACCATCATCTCGCCGTTATCTGCAATAGAGTAAGGAGCTTGCAAAACAACGAACTCGATGCACGAACCAATTAGATACACTCCGTGACCCTCCATATACAGATGGCTATCCCGCATGATATCTGGCATCTCCAACCGGCCAGTAGAAGGGTCTGCGAACCCGGCGCTGTCCGAGAGATCATGCAGCGCCAAGAGCGGAGGATACAGCAGGTGTATCATCTGGCGCACGCCGATGCTCAGCATCCGATGCCTATGATAATTCCGCACGTCGGAGGAGACGTTTCGTGCTGCTGGAGAACAAGGTTAGAGTAGAAGCGATGGATGCAGTGGGATTCGATTGACCTCGTAGCGGTTTAGACTTCTGTATCGCCAGCGAAAACATGGGCAGTGCCTTGTAAGCCTCGGGTAGTATCAACTGGAAGCAGATCAGAATGCGTTAAGAGCGTGATGTGTATGGACTGGGACCTGGTCAATAGATGATGTATTGGAGCATTTCTTACGGTAGGCAAGTAGCACGGCGGAACAGCTCTCCGTCAAATCATCGCGAATGTTGGATAGCCTCTCAGAGCCCGTCTGCGCCACCGCTGAGAACACATTGAGCAGCTGAGATCAAAGTAGAAGAGGTAATCGACCTTCTCTGGCTAGATGATAGACAGTGGTGTCCATATCAGCAAACTGGAAGACATTCCAAGCTAGCTCGACGACGGGCAAAGCGAGATTACATGTCCGGACTCTTCGTTGACCATCGACGGTCGTGTAGAGAACTGCAGACTGCAGATAGGCATAGGCCCGCACATCTAATGAGCCTGTGTGCTTGATGGTCACCGAGATAGCCTTGTCCGCATCCATCACACCGAATTCGAGATCAGTCCCTCCTCTACGGTTGAAGTTGCCTGAGTATCCTGAGATCCGCAAGCCTGTTGGTAATCGGCATCAGTCCAGACGTTGAGTAGCCAGAGAAGTGGGAATACCATTCGAAACTCGGATGCGCATCATGCAGTTATATGCTGTGGTTCGCCGAATGAGTCGATCGAGTTGAGCAGCCAGGACAGGACCATCTCGGGCAGGCGTGAATCGCGGATGGAAGAAAAGCTCTCCGCCAGTAATCGAGGCCACCTCACCTGAACGGTATAGGTGAGAGCTCAAGCATAACCAACGCAGTCACCTACCGATTGAGCCAACGTCGATGTATTTACTCATGGTCAGGAACATGCTCACGCCGATCCCTTCTTCGACACATTCTGAACCGATTTCCCGCCAGGTGTTGTCTCTGGGAACATAAAGGGTCGTCTCTTTTGGCGTGTCGTACAACTCTGCCTCTCTGGGCTCTTCCAGCAGGGCTCCAGGTCCAAGACGAGGCATGGTGCTCTGGAACACGACAACCTGACCTCCATGACCAGACTTTTGAGCAGTCAGCAGGCTGTCACATACAAAGTTGTGATGGTCTGACCAAAGCGGCGACACTGGCGCGAAGTAGGGATCCCAAAGCGGCATCAGCAAAGGGCATCTGCACAAATCTGTCCGGCAGACTGGTCAACAAATTCTCGATCGCCGACTGGTGATCTGCAGGCTTCACAAAGAGCCCCGTTCGCAAAGGAACGAAGACCTCATCGATATCTGAGACGACGAGCATCGAGACGATATCTGACTGGCGTTTAGTCAGCTATAGAAACGAGGCGGTGTAGCTGCGCACAGAGAGATCGTAAAAGTGAAGTGACGTGTCAAAGGTGACGATGGCGAGTTCACTTTGCGACGGGAAACATGCGTTCGGACCGAATAAGAGGTCCCGTAAGACTGCACATGCTGTGTGTAGGATTCCAGAGTGCAGCGCCTCCCCAGAAACGTCGAAGGCGAAGAGATACTTCATGGGCCCTGGGCGACGAGGGCCAGTTTGCGGTCTTTCGACAGAGAAATAGGGCATGGACAGTCGTTCTGGCGGATTCGTCGCCCAATATTCCTCAGAGACGATAAAATCCACAGTTCCGCGATTCAGCTCCATCCTCTGGTCATGGTCCATCCGCCTCATGTTGTGTGCATCGAGATTGCAAAAATACTCGGAAGAGACTAGACGGCATCGTTGTCATCGAAACATCGACCAGAGCTCGAAGATACCTTCGGTCTCCCTAGAGCAGAGATTGCATGACCAAGTGCTTCCCCCTCTCGTCCAAGTACACCAGGGATTGATGTACGCCCGACAGCCAGCGCACCGCGGTGGCCCGTGCTCCCCGAAGTCTACGATGGGTATCGGCTCGTCTCGAGGATCTTGGTCGGCGAAGGGTTGTATTGCAGCGACTATAGGCAGGGCGCAGTCGGCGGCGAGCTTGGAAGTGTAGGGTACATTCCATGTCGTCATGCGTATGAACTTCGGTGTCGAATTGCCTGACTGATCTCAGTGGTGCACGATATCAAGTAAGAGAGTAGTATTGCGAGCGCACCTTGATCGATACTCGCATGGTCCGACGTCGAAAGCGGGACATGCTCCCCCGGAATGCCTGAATAGGTGGAATCCTCCCATTGGTGGCGATCAAACTCAATGGCTTCTGTCGCAGAGGGAATTTGAGCCGGATTTATCTTCGTACGGAAGCCTGGGAAGGCATGAGAGTGAGTTCCGTGATCTACTTGCATTTGGAAGCGGACAACGCATACCCTGGGGGCGAGCACCCGCGCTGTGCGGAGGTTGGGGGATGTGGCTTGCGTGAGTATACATGTGCTCGAAGTCTAGAGTGTCGGATATCTGTTTTTGGTATCAAGCCGCGCGGGCGCGCGAGACGCGTCCGGAATAGTCAAGGAGGACAAGAAGAAGGTGTGATACGTTTGTCTGATTATGCGATGACAAGCACGTAAGTCAATTGTCGAGATCAAATTGATGCAGAGTCAATCGGGTTGAGGAGCGAGTCTGGGTTGCTTCTTCCAACTTTCCCTTCTTGCTTTCGTCACTAACCAGTCCAGCCCTTGTCTCCGAATACTTATCTTGAGCTTTTGTGGCTTCAAATCCCATCTTTTCTGTCACTCACTCCTGGAAGCAAGGCCGACACAACATTTTTGATTGTCCACAACCCCACCTGTCTTTCTTGCTCTCCCTCACGAATTCGTTCATCTTCGCTTCCTCAATAGGCCCTTTGCTGAACAATTCCGTATTCCCGAGCAACACGAACTTTTAAGCGAGACTCGTGGCCCATACGCTCTTTGTCTCGCTTACCGCCCACCCATGACCCCGCCTTTATGAAGGACCCATCAGCATCAGATAGAACGCAAGGCCAAGTCCATCAAAGCTAGCAAAGGGGGATTATGCAGCGCTCATTCTCGTTTATATGCAAACAGAGGGCGCTTTCAACAGTGCACGCTCCACTTCCTTATATCTTCCGCACACCGAGGACTGGAGCGGCTGTTCTCGTTCTCCTCGCTCTCTGTCTGCTTGATATCGTCTGTGACGACTTACGACCTCGACTCGAACCTCAACGACCTTCGACACCCCCCTCCTCATGTCTTTCTTTCAAACACCGTTGACCGACTTCGAGCAGGCTCTCGAGTTTGATCACATCGACACCATTGACAACATCTGCTTCGATTTCGAATTCAATGCGCCGAGTCTTTTGGATCTCAGCCCCGCCATTCTGGGCGCGAGTGTCGACGCGCTCTACGATTCGATGGTCCGACCCAGCTATGTCCAACTGCCTCCTCGCAGCTTGTTGGCCGAGAAACAAATGTATGCTCTGCCCTACAGCCATTTGATGCATTCCGAGCCGCAGCCAACAAGTCTCGGCGGCTGGTTCGAGGATCCGACGTGGGCCTTCCAGTCTGCGCCTCGTCTAGAGAACAGCATGGGCCTGAATTGGGATATCGCTGGGTGGAGGGCCCCTGGAGATGCTGCCACGAGGCAATCCGGCTGCATAGATCCCAGGGTGATCATGATCCCTTCTCCTGCCATGTTTTCCGCTGTCCCTGCTTACGTCGCTGCCCCTTGTTCTGAGCCGGAGGACGAGGCCGAGCCGTTCAAGCCGTCGAGCCCTGCTGTCTCAGACACGGAGACGCTTGCTCCAGAGGAAGAGCTGCGGAGCTACGACTCCGATACTGCTGTCGAGGACAGTGACGACGACGAGAAAGCCACGTGCAAAGATCCTGACTTTGTGTACATGCCCAAGACCCCCATCAGATCGCGCAAACCTGTGCGCCAGTTCTCCCCGAGCCCAACAAGGTCCGAATCCGTGTATCTGCCGACACCTCCTCCTCTTCCTCCTCCTCGCCCGACTCAGAAGAAACTCAAGGCGAATCGCGGGGCCCGGTCGTCCGGACCGTATCCGAGGACGAAGAAGGACCTGTTCCTTGCTACCCCTGAAACCCCGAGCCCCAAGTCGGTCAGGCGTCAGGGTGGCTTCAACTCAGCGCCCATCCCTCACGCAGCTGTGGCCCGGAGCACGATCCCCATCCCTCCGGAAGCTGCCTTCGTCACGCCGTGCTTCCACTATCTGTTCCGCCTCGGATGTGTGCTGGCCGCGCCGCCCGCGATGCCTTCTGGCGGCGGCGTCCCAGTTCCGTCGTCTGCGCATGCTATGACCTGCACCGTCGGCACCTGTCCGCAGCGCACCTCGAACTGTGCGGACATGGCGCGGCACATCACGACGCACTTCCGTGCGGAGGTGAGTGTTCCGTGTGCCGGGTGCCCGATGCGCTTTGCACGCGAAGACAGCTACGTGCGCCATCTGGGGAACAGCGCGGGATGTCGCCGGCCCGATCTGATGCGCAGCTCTCTCTTGAGGGAGTTTGAACACATGCCTCAGGTGATTGCGCTGAGGAGACGCGCGGAGAACGAGGCTGCGCAGGTGGGGAATGTCGCCATGGGCAAATTAAACAAAGAACTGTACGCGCACTTTCCGGCAGCTTTTGCGCACCGCTGACCTTTTCTTTTCTTAGCGGAAACCTGTTCAAGAAAGTGCTCAGAGAGCGGAGACTTGATTGACGAACTTGATTGTATCCTTCTCTATGTGATGGTCCACACTGTATCCGTAGCCTCTTGTATCTTAATCACGCTATCTTAATTCAACATCCGCTGTATCTGTCGTGTCGCAATGATCTGGAGTACGCCACCGTCACGCGTCATCCCGAATGCGTTCCTCTCGGACGAGCTCTCGCCCTGGACGCGTCGTCAAGGCTCTCCGACGTGACTGATCTTCGCCGGGTGCAGTGCGGACGTATGGGAACAAGGCCGTGGTCCAGAGTAGACAAAGACAGGACAGCGCTTCGTAGCATGCCTGTGGGAGTGTGACTCCGGACCCTCGATATATCAGAACGCAGAGACTCTCCTCCGTCCGATGCCCCTTCGACGCCATTGACATTCCTTTATTCATTGACCACCCGGGCCCCCTCCCCTCTCTTGCTGTTCTCCACGCTGTGCTACCCTTCCCGCCCCGAGAAGACATGTCGAACACCACCTCAGTTGCAGCTGGATTAGGGCCGGGACTCACATACACGCCGATCCTGTTCGGTGGGGCGCTGGCGCTCTTGTGCGTGATCTTGGTCCGCACTTGCTATAGACTTGCTGACGAACGGCGGGCACCAGATTGAGCGGCATTGTCGCGGTCCAATGTATCATCTTCTTCAAACTCTATCCTGACGAGTCGCGGTGGAAGACGTGGATGGTGCGGCTGGTTTGGTACGTCGGGCCGTGTGCTTGGGATCGTTGCCGCCGGCTCAGTGTGCCTCAGGATAATCGACATCTCCCACACCACATTCATCCTCGTCGCGTTGTACGACTACTTTGTAAGGCACTTCGGCGACACGTCGTTCACAGCGTGGATCCCATGGTGCGACGCGTCGATTGCTGTTCTCTGCTGCTCCTTGACTGAAGAATGCCCAGGTCCATCGCATTCACGATTCTGTTTACCACAATACAGACATGCATAGTCCACCTGTGAATATCTCCTCTGATCCCTCTTCTCGCCTTGGCTGATATAGAGACAGCTTCTACGCCGCCAAGATATACCGATGTACGCGTCTGATTTCGATTCTGCAGCTCTCGATTCTGAAGCACAAGCTCAGCGAGCGGGAAGAATCTGTGGATCACCGTTCCAATCGTCAGTTCTCACGCCATGCTTGCTATTCTGACTGCGAGACTGATAGCGATAACGCGTGGTAGATTACTCTGGCGTTGGCACGACAGATTGCAGCCGTCGCTGCCACGTTCGAGATGTACGTTGGCCCCCATCGTCGTCTCGGCGCTCGTACAGCACGCGGCTGACGCGACGCTCGCCTGCAGGTTCCATTACAGGAGGTGGCAGGCGTTCGGCGATCCAGACCACCTGGGTCCCAGAGTACGTCACCGTCAAGTTTGCCTCGTCCGATGCTTACGCTGTCATCCAGCTTCTGTTCACCATCGGCCTCTCGCTCTCAGGAATCACGGACGCGCTGATCACAGTTTGCTTGTGTTACTATTTGCGAAAGATACGGATCCTGTCTTCCTCTTCTGTGTATGTCCATCTCAGTTGGTTGCCGGCGCGCCGCCCGTTCATTCACCTGCTTTTAGAATGAACGGTGTCCTGGATACGCTCACCTTGTATACGCTCGAAAATGGGCTGATCACCTGGTGAGTGCCGCCTCCCGGCACACCGACTCCCCGTCTCATCTCAGCTCGCAGTCTGATGACGGTCGGCGCACTTTGCTTCGTGAGTGACCGTGACGTTGCGAGTGACCTGCCACTGATCGTGTGTCTAAACGCCTAATTAATCAGTGGCTGTTCATCCCAGGATCTGCGCTGTCCCTCAGTCTACACTTTGTAATCGGGAAACGTATGTCCCTCTGTCGCTCAATCCGCCCTACTGCGACTCACGGTCTCGCTCCATCCGCCAGTATATCCCAACTCACTGCTAGTCCTGCTCAACACGCGCAAGGAGCTCCGGGAGATGCACGCGGGCGACCAAGGCATCCACTTCGAGATCGCACACGACCACCACCTCGCACACTACTACGCGCACTTCCCCCACCGCGCCCCGGCGAGCCACAAGCCCCAACGCAGCACATCCGAGACGCCCGTAAGTGCTAAATTGCTCGCCCAGGTGACGCCGCGGTATTCATAGTCCCACGACAGCTCCCGGTCCATCACGCACACGCGACGTACCTCCCGAAGTTCAAGATCCACCACCCCCAGCCGAAGCCGAAGGCGGTGACGCGGAGCGCGTCGCGGGCTACCCGGAATCGGAACTCGGCGACGTTGACTGCTGTGTCGGGGGACGGCGCCGAGCCGACTTCGTTGCGCAATGCGTCGCTCAACTGGCGGCAGCTGCCGTGAGCGAGCACATTCGTTCGTTCTTCGGGAGAAGACGCCCTGGTCTCTAGGGTGCTACTTTTGTTTCTGACCACCTGTCCATATTAATACTCACTGATTTGGTGCGCTGCACTCCTTTCGTTACGGTAAATCTATCATAGTGTGCCATTTGTATACTGTACTCTAGCATAAACATCCATGATCATCTTCGGAGACCCGCTTCTCAGGCTCACCTCGAAACATTCGAACTGTAACGCCCGAGGTATAGTAGTACCCGCAAAGAATTTATACGCAGCGATCATGGTGAACCATGTGCATGCAGATGGTCATAAAAACCAATAGGGCGATCCGAGGCTTTGCGGTTCAACAATCACAATTCCCGTGTCTGTCGATAGGGCTACACACACACACTCAATCATCGCATCTATCGGGGCAGCAGCCAACGAGACTCACTATCTCCATCATCTCCTCCTTCACAGGTGCATCGTCACCGGACCCAGGGGGCGGAATCACCCGCAAGACACTGCACACGAAACGAAACCATCAGCGCAATCAGGAGACCCGGCGCCTACGCACCATGTCCCCGCGCCGGTCCACCCCGCTAGGACGCGGGTGGCGTACGCGCTGGGGAGATACGTCGCAGCTGGAAAGCCATGAGCGAACGGACGCACACACACACGGCAGGGAGAGAGACTGCGCACGGAGTATCGGGACCATCACGGCGCGCGCGGACGCGCTGAACGTCGCAGGCGACTTGTCCGCATCGAGCATCTTCGTCGACGTCGCCGCCGTGATGAAAACCTGCGCGTGCCGCCTTGAGCCTGCGGCGTGTGTGCGGACGGGAGGGAGGGAGCCGGGCGCCGACACGCACCGTGACGCCGCTGGCCGTGAGCCTCAGGAGCATCTGCTTCAGGTGTTCGTACACAGTTGTTTTGAGCTGGCTCGTCGGCTTCAGCGAGGTTCGTGGGAGCAGCGCGGTGTGGAGGGACGAGAAGACGACGAGTCGGATCTGGGCTGCTGATCAGCGGGGGGCACCCCGTTCGTTCCCTCGTTCGTTCGTGAGACACGACGCACCTTGGGTTTCGTCCTGAGAACCGACGGCAGGCTGACGATGAACGCCACGAACCGCGGCAGGGTGTTGATGGCGACGTGCGATACCCGCCGGTGCATCGTCCCCGGAAGCGCGTTCCTCAGAGCACTGACCGTGACCCCGTTCTGCGCGTCTGCACCGGACCAAGAGTCAGAGGAGACCCGACGGACGCGGGAGTGAACCACGGACCCACAACCATGACGTCTTCCGCGCCCCCGCCCTCAGCTTCCGCGCCGAGGAACGACCGGACCAGCCCCAGCGCGATCGCGTCCGTGGGTATCCCCGGCGCCGCAGACATCTCGACGACGCGTCCCCGGCCGATGCCCCCTCCTAGGAGCCCGTCAAGCGGCTCGCACCCCGTGCGTATCCGCGCGGCGGGCGGGCCCACCAGGCCGGACGCGGGCTGCGACAGCGACAGGGGCGGGCGCCGCAGATCCGCCGTCGCGTTCTTGCGCTGCGAGAGCGAGAGCAGGGCCTGCGAGGACGGCAGGGGTATCGAGAGGTCTGCGGAGGGGGTGGTGTGGGCGGACGCGATCGGGGCAGGAGGTGAGGCTGTTCACGGACCGTGGGCTAGCGTCTCGGCGTTGGACGCGTCGAGATCGTGCGTCGTCTCGTATCCGGCGCGAAGGAGGGCGGACAGCGTGGACGGGGGCAGTGCGAGCGACGACAAGGGGTTTTGGGACGCGTTCATGCTGCTCGCGTCGGCGCAGGTGGTGTGTATTTGACCGTGCTTGTCTACGCGTCCCAACGCCTGGATCTGATTGAGCTGACGACCAGTCCATGACATAATACATAATGCTCGTGATTGACCCCCGTCCTTCGCACAAGGAATCCATGGGTTCAAGCGGTCGACGGAGATGGCTTATCAGGCATGCACACGTCCCAGCACTTCTGCATCTCAGCTTGCCGTTTCGGACCTGCGGCGGCATCTCAACTGGTCATTGCACCCACGATTCTCGTGTCCGAGCCGTCTTCCTCGCTGCAAAACCCTTCCTGCCTGGTCTCGTCCCCCGCTGATATCGTCAGAAGGTACTCGCGATCAATGATACATCTCGGCCGCAAGCTGCGCGAATGCCTGGGTATCACACCGAGAAGCGCTCGTGGCCGGGCCATGTGTTTGTCTGCTAAGCTCTTATCGTCTGGGAGACCCTGCGGGCCCGTTCCGTCGACCTCGCGTGCTGTGCAGGCCACATATGACTCGGCGGAAGATGCAGAGATGCTCTCGTCGCTCATTCGAGCAGTCTGAGGCTGCGGGCAGCATGCGGAAGAAGTTTGCTCGTTTAACTTCGACGCCGTCCGCTCTTACGATACAGTCTGGGACATAAAAGAGGGGATTTGAAACTGCGGGGACAGTCGTCCTCTGGAGATGTCTGCCGCCGCCGCCGCCGCCTCTGTCTTGTCGATTCTCGCTTTCAGCGCCTCGGCGGCTGGATTTGATATCAGTCGAAATGACAATGTACGTTAGATGAAGGTGCTGGAGATCTGCTACTAACACTTATCATTCTAGTTGGCTGTATACTGGGGTGCGTCTGTCCACCTCCACGAGCTTCGTGTTTCTAACGACCACAGGCCAAAACTCGTATGGCGTGACCAACCCCGGAAATCCGTCGCAATGGCAGCAGACGATCTCGTCGTACTGCCAGGACGACGTCATCGACATCATCCCCATCGCCTTCCTCGACGTGTTCGTCTCGACCGGGGGGCTGCCCGATCTCAACCTCGCCAATGTCCGTTGTCGTTTGATCCCATGATCTCAGATGCATCTTATCTTATCTCACTGTGCGAAGATCTGCAGCGCGACGGGCGGCACCTTCGCCGGCACAGGCCTGGCCGACTGCCAGTTCTTGGCGGCGGGGATCGAGGCGTGCCAGGCCAGAGGGAAGATCGTCACGCTCAGTCTCGGTACGCCGTCGTCGGGACCTAGTGCTGCCACAGCCGATGCTGATCTGGATGCATAGGAGGCGCAAGCGGCGCCGCGTCGTTCAGCTCGGATGCCCAGGGCACCGCATTTGCGAACACGATCTGGGACCTGTTCCTCGGCGGCAGCAGCAGCACGCGTCCATTCGGGACCGCAGTCCTCGACGGGTAAGCGGCCCGCCCCTCCCGGCACCCAATCTCACCCCGATGCAGCGTCGACCTCGACATCGAGGGCGGCGGTCCGACGGGATTTGCCGCGTTCGTGAACCAGATCCGGGCCCTGGCCCAGGGTGCGAGCAAGCGCTACTACGTGACCGCGGCGCCGCAGTGCCCGTATCCCGATGCGTACATCGGCGGTGCCTTGAATGCCGCGTCCTTTGATGCTGTATTTGTGCAGGTGCGTCGGTCAGTCGGGGATACATCTGTGGGATGACCCAGCCTGATTCAGTTCTACAACAACTACTGGTGCGTATCCGCCTCACCAGTGACATCAAAACTGACGTTGATACAGCGAGTTAACTGCCTATCCCACCGTAAGTCGTCCGTCCGCCGCATCCCGGTGCATCCAGATGACGAACCACTCCGCGCCGACAGCAATGGGACTTCGGGAGCTGGGACACCTGGGCGAAGACGGTCTCGCCCAATCCCGACGTCAAGGTCTTCATCGGCGCACCAGCCGCGCCGCGCGCCGCCAAGAACGGCTACGTGTCGGCGGCGGCACTGGGGTCCATCGCGCTGGCTGCGCGGCAGCAGTACTCCAGTTTCGGCGGCGTCATGCTGTGGGACGCGTCGCAGGCCTACGGTGCGTCCATGGATTTGTGACCCGCCGCTTTCGGTTGCTTACTGGTGGGGACAGCGAACGGGCGATTCGATGCTGCGGTCAAGTCGCTCATCGCTGATACATCTGGTGGCGCATCCGGAACGACCAGTAGTACTACTATCCACACGACGACGACTACTTCCACAGCGACCACGACCACGATCTCGAAACCACCGACGACCACGACCACGACCACTTCGAGAACGACGACAACGACAACGACAACGACAACTACTTCCGCTACCTCAGGTAGCTGTGCTGGTGTCGCGTGAGTTTGATATACACACTGCGTGTTTGTCGGCCCGCTCACGCAGATGCCAGGGCATGGAACGCTCAATCGGCCTATCAAGGCGGCTCGTTGGTGACTTCAGGGTGCGCTCACGGACGTTATGTTTCGCATCGGTGGCACTGACGATGTGATGTACTTCACAGCGGCCATCTCTGGCAAGCAAAGTGGTGGTCCGAGGCTGGTACGCACCTTCTTCGCTTTCTCGTGTATCTGATGGTTCCTTAACGAGTGTAGACGTCCCCGGCGGGGCCGCAGGCGACTGGACTGATCTCGGCCCGTGCACGAATGCAGCAGCGCGCATGCCCGCAACCGCAGTCAACGCCCAAGCGACGAGCGCTGCGAGGGCAGCCGAAACGGGGAGACGGCATGGGAGAGAATTCAAATATTAATTAACGAGTAGTGCAAGTTCTTTGTATGTACAGATTATCAGTAGCTCAACGGAGGGTGTCAGTCATCAGTCCCTTGCCTCACAGGCACAGTCACACCATCGCATCATGATCATCCTGGGTGATCCAGCAACGACCCGCCGGCTCGACCGCCCCCGCGCGCCTTCGCCGCACAAAGCTCCCAGCGACCGCCCAAAAGTCGCTCCCGCCGCGACATCCCCTGAGCCAGTCGCGCTGGTACGCGTGGAACGACGGGTCGAGCATGACCAGCACGAACCGCACATCGCCGATCGCGAGCCGGGCGCCGATGTCCGCGAGGGACCACTCCGGCGCGGTGTCGACGTGCATGTTCACGAGGACCTCGAGCTGGGTGCACCCCGCGAGGACGCACAGCAGCTGCGCGCGGTGCACGAAGGAGTGCAGACACAGGTGCGTCAGCGCGGGAAGCGCCCCGATGCCGCACAGGAGCTCGCTCTCGGGCTCGCGGTGGATCCGGTCCAGGACAGACAGGTGCGTGATCCGCTTGAACACCGCTGCGTGTCTCAAGTTCCGGAGGATCTGCCCGTTGTCGAACAGCCGCGACAGGTTCACGCAGAACCGCCGCAGGTGCAGCTGCTTGCGCAGGCCCGGCAGCAGCGCCGGGCTGCCGCTCATGAGCACGAGATTCGTGAGGCTGAGACTGGCGCCAAGGACGAATGAGACGTGGCGGGGCGGCCGGGGCGAGGCCGGAACGAACAGGTTGCGCACGCGCAGAGTGGCGCCGGGCGAGGCCTGGGCATAGCGCATGAACTGGGCCAGCGACCGCGATCTCGGGGTCGCAACCAGCGTCAGGTAGCGAAAGGGTTCGATCCTGGCGTCGAGTCTGATTGGAGTTTTGTCCGCAGAAATAGCAGTCACATACCATATCAGCACACGCCAGGCAACGATCATGAGCGCCGGGATCGTGTCCGGGTGTTCCAGGGCACTGAGCTCGAATATCCTGCGCTCGAGCTCCGGCGGCAGTCGACGTTCTGAAGAAACCATGTTCTGATCTAAGACAACACAACAACGATAGGAGATTTTCTGTGCGTTACGGAGATTTGATCGACGAGAGGAACGTCTTCCAAGTCTTGAGACCGGGATGCGTCGCTCGTAACGCAGGAATGTCAACGTTGAACCCAGTCTCATTAAAAAACTATCCAAACGCCATTCAGCAGCTGTGTGAAACCGAAAACATCGCGGCAGACCTTGAACATCGCTTTCAGTTCCGCAAGTCCCACTCGCAAAGCCCAGCCGATCGCCCCGCCCGCGAACGTCCTGGGCCGCATCTCCGTCCCAAACAAGTCCCTCCACCCCGCCGCCAGTTCCTCCGCACTGACCTCGTCCCCCGCCATATCGAAGTCCCTCCCGATGTACGTCTCGGGATCCTGGATGACGATCGCCGCAATCTCCCCGATATCCGCGCACGCGATCATCTGCAGGCGCCTGCCCGGCTTGAGCTGCGTGAGGAGCAGCACACGCGCGAGGAGCGCGTCGGGGGCGCCGAGCGTCAGCTGGTCCATGAACGTCGTCGGGCGCAGGATCGTGCGCGGCAGCCCGGGGTGCGTGCGCCTCAGGCACGCCTCCGCAAGGGGCTTGGACTCGAAGCTGGTGCAGTGCCGGTCAGCAGCACGCAAACCGTGCGAGGAACGGCGAAGACGAAGAAAAGGGGGGGGGGTTCAACACACTGGGGCACGTCAGTCCTGTCGCCGGGCACACCGCAAAGTTGACGCTCGAGTCACAGACGAAGTGCGCGACGCCATGCCTCTGGGGTGGGCGGACCGTGGACGGCGGCGGCGCCCTGCTTGCCGGTCGCGAGCATGACCAGGACGGCCTTGCTCTGCGTCGCGCTGTGAGACATGCGTAGACGGATCAAGGACAGAGGGGGATGCAGATTGGGGTTCGGATGCGTGGCTGATAAGTTATCAGGCCACAGTATGAGATCAAGTATCAAACATTAGACGACGTCGTGGTGGGCCATGGGGGATGTGAGGGGCCTGACTGTCATCAGCACTTGAAGTGATCATCTTCGAACACTACATCTGATATCATCAATTCCATAATCATCATCCACGATCCTCAGTTTCATGTGCGTTCAACCTTCCGCGTCTGCTGCGAAGATATGCTCTCTATAAACATATCATATTCAGATCATAGTTTGAAACTGCTGGCGTCAACATCTTAGAACCTGGTTATGCAGATGAATTGTCAGAGCTCCGCGCAATAGACCATGATCCGAGTCCCGCCAAGCACCGAGGAAATGACCCACTCGAACTGCACCTCCCCGTCCCGGACGAAACTGTTCGATGAATAGTGGCAGCAGTACCTGTTCCAATCTGTTCAGCTCATTTCCACCTGCTCAACACATCTCAACGCGTTCGACGTGGATGAATTTCGACGCAACGATTATTACAGTTACAATGATTTAGAGCTCCAAAACAACACTGGCGATGCTCGTCTCGACATGGGCATTGCCCCTGGCCAGGCCCTCCTCGCTCCAGCCGACGCTGCCCTGGACGTTCGTGCGCCCGCCGCATCGACCACGACCTTGCGCGCGCGGCCTTGTCCGCTGGGATCCGGGGCGTTCTCGTCGGCCTTGAGCGACGCCGCGCCGATGCTGGTGCTCGCGCTGAACGCGCCCTCGAACGTCGCGGGGAGTTTCACGTGCGCCGAGCCGAACGCGGTCCGCGCGTCGAGCGTGATGGTGCTGTCGATGGGCGCGGAGGGGACGGCGAGCGCGAGGCGGCCGTTCGACGTTTTGGCGATCAGGTCGAATGCCGACTCGTCCTTCGTCGTGGAAAGGTCGACGGAAGAGTCGATGATGCTGCAGTTTTGGAGCCATGTTAGTATAGAGCTGGAACATGACGAGGACTGAACTGACCCGTTCGAGGTGTGGAGCTGGAGCTGAGCAGGTCCCTTCTTCGCGTCCGTGTCGGAAAGCTCGATGTGGGCAAGAATTGGACCATTGGAGGTCTTCAAGGAAAGAGAGTCGGAAGCAAAGAAGGAGCCAGAAATGGGACCCATGGTTGTGGTGACGTTCGCTGCAGTGACATTCAACGATCCAATGCGGATGGGTCCGAAATCGGTCTCGATGTTGGCGGCCTTTGCTTTGAGGTTCTGCACGATGATTTATGAGCATATAGACACGAGTGTCAGGCTCCGATGTACTTACTTCAGCAGAGATTGGGCCCAGGAAGTTTCGAACGTTCAGTGAGTCAAAAGCGACTCCGCTCAGATCATAGAACTCCTGCGAAAAGGCGGTCATGTTGGTCCAGAACTCCTTGACAGCAAGAGAGGAATCCTTGTCCGTGGCAGGGAAAGCTACAACGACGTCAAGGCGGAATCGGGGCTGCCGGCGGTGCCTGTGGTGCGACTTGGAAACCCAGTTGGTCTGTCGGCGGCTCCGTCAATGGGCGGTAGACGAACAGAGAAAGAACCTACAAAGAGTCCAGCACCCCTGGCCCCAGCTTCGCCTTCCAGCAGACATGTCTTGACATGCTTCAGATCTTTTTCACGGTGCACATGCGCAGTGACGCCGATCTGGAGCTTGTCGCCGACCTCCTCCGACTGTACGAACTGCACACGTCCCCCAGCGAGGACGGTGTGGTGGCGGACGGCGTGGGAGACAACGAAGAGGAATCCGCGGTGATGGGGATTTCGATGTTCGCCTCGGCGGAATAGGGGAACCTGTGGTCTGCCTCGATGTCCAGGACCTTCTCGACGTTCGACCACTTCACGCAGTCCGCGCTGTACTCGTCGGGTATCGGCCAGGACTTGCGAGAAAAGTTGATTAGCAGAAAGCGTGATGGCCGACAGTCGCAACGACTCACACTCGCTGCCATCTTGTGCTCGTCGGTCGACAGCGCGGAGAACACCTTCTGCGCGCCATGCTTCAGGTGATGGCGCGAATGTACGCCCAACCAGATAAGCATGACGGAGAGGACGGCGAATTTGACAAAGCGCCGTTTCTTCTGTGCGTGCCGGCGCTCGGAGACCTCTTGCGACCATGCAGGCGGCGGGAGGTCATCAGGTGAGAGAGGATGGGTGCTTTTACGTCGGTGTCCATGGGGGTGGGGGAGGGGAAGAGATATATGATTAGCCAGGCACCAGTCTGGGCTCCCGATATATAGGGCCCTGCTGCGGCATGGAAACGCGTCTGGGCGGGCACGGCAGACTGCGGCGCAGCAGAAATTTATGACAACATCACGTCATCCGCCCAGTGCCCATTCAGTTCTGCAAGATGGTACGCTGAAAGACGATCATCGTAGGGTCATCCGGATGCATGTACACGGAAAGCGGAAGAGATCATGAGAGCGATCGCGTAATTGAGGGTCTGTTCTGGGTGGACATTGGCCACTCTCCGAGCGCTGGAACGATCGGCTTCTAACGCTTGGTTGTGTACAGGTGAGTAACTAATCAGCAATTTGCATCCGTGGCCTGCATGGATCAGACGGTGGTTTTGCGGAGGAGAGTCAAGAACTGAAGGGCGTATCTGCGATCACGTGCAACTTGCACTCAGCACCCTCAGTTTACGGCCGGTTTTGTGTTCACTCAGAGTCAATAAGGGTCATCAGCTCTTGAAACGACGTTTCCCCCTTGCATATCTAATTCTCCTATAACGCACTTTGTCTTTGAGCTTGGTCAGATGACTCAGCTCAAACCGTCGTGGTACGCGTTGTTGTGGTCTGTTGTTGTCCACTCACCCGCACTCATTCAAGTTCACTCTTCCATGCCTCGCCCATTGCTCAGCACATACATGTCCGCCGGCAGTTGGCACCGACAAAAGACCGCATAGATGGGAATCTCAGGCCTGCTCCCTCACTCAAGTCCATCTCCGAAACGAAGCACCTCTCCGAATTTGCAGGGCAGACGCTTGCTGTAGACGGCTATGTTTTGGCTGCACCGCGGCATATTCACTTGTGCCACCGAGCTAGCCACGGGGGTTGACACGCACAAGTGATTCTCACGCTCGCTCGTTCGTCCGTGCTATCCTAACCGTGGACAGATATGTCGACTACGCTATGCACCGCGTGCGTCTCCTCAGACACCACAAGATCGAACCGTACCTCGTATTCGACGGCGGGCCGCTGCCGGCGAAAAGGGCACCGAGGTGGATCGGCACAACGGCGGGCAGAGCATCTCGCGTTGGGCAATGCGTTGGCGAAGCAGGGGAAAACGTTCGCAGGCGCCGAGCACTACGTCAAGTCCATCGACGTTACTCCCCAGATGGCGTTCCAAGTCATCAAAGTGCGTTCCCATCCCAGCGCAGATTCGCGCGGTCTCAGTTCTTTCAGGCGTTGCGTTGCAGAGTCCGTGCAGTACGTCGTGGCG